AAAGGCGACGTATCTATGCGGACTCCGGAAAGCCCAATTTCAGCTCTATTTATAGAAGCAGACGGTGCAATTCAGTATTCAAACAATGACGATCGCAACCTACAAATAAGGTAACATTGCCAGTATGTCAACATAAATAAAGCTGAGTGTCCTTTAACGAAGCAGACGTTGACGTCGGGACACTAATAAAGACCGTACAACAGAATGTGAACTGTGCTGCTTTAGACTTAAAATTGAGATTGTTGGCTTAAGTGTCGAGGGTAGTAAATGAAGGTTCGCATTTAGCGGTCGTGGTGGTAGTGATATGGGTGGACTTCCTTTGTCTGGTAATCTTATCAGCATGGCAGGCCGCCGCGTCTTGACATGATACATTGCTCGTTCTATATATGTATTTACATTAATTCGCCTTTTGTTATATAGCAAACAAACTACGCCATATCCTAGCATTCGATTTGTTAATATTTCAAAGTTCGCTGATACATTTGAATATATGAAAACGCAGTATGAAATAGAATACATACATTTTAATATATTTAGAATCATAAATAGGATAAATACATATTGCATGATAAGATCAATGTATATAGCATTCAGATGCGGCCAACCGTAATTCGCCGATTAAAATGTACGGGTAATATCATTACGCGGGACCATTTTGCTTATAAGAGAGAGATATCGGCCTTCCTTTGAACAGCAACGGATTTTGCTAATGGTACTGTATATTTTGGTATATCCTTGTAAACTCTATGATATTTATCGTGAAATAAGTTATAAAAAAAACAATTAAACTGAAATGAATGAATACTAATGAAGAGATGAAAGCCTATTTGTTTTTTTCTAAAAATAAAGTCAAGGGGACAAGCTGGAACATCTGAATCGCAGGTCCACAAAGGCCAACCGTATTCGATCGGTTCGCAATCGCAAACTTTGAATACACCTCTTTCGGACTATCGAAAAGTTCCCGATAATGGATTTGTTCGAGGACTCAATTGTTCCACGATGAATGGGTACTAATTAAAACGAAGTCACGACGACGCTGGAGCAAGTTCCCGATTGTTTCTGAACTATAAATCGCAGTGCTGCTCTCTCATATAAATATTTCGCCGGGTTCCATACCCTGTCCAACTTCGATGCTAAATTTAAAATCGAAATTGGGTTATCGCTGCATTGGGAAATAAGCGGCTTAAATGCGTCCATAGCGAAGTAAAGTAACATATTCATATGTTGTTATAATAATAATTCTGTACATAATTATTAAAAAAAAATATTGCAATATGTTTCTTATTAATCTATCACAAAAAAAATTTGATTTATAAATTTGTAAAAAAGTATTTGGAAACTTTAAAAGAAAAATATGTATCTTTGATTGATGTTTAACTTCGCACCCGATCACTTTTTAAGATATATAAAAAATTCTTGTTTAAAAAATTACCGATTAAATTTTTTCCTTTTTGTTATTAACATCGTTTGGTGGCTTTGCGCATAAATATTTTAGAATTCTAATATATCATTGATCAATCATAAAACAAGAGTGAGTATAGTCTCTATACTCATTCATGTTTAAATCAAGATAAGGGGTAAATTCTAAATTGCTTCTGGAATGTTTCACATAACGAGTTTAAGATTGTGGGCACGTGTTGCCGCCACGTCTCTTGGCTTCTGAGATTGCCCAAATGTATCCCGTTTGTGTCGGTGTGTCTCTCACACATGTACATCTTCCACAACTCATGCATCAACGTCTCAACTTATGAAACTACCTGGAAAGAAATATATGTTTGACAGTTTGCATTCTAATGTCAGTAGTTTCTTTATAACATTGCATTTTGTGTAAATACTGAAACAGAACTATGAAAATGATCATACTCGTAAACTTATAATACAATTAGTGCAGAGAAATATTAGATCTTCCTTAAATAGCACGGTAAGTATAATAAGAAATCACGTTGATCGAGCCGAGCGCGACCGCAAATGAACCGAAACACACCCCCTTTATCTTGCAATAAGTAAGCGAGGTTTGCTTTTCTAGCGAGGAAAATAGCGGCTTCCAAACGGGAAGCAGTAGCTGATGCCAGATGGCTGGAAAAATATAAAAATAAATGAACCGGAATATGGGTAGTGGTCTCTATCTGATTGTTATTCAGTTTTATGCATGCAGGAGCTAATAAATAACTTTATTACTGCACGCCAGAATGACGGCGGTGAATTCTAAAAAGCCGCATACCTTGCTCATTATCAAAACAACCAGATCAAAAAGCAGACCGACCCTGGAAAGGCAATTCTGGAAAGTTAAATGTAAAAAAAATTCGTTCCTTTACGCACAGACAAATCCCACGGCGGCGTTCAAAATCGCGTTCCCTTTTTAAAGTTGAGACGATTCGCGTAACGAGTGTCGAATTCTCGGGCCCCTGGGCACCCTCCAGGAGACGAAGTGTCCCCCGGAGGTGCCTCAGTAATTACCCACCATTACAGACAAAAGACACGGCTCGTCCGATTACCATAATTCCCAAGCCCGAGACGGGATATAAATGGGCCACATTTTGTAGTAGCACGACGGTTGACATGTGTATTAATGACTATACTTGTCCTCTTAAATTAGGTGAGGGATCTGGTGATTTAGTTTTTCATTGGCGATGAACGAGCCAGGATAGATCGGCTAGTCCGCCGGTTTGACTCCATATATTTATCCTCTCGCTTCGTGATCTATTCAACAAATTACCCTATTCCGGTATATTTAAACACTTTTTTCGTACGAATGAAAAAGTTTCAATTGCCAGGCTAATTGTTCTACCTAAATTTTCTTATGATCTTTTAATATATAGAACGTGCACTGAGACCAGTTTTAACGAAAATATGTATATATATATAAATCATTAATCTCTAATTACTGCCGAGAGAATCGTTCCAAAGGGCGCGACCACAAAGGGCCGCTGACGATATTATCGAGAACCATTTTCTTTTCCGCGATGAAACTGGGGGCGATCGTGAAAAAAACAACACAAAAACCCTTTTAAAATTAATTGAGTTTTCTTGCGGCTACATCGGCCGCTACAATAAATTAATTAACGCTCGAAGGAATCCTTAAAATTTGTCGAGGATCAAAAGTTGGCTGAAGTGGGCCAGGCGGGGAACAAGACGCGAGGAGCGCGGCGGGCGCGCGCCACAGATAATACTTCGATTTTCCATTAGGCTATATTAGCGATGGGAGAGGCCTCTGCAGCCGTACGGCGCGCCCCGCGGTTTGAGCAATGGCCCCCGTTCTAATATATTTCCTTTATAACTAACTAGCGGAACACGCGATCTTTGATCCATTTGCATGGGCCGATCCACGCTGCTATTTGTTTACGACCAATTACCGTGGGCAATATTCGCCCTTAATTGAATTTCAACTTGTGAATTTTCGTGGATAGAAATAATTAAATTTTTCCACTGTGAATGCTTCTTGCCCAACCGCACACAGCTGAGTAGCTTTTAACAATGCAAACGAGGTAATATTTAATAGTACGATTCGATAAATCGACATGTAATTTGATCCAATATTTTATCTCAATATATTTCGACTGTTAATAGATGTAAGGGTAGGATGCGTATCATATTGCGATACACAGCGTTACCACCAAACATTTATTACAGGAAACTGAGAATTTTAGGGATTATGAAATATAGAGAGTTTATACCAGGTCTTATACATATATGTCACGAAACATGTTGTGTTTACGATAAATATTATGACATGAATATGTATTTTAGTGTGTTTGCTTTTCACGAATCCTAGTATGGTTTCATTTTGTATACCTAGCCGAATTTATTGGTCATTTTATACAAAGAGCGGCATATTAATGCACAAGTACATTTCATGGCGGGTTATACGAAATTAATCATATTATGGTTCATGTAAAGAAGCTATTTGAACCCTCCTCATTGTTAACATCTGCCAATAGGCCTTTGGAGCAAGATAAGCAACCTTTACCTTCACCAGCGAAGAATGACGCCCACGCACATTTATTCATACCGCGAGATTTTCCAACAAGCCCGCAGCCCGCTCGACTATGTTCATTCATTATACAGTCTGCTCTCTTCGTAATTTGTTTCATTCTCCTTTATTGGCAAAATGTATTTTTATTTTTCTTTCCAACTTAAGAACTTTTGTCCACCGAGTTTCTGAAGTAAGCCGAAATTGAATTAAGTCCTCCGAATATTTATCTTGTGATGAACTAGATATTCTATTTATGAGTTTTTCTGAAATTCCAATTTTGTTGCGCTGCGCTAACAATACGAGCTAGGTAATTAAGATAAATTACGTTTACAATTAAATCTAACTCGGTTTGTACATCTACATACACCTACGAACACTCGGGAACTTAATTAGAGCGATTTAATGCCGATTAGTTGGTACTAAAGACGCCGCGTGTTTTGTATCGATCTCCTAATAAAGAGATATTAGAAAGCATATTGTACGTAATTTGGAGAATTTTACTTCTATTGAATAATTTAATTTCAAGCATAAAGTATTTAAACATTTTTTTTTTATTATTTTTGATTAGTTACATTGCTAAGTATTGATGTAGTAATATTATACTACGTATTGATGTAGTAATATTATAATATTATTATACTACGAATTGATGTAGTAATGTTATTTAAATTTGAAAATCATTATTCCAGTAATTATTAAGTGATTGAAATGTTTTTGAAGCTTGCGGAACTTGAAACCGTTTCTCAAGCGTCATGCGTCAGAAAATTTTCCAAACAATAATTATTGAAATATGATTTTTGTTATTTTAATAATATTTCTATATAATATTTATTTGTTATTCATATATGAGATGATATAAAATTTATTTTTTAACTGTTACGCATGAAGTAAAATTTTTTCACTATTACGTGTTTAGCATTTTAATGATAATAGAATTTAATTATACCTATAATTGCATCATCGCAACAAGTGAAATCAAAGTCATTTTAAATGACCAACATTAAATAAAAACTATTATTGTCTGCAGGTTGTCTTCTGGAGGGTTCTCGGTTACCGCCTGATGTGCCACCGCGGAATCCAACAATGTCTCGACTGAACGGCCGCATCACGGGCAATCCCGCTGACCTGGCCGACTTCGAGCCCTCATGCCTCGTGCGTACGCCCTCGGGAAACTTCTATGTGCCTTCAGGTAACACTTCTATTTTTATTAGTACTCGTGTGAAGGTGGCGCCCTGCTGTCCTTTATCATTGCTTACTGGATGATGGCAGCAGAAGTACAAAGCAAATAACAATCATTTTAAAAGATCCAAACATGAATTTAAAAAATCAAAGGCTTAGGAAATAGCATAGGATAGTTCACCCCTTCCTTTCCAGTGGGTGTCGTAAGAGACGACTGAGAAAGGTCGAGGGATGGACAGCAACGTCCCTCTTAAAATATCTCCAAATGCTAACTGCGGTTGCCATTCCGCCTGCCAAGCATGGCAACTACTGGCTAAATCCCCCAAAGGGGAGGCTTGTGTTCAGCAGTGGACATTTAAATGATATGATGATGATGATGAATTCTTTTAAGGATGTCAAACAATCTGACAAACTATCTATTTGTTTTTAAACGACTACTATAAAAGAACATTATCAAATCGTCTGAATATTTTTGTGGCTATGCTACGCAATTATCTACATAGCCAATTTTCAAAATTATTTTTCCAAACTAGAGTTTATTCCTGAGTTAATCCCGTTTCAATATTGTGACGATTTAAGCTACCCCTTTGTTTGCGAAACATAAAACTGCTTGATACGAAGCAAAAACTACTAGTAATTTTGGCTATATATTTAAACACGCAATATTTACTATGTAGGGTACTTATAAAAATGTCGTTATAAAGTATCTACGAAATATCTGGACGTTTATCGGTACCTTTATGACTGAAGTCTTTTCCCGCAGAACAATATGTCCCTGTTAATTTAAATTTTAAATTCTCTAGTGTATTTTTTCAATATTTAAAAAGGTGTCTGCAGTTATCTTTAATTCTATTCCGATATATTAGTACCTTAAACAAAGATATAAGGATATTTAATTTAAATTAAGGTATAACAATAGTGATTATGTTTATTAAAGCATTTTCTAAAAGTTTAAGAAATGTACTAATTGCTGACTGACATGCAACTACTCGTAATGGTATATTGTTTTTCGTAAATCCAGTAAATAATCGTTATCTTAGACAAGACACGGAGCGATTTTGTTATAGTTAATATAATGCTCGAATAATATACGTTCATAAACATATCTATCGTATAAAATTATTATGGCATACGATATCGCAGTAACTATTTCCATTAATATATACCGACTATCATTTGTAAAATGACGTATGTTCCCGATAAAATTCTCTAGCGTATATTAAATAACTCCAACTACGTTCTACATCACTTAATATCGGATATTTTATCAGATTGTACTCGTAGCTTTCGTAGACTTGACAATGTAAGAAACTGTTCCTTGAAATAAGGACATGTTTCCAAATATATCAGTTTAAATGTTGTAAAAAGGTTGGTATTTTTGCACTAAACCTGTCTTAACTATCAAAGTCTACCCTTATCTAAACACATCCAAGTATTTAAGGAGTTATCCAAACCCTTTCTTATCCCCCTACAAGTAATGTATAATCACATTTTCAGGGGACATACAAAAGAATCCGTCAATGGACTACAAGTCGAATTCATCGTGTAGTAGTCCAGGGAAACAAGACAAAAGTACCTTGGAGAGGATGGAGAGAAGCGACAGGTCTCACCCGGCGTTCGGTGCGCCGGTGCCCGTCCTACCTGTTCGTAACAATCTCCGCGCCTCTCATTTCCCTCCTGCTGCCTCACGGTTCCACTTCAGGAAAGGCCTCTCTTCTAGATGCTCTTGGAAGTGTACCGCAATAGTGTTCATAATACTCTTCGTTCTTCTATTTGCCATCGCCTCTTACATGTCAGGTAAATATAACAGTAATTAGTTGGTTTGATACTATACTACATTTATGATAATTAACCCACATTATATATTTTTGTCAACAGCCTCATATTTCGTCAACTTGTCATATCAGAATTCAAAAGCTTGTACAGTACTAGTCGGTGAATCAACAGAAGTATTTCCAGCGTCGAAGGCAACGACGCTCGAATCTAGTAACAAATCGCTTACAAGACCACACCAGAGTGCGCCTTCCTCGGGCTCAGGTAAAGAGGAAAATCATTCTCGCCCACGTAGAAGTGTAGAAGGGCATGCTTCTGTATCACCTTCTGTTTCTTCCATGGATTCTTCCACTGCTGTAGATATGCATGAACTAATCACTACGCCTTCTGTGAACACTGTTAGTTTAGTGCATGGTGTGGCGTCGGTTCAATCCGATGAAACTACCATCACTCAACCAAATGAAGAAGATGGGAAGGGGTCTAATACGGCTTTTGTGTCTAGCAATATTAATAACATAACAGTGACCAATAACATAAAAGATACTAATAACGAATCAGCTAATATTGGTAAAGTAATGGTAAATAATACTAATCATCAAAACTTTTCGTTTGATAATTTAGTTACTAAGGAACCTAGTATTACAACTTCAACAACTTATACCACTTATAAAAATGTCATGACAAATAAAAGTATCATTCCCATAAAGGGTAGCACAGTCACTAGCATACCTACTGAAAAAAATAAATTGGCTGTAGAAGAACCAATTGAACCTTCGTTAAATTCTATAAATAATGCTGCTGAATTGAATGAGGAACTCGACAATAATAGTATTGCATACGAACCAGAATCTATGCAAAGTGATTCATTTCCGTCGATATATTCATACGGTCTATTAAAGCTTGAATATCTAAAGTTACTAGCTAAATTGAATGACGTTAATGAAGAGTTACATATACAGATAAATGACGAAGACGATCTTAATAAATTTCGTTACAAAGCTGAAGCCAGTTCGCTTGAAACTACGTTAGGTTCAACAGGAATAATAACCACAACTACCATACCAATAACATCTACCTTAACTACAAATACAAATAAACCAACCACGTATAATAATGTTGAAATAACTAATAAACAAACCACGTATGAGAGTGCTGATTCCACCACTACAACTCTATTGACTACACATGAGCATGTTGGATCAACATCATCATCACCATCGAGTGTCACTAATCCTAACAATGTGGTAACCAATACAAATTCATCAACAGAGAAATCTAATAATGAAACTTCTACTGTAAATATTGCTGCTGAGTCTAGGGTTCCAGATGTAACTTCTAACCCAAAACACGTTTTGATTAACTTAACAATATCTGCTGATGACAATGAAAATTCATCTTATAAACCACTTTATTCATTAACAGTGACAGTTCCTACAGTTGGTGATAGTAATGAGATTCCAACAGTAAAAATTACTCCAATGGACTCTGAACCTACCGCACCAACTAATTTCAATAAACCTAAGATTGTCGAAGGCACCACTAAATCAGATAAAGTAGTCGATACTGAAAGTATATGGGGAGGAAGTTGTGAATGTTCTTGCCCCGTGTGTAATGATAACTCGACTGATGATTTCTATGAAGATTATATGGACAAAACAACAGTGGTTCCAAAAAATGGTACAACTCTCGAAAGTCCTGAAATTACGAGTACAACGGAACTTTCAACTTCAACTGAAATTGAAGACTTTGCCGAAGTAAGTATAGATACGAGTACTGAGGGAGAAGCTACAACTACCGACGGCACCGACTATCCTACTCAAACAGAAGAAGTTGCTTGTAGTACAGAAGCTCCAAAATGTGTATGTCCAAAGGTTAAACCTCCACCCATACTTATATTGGAAGGTGAGGTCATTGAAATTGAATTCGATCGACGAAACAATGAATAATTTACTAACCAACACCATTTATATCACTATGCAGGAGCTATTTACGAGAACAATTTTATGGTGTTTTAACTGACTAATATGCATGATCATCACAATGGGTTTTTTAACATTATTAGCGCTTTTTCAAATGCATGAGCTATGAAACTGGGGTTTTATTATAGAAAGGGTAGACAAGTAATGTAGTAGTAGTATAATAGTATATTTAGATTGCTATAAGGTATGAAAAATAATAATAACAATCATCGCATTTGCATGATTTACAAATCTTGAAATATTAAGTTAAATATATTATGAAACTAATCGAATATTTGTATTGTAGGTGCGCGAACATTCCCCGCGCAGTCGTTCCCACCAGACGGGACGACATTCAAACAAATTACTTTAGGTGAAAAATTATCAAAAGAAATCCCTCCATATAGTTATTGGAACATGCAATTCTATCAATCAGAAGCATCTTATGTGAAATTCGACTACATGATCCCACGAGGAGCTTCAATTGGTGTCTATGCGAGACGAAACGCACTGCCAACGCACACGCAGTATCATATATTGGAAGTACTAAGCGGATTCAAAGCGAGAAGTACAAGGGCATCACATGTAAGTGTTCTTAATATTTCTGTGTTTCTTTGTAAATTAGAAAATCAACTATTTTACGGTCTAACTGATGAAAAATAGTACCCATGTAGTAAACATGAAAGCTCCATAAGCATAATGCGTTGCCATTCCTGTAACTTAACTGTCGTCTACCCCCAAAATAAAACAATCATGTCACAAACTTAATGGCAGAAATACAGGCGTTACAAAGGTAACCAAGCAGAAGATTTTTGCACAAAGTTTCCCTAGAGTAAATGATGTAACCTGATTTATCTATAAACAAGGAATATTATATAATTATACTTTATGGTTTATTTTAGCCATCTGTCAAGAAAGAAGTAACACATTATATGGAGCAAGGCCACTGGTTTTTGTCATTGTACAACGACGATGGGGATCCTCAGGAGATCGCGTTCATTGCTCTCGTAGCTGAAGATATGACGCACAACTGCCCTAACGGTTGCTCAGGCAAAGGAGAGTGCCTTATGGGTCATTGCCAATGTCAACCAGGTTTCGGAGGAGATGACTGTAGTGAAAGTAAGATTAATTTTATTTTTATTATTACCTTTTACCAACAATTTTAGAACCATTGCAGAATAAATGGTGTATCATGATAAAATACTAGATTATTTTAAATTGAGAACACAATTGTAAAAAACACATTCACTTTGCTGAAGGAGTTTTTTCGTTAAGAAAACAAACACATATACAGGTGAACACACAAAAAATAAAAAACTGTATTGTTTTGGCTTCTATTGCACTGGTTCAGAACCCTCATACAAAATTTTCATAAATATCTTCTATTTACGGACATCTTTTCATCATTACCCCATAAGCTGACTGATTTTTTATTGACTCGAATCGTGACCAAATCCAAATTTTCATAGCATAAACGAGAATAAAGTTAAAATATAAGGTAAAATAACGTCAATCGTCAAGTCATCCAATGAACCCAATGATCAAGACAGTCAGAAATACTAATTATATTTTTGTATTTCTACAGGTGTATGCCCAGTCTTATGCAGCCAACGTGGTGAATATATAAATGGAGAATGCCAGTGCAATCCTGGGTGGAAAGGAAAGGAATGTTCATTGCGACATGACGAATGCGAAGTGCCTGATTGTAATGGTCACGGGCACTGCGTTAATGGAAAATGTTCCTGTGTGCGAGGTTATAAGGGCAAATTCTGTGGAGACGTTGACTGTCCACATCCAACTTGTTCGGGCCACGGATTCTGTATCGAGGGTACTTGTGTCTGCAAAAAGGGCTGGAAGGGGTTGGACTGCGCGACCATGGATAAAGATGCGTTACAGTGTCTACCAGATTGCTCAGGGCACGGTACCTTCGACGTTGATACACAGACTTGCAGTTGTCACGTACGATGGTCCGGTGACGATTGCTCAAAAGGTAAGCTTATTAGTATTGACAAGTTTTGTAAATTATCACATAACGCTATAGTGCTGACCCGAATACTTTGAATTTCGGGTTGCACAGTGGAAAAAATCTTGCAGTTTTACTGTCTTTTTTACTCATTTAAACATATAATGATACTAAATATTCCTAATTGTTCCGATAAATCAAATTCGTTTATGACAGTTTAAGGTGCGTTAACTTGTTGAAATTGCATGTCAGGCAATTCAATTAACTTCTGTAGGGTAACTGTCAAATAAAATTATTAACAGAGTACGCACCTAGTTTCTTTTGAAAGTTGTTTGGCTATTGAAATGGGCCAATCAGAATTGAAACGAACGAATGAATAAGAAATAAACCAATAGCTGTATGTAAAATAACTATTATTTATTTACATCATAAGGCGGCAATCAGTTAGATGATCTATCTACTGAAAAGATGTTATTGTAACCTAAGTACGAATAATAGCCCCAATCTAATAAAATAACAATGGGATTCAATATTACTCGACAGCAATTTGACTGTGAGTTGGATTAGCTTATAAGTATTAATAAGAGTTTTATTTATTATATATTTTCTTTTGCAGAGGTGTGCGATCTAGACTGTGGTCCCCATGGAAGATGCGTTGGAGAATCTTGTGTTTGTGACCCAGGTTGGACAGGAGAATATTGCACTTCAAAACTCTGTGATGCCCGTTGCAGTGACCATGGGCAATGTAAAAACGGCACTTGTCTATGTGTATCTGGGTGGAACGGACGACATTGTACTTTAGAAGGATGCCCGCGAGGATGTGCCGGTCATGGTCAATGCAGAGTAGCAAATGATGGGCATTGGGAATGTAAATGCTTCGATGGATGGGATGGACCGGACTGCACTACACTGAAAGAACAAATCTGTGACGATTCTAAAGACAATGATAAAGGTATTGAAAATGTTCAATTTAAATCATTGCTTTCATATTTAATTTAAAATTTTATACTCACGTGTTTGTTTGTTCAGATGGTTTAGTCGACTGCGAAGATCCTGAGTGCTGTCAAAGTACCGCCTGCAAAGGCAGCCAACTTTGCGTGTCATCGCCAAAACCAACAGATATTCTACTCCGCAAACAGCCCCCAGCAATCACTGCTTCGTTCTTCGAAAGAATGAAATTCCTTATTGATGAAGGAAGTCTGCAAAATTACGCCAAACAGGAGACCTTCAACGAAAGGTGAGGTTTCGATGTTGGATGTTACTCGTTAGACATAATTATATTAAAAAGACTAACTAAGGACCAGTTGACATTAGTGAAAGCATAACAATAATTGTCAACTGGTCCTGGATTTGATATCATTATCAAGTACTAATTGTAAAATAATACATTATCTGTTATATTAAGATATACGCAATGTTGTGCCCCAGTCAACTCCCATGTTTTATTTACATTACAAGAGTGTTCCACGTTGCTTTTTGTTTCTCCCACACGTATATACGAGAAAAAATCTTTATATTTATTTTCAACTACTCCAAAATCGAACTAATAATATAAATGAATGGCACTTGCATGTTCTATCATTTTTATATCGGCGAATAGATTAATACCTACCTTATTCACTAAACTGCTCTTATTAACAAGCCCTAAGTTTCCTTCTAGATTAACTATAAATTGTCCGATGATGGTACTTACTCATTCTTTGTCATTTCTGTCATCTTTCTAACGCTGCGCAGTATGTTTTGGAATCACTTCAACACGAGGTAAGATTTGTAAACAATTTAGGATTGTGTGTTGAGCTTAGTAATACACAATATATATATAGCGGTTCCTATTAGATTATAATATATATATATATATACTTAATTGGCGAAATACTCTTTATATATTGTTATAATTGTATTGTTCGTATTTTGTTTTGTGAAGTACCCACATGTGCATGTAGTGTATGATGTATAATATCTTATTATAGTTACCTATCATTATGTCCTGTGAATTTGTGATACGCTTTTTATTTGTTATATTTATAATATTTGGTCCTATATGAGTAATATGAGTCATGTAGGTAGTCTCTAGTGTAATAAAATTTCCAATTATGTAGAATTCGAATAGATTAAGAAAAAACACGTTGCTGTTTTAGTAACTTGAGATGTAGACAACAATAATGCATTTAGATGAATCGTTCTTCACATATACATAATGTAAAGCATCAATTTAAATATCATAAAATTCCTAATCTTTAATAAGTAGGTTCTAGTAGCAAAATTAGATTTAGTAGTTTGCAAATAAAAACCTATTCAAAAATAGGTTTCTAATTCAATATTTTTTATGTGTAAGTTCTGTGATATCTTCGTCAATTCTGAACGGACTTTGATGATTATTTTCTTCATCAAACGAGTTTTAATCCCGTTCTGGTTCCATTCTAGCAGGATTAATATCAATTTGTAGAACAAACTCTTAAATTATTAATATAATCGAAATAACACTTCAATATTTCAAAAACATAACTTTAAAAAATTACTTCACTGTCTTTAAAATATACAAATACGTTATCCAAAATAATAATAATAATATTTTATTCAAAGAAATAATGCGTAATAAGTAAAGTGATTAAATATTTTTTACATTCGATTTAAATATAAATTTTATTATTTTCCACCTTCTCAATAACTTAACATCATATATGAGAAATACTCACAAATGATCCATCTACAGTCGGTCAGCGGTGATCAGAGGGCGTGTTGTGACGTCTCTCGGCTCGGGACTGGTCGGCGTGAGGGTTTCCACCTCCACCCCTCTCGAGGGCTTCACTCTGACGCGGGAAGACGGCTGGTTCGATTTGCTCGTGAACGGAGGCGGAGCAGTTACTCTACACTTTGGGAGGGCGCCTTTTAAACGCTCCTCGCAAGTTGTTTACGTGCCTTGGAATGAGGTTTGTACAAAAATATTACAAGTCCACAGTTTTTACCAGGAGTCGCCCTAGGAACACATCTCGATAGAAATCATCCCAAATTGTCATGTAATCGTTTGGAGCAGAGCAAAGGCATTAGTTGGTCTGACCAACCCCAATAATAATATTTAATACGACTGTCAAAAGAAATGTTCCAAAAGAAATTTCGAGAAATCCTTTTTATATTCTAGAATATAGAAATATTAAATGTAATCTGGAAAAAATATCATCTAGGCTTTTATCATATTCATACCCTTACATTATATCACAGCTAATATTATAAATATGAAAGTGTTTTGTTTGTTTGTTACTTGGCACTTTAAACCAAATGTACATTTGGTACTTGACACTTTAAACTACATACATGTTTGGTACTTGGCACTTTAACCCCAAATAACAGCAGGCCTACTCTTTAATCTAATATCGATATCAACCCCATCTAATGTTAATGACAATTTTGTACTGCATTCATGAAATAAGAATTAGGAATTAAGTTACAATTGGGAGCTGTTTGCAATAGTTTGTATTGGTACGTTTCGTGTGGAAACCTAAGATGGTAACATTAGGTCACTAATGTTGCAATTTGAGAGTACGAAACGTTTTAATCCCAATATCGATCTTTTTTTTATGGGTGATAATGGAATGGTAACCCCACCCGCGCTATCGGTATACACCAGCGGGGTACCAATGAAGGTTAATAGGTGATGATAAAGCAGGTCATGTTCACGATGATTTTCAGGGGGAACCACGTGGAGGTAGACCTATTAATGCATATTGCTAGCAATGGGGCTGTCAAAATCCATTGCTAACAATCCCTTTCCCCCCAATATCGATCTATTGGAATATATTTCAAGAGTAACCCCACAGATAATTAATAATCCTTATGAAATTAAGTTTCACATGTGGCTAGTATTTACGTAGGAAAAGCCTACTTTTCATACCGGTTAAACAATATATTTCGGTCACGCGAATAAAGTCGCAGTTAAAAACTACGCAATAGTAAAGTAAAAATAACCGAATTGAATTTCTATATTTATCGAAAAACAAACAATAAAATATAATTTCATTCCGTCCAATTAAATAATAAATGTTATAAATAGGTAGCAGTACCTAATCGTATATTATTACGTACAACTTCAGTCCAACTTGGTATAACAGTTTCATATTTTGCCTCGTGAAAAACATGCGATCTGACGATTAAACGTAGGCAGTAGACGTTAAATTTTTTAAGACTTAATTTTACTCCGACTATAAATTGTGGATACTTGCTTCTTTATAATGCTTTATTACGAGTTTGGTCGCAAAGTTAATGTTCGTGTTTGTGTAACGAATCATTTTTATAGTAACTACCCTTGAAATTATCTCTCGTAAGCTAAGTACTAAAATGGCTAAGTAATAAATTGAACATTTATTTACATTGATAACAAACTCATAAACTTAAAAACACTTAACAGCCTGTAACTTATTTTATACCTACTTAACTACGAAAATATATTATTAATATACAGTATTTAATAAATATCAACAATCATTATTACCTATTTTCATCGTCGTCCATTTCCAAATACCAGTTTTCTCCATATTTCACTTATAATTTTTTCTCCCGCTTTGCCAATGAATTAATAAATTCCACAAAGAACCTTGTCCATCCCAAATACTACTTATCTATCCTATTTAAGAGCTGCGCTCTTGTCGGTGGAGCCCTCACCACTCACTACGATTTTCAGCGAGTCTCTTCACCTTTTGATACGACACAACACCAAATTTTTCCTTGATCCCCCAAATACTACCTATATGACAAATTATATGACAGTTGGTATAACATTTTACTCACTTTCACATTTATAATATTAACTAGCTTTTACCCGCGATTTCATCCGCGTGACCGGGATATATTGATTGACCGAAACAAAAATTAGTCTATGGCCTTCTTCATCCCATATAGTACGTATATACCAAATTTCATAGTAATTGGATTAAGCCTTTCAGGCGCTAAGAGATACCAAACAAAACCAAAATTACAATATTAATAAGGGCTTGGTATGTTTCTAGTTTAAGTGCCTTTATTACCTGAGTCCATAGATTTTTTACACATTGAAATAAAATTTTACAGGTTGTGATCATCGATGAGGTGGTAATGACGACATCTGATGAGAAGGGCGGTATGGGAGGCCCACAGGCGTGCCTGGCGCACGACTACGACGCAATGAAACCGGTGGTGCTGGCCACGTGGAAGCACGGCTTCCAGGGCGCTTGTCCAGACAAAAGTGCCATATTGGCTGAATCACAAGTAAGGCTGCTTAAAACTTTCATATAGCTTTAAATCAACAATTCAGCAACGCATAAGCAACTCCTCTCGTGTTACAAGTGTTCTTGGGCGACGGTAGCCGCTTTCCATCAGGTGGGCCGTCTGCTCATTTGTCTCCCTAACAATAAAAAAACGACTTCCAAAAAGTAGACAATTCCTTTTACGTACAATCAAAATATGGAACGAGTTCCCAGCAACAGTATTTCCGAACAGATACGACATTGAACCCTTCAAGAAAAGAGCATTTTCATTCTCAAAAGGTCGACAACATATTTTCAATTTCTCTGATGTTGCTGGTGGTCATGAGTGGTGATAAACATTTGACAATATGATGAACCACTTGCTTGTTTGTCTTGCTTCGTATGTTTATACGATTACATTGCCAATTCTGAACCAATTGTCACGAATCTTTTTTAATTGATAGGGTTTATTTGATTGATTTTCAGTGTTAGTCCCATATTAATTTTGTGGTGATCGAACCCGTCATTTTGATTAGCAAAACAAAAACTGCTTTGTGTGTGTGTGTGTGTCCACGATTGAAGTTGTTTTTTCACAGAAATAAGCAGGTATTTTATTAAATTTTATTGCTATTATATGAAAGTTCATATCACCAATTAGTTAGTACTATATATGTATAGGGCCTCTACTAACGATTGTCAGTTGTCACACGATCATACGCATATGCACGGAATTAATTCAATTCTAATCAACTCAGTTAATAGCTGGTATGATAATGATGATGATGATGATGAAACAGCAAAATGTTTTTCTTCATTTAAAATAATTTCAAGAGTATTTGTTACTGGATCTTATTATATTGGATACGCAGCCCAAATACAAACTAAATTTTATTAAAAATGTACTCTAAAATTGATTAGCTTTTATAATTACCAATGTATTATTTCCAGGTTGTTCAAGAAAGTCTACAGATACCCGGTACAGGGCTCAACTTAGTCTATCACAGCTCAAGAGCAGCCGGCTACCTTTCCACCATTCAACTGCAGCTAACTCCTGAGAAAATGCCACCGACACTTGCTTTAATACACTTGAGAATCACCATTGAAGGGATACTCTTCGAGAAGACATTTGAAGCGGATCCAGTCATAAAGTTCACCTATCCTTGGAATAGACTGAATGTTTACAGACAAAGAGTGTACGGGGTGACCACCGCGCTAGTGAAGGTCGGGTACCAATACACTGATTGCAAAGATATCATCTGGAATGTCCAGACGACCAAACTGAGTGGACATGACATGAGCATATCTGATGTCGGCGGATGGAACCTGGATATCCACCACAGATACAATTTCCATGAAGGTATGTTTTCCTTATATTGTTCTACTTCCACCAATACCATTATACCACCAAGCAATATACCCTATTAGGTCGACCTCCACGCGGTTCCCGCTGGAAACTATCGTAGTTATTTTTTGTGGAATTTGTCATGATGGGCTAGCTGACCTGCCCTTTCATCTCACCTATCATCCCTCACTGGTGCCCCGCCAGCGTATACCATCAGCGTAGGCGTGATTACCATTTCATTATCATCCATTAAAAAAAACTACTACCAATAATCTATGAAGATCTATGCATATCATAATTTTACCCGTGTAAATTAGGATATAAAGTACCACGAAGTTCTCTATGTGTTAGTCCAAGGTTTTGTTCTATTTCTATACCAAATTTTATTAAAATTACAACTATTCAGTATAAAAGTCATAAACATCACGCATATATTTACAAACTCATTTTCAAAAAGTAGGTTAATGTATAAATAGGTAAAGTATGGTGATAATAGGCTATATCCTCCATCCCTAGGCTATAACACCTTCAGTCCCGATAGCAGAAGGATATTGGTTCAGATCCTATTCGATTGGCTTGTCAGAACGTTAAGATTTGTTAAAGGATAAATTTCTAATCCCCTGTACACTTTTAGGTATCCTCCAAAAGGGTGATGGAACGAATATCTACTTGAAACACAAGCCGCGTCTCATTATCACCACAATGGGTGACGGAAGACAGCGTGCCCTGGAGTGCGGCGGCGCCGGCGCGGACTGCAGCGGGCCGGCCGCGCGCCAGCGGCTGCTGGCCCCGGTGGCGCTGGCCGCTGCTCCCGATGGTTCAATCTTCGTTGGAGACTTTAACCTTGTGCGCAAAATCAGCACAGATGGCACTGTACGGACGGTGGTCAAATTGAAGTGAGTAAATTGAATTTTGCACAAACAAATAAATCCCTTTTTCATCATTGTAGTTTATCACAACTGGATTTTCTGCCTACCGCGTAAGACACTTGGCGTAAAGAGAAATTGTTTAGTTAATACGTTTCTATATTAATTTTACTACAAAGTAAATAACGGAGCTCAAATTTATATCTACTAATCTGTCTTTATTTTAGGTACTAGGGAAATCTAGTACCTATAATCTCGCTGTCCGTCACATATCGGCTCCCTTATAGAAATAAGCGATATGCGATGGACAGAGAGAACCGATATATCATACAAATCTTTAGTTTTCAGTATTTTATGATTATAAAATTATTACAATAAGCGTACCACATTTTTAATGAAACATTGCTCTTTTCATTCCAGTGCCACCCGCGTCTCTTACCGATACCATATGGCTCTGTCACCCCTGGACGGTACCCTCTACATCTCCGACCCAGAATCGCACCAAATTATCAAAGTTCGCAACACTGACGACTACAGTGACCCTGAACACAACTGGGAGACAGTCGTTGGTTCTGGTGAGCGATGTCTACCAGGCGACGAAGCACACTGTGGTGACGGTGCATTAGCCAGGGACGCTAAACTCGCGTATCCCAAAGGTGTAGCAGTTTCAATAGACAATGTCCTTTACTTCGCTGACGGGACAAACATTCGTATGGTAGACCGAGACGGCATTATAACCACCGTCATTGGTAATCACATGCACAGAGCCCATTGGAAACCAATCCCGTGCGAGGGTACATTGAGTGTTGAGGAAGTGCACTTACGATGGCCGACAGAACTCGCTATCAACCCACTGGATAACAGTCTCCATATAATCGATGATCATATGATCTTGCAAATGGCTCCTGATGGTCGAGTAAAAGTTATCGCTGGAAGACCTCTGCATTGTCCATCACCCATGAGTGGATATGACATGGAGTTGGCAACGTATGCTACATTAGTCATGCCACAGAGTATTGCTTTCGGTGCAGCTGGAGATTTGTACGTTGCTGAAAGTGACTCTCAAAGAATAAATAGAGTCCGATTGATCACCACTGATGGCAAGATATCTTTGTATGCTGGTGCTGAGTCTAAGTGTAATTGTTTAGAAAGAGGCTGTGATTGTTTCGAAGCTGATCACTTCCTAGCTTCTAACTCAAAATTCAATACAATATCGGCTGTAATCGTGAGCCCTGATGGTATAGTCCATATTGCCGACCAAGCCAACTACAGAATTAGATCTGTCATGGCGAGTATTCCTGATGCTAGTGGAGCAAGAGAATATGAAATATACTCACCCGATACACAAGAGACATACATCTTTAATAGATTTGGTCAGCATATAATGACGAAAAACATTCTGACAGGCGAAAATAACTACGTGTTCTCATACACTGTCAATACTAGCAATGGAAAACTTAGTACTGTAACAGATGCAGCTGGAAATAAAGTATTCCTTCTCAGAGATTATTCCAGTCTTGTCAACTCCATAGAGAATACCAAAGGTCAAAAATGCAGACTTAAAATGTCTAGGATGAAGATGTTACAAGAACTTAGAACACCCGATAACTTCAATGTGACATTTGACTATCATGGTACTACTGGTTTATTGAAAGCTAAATACGATAGTACTGGAAGAAGTTACATCTACAAATATGACGAATTTGGCAGACTAACATCAGCTGTTACACCAACTGGAAGAATCATCAATCTAACATTCGATCTCAGTCTCAAAGGCGCTACAGTTCTTGTTAGTGAAAACAACAGAAAACCTGTCTCAATTCTAATAAAGGGATCTTCAGTAAAAACCAAAGTTGGAGAGGCTGAAAAGAAGACAATAATCTCAACAGACGGCAGTATTACTTCCAGTTTGCCATGGGGTCATGTTATATCTACCGATACTGTTCCTTACACTATACTATCAGAAATTGACCCTATTTTGGGAGAAAGTTACCCAGTACCAGCTAAACAAAGGACGGAAGTGGGCGGTGATTTGGCAAATCGTTTTGAATGGCGATACTTCTTGCGAAGGCTCCTGTCAAATAAAGGAAAGAGTAGCAAAGCTGTAGCACAAATAGGCAGGAAATTAAGAGTCAATGGTGAAAATCTTCTCACTCTTGAATATGATAGAGATAGCTCTACTGTCGCCGTATTCATGGATGATAAAGTCGAACTACTAAATGTCACATACGATAGAACTGCAAGACCAGTCAAATGGGGACCGCGAAATGGCATATTTGCAGAAGTCGAACTCGAATATGATAGATTTAATAGACTGACTAGATGGAGTTGGGGAGATCTAAACGAAACATACGGCTTTGATAGAGCAGGACGGTTGCACGAAATCCGATATGGCGATGGATCATCTTTAGCGTACTCTTTCAGAGATATGTTTACTAGTCTGCCATTGAAAGTCACAACACCTAGAGGTAGTGACTATCTTTTAGACTATGACGATTCTGGTGCTCTGCAAAATCTTACTACACCTCGAGGCCATATTCACACGTTTGCCCTTATGACATCGCTTGGGTATTTCAAATACCAATATTTCTCACCAATGAATAGACATCCCTATGAGATTTTGTACAATGATGATGGCCATATCTTAGCAAAAATATTCCCACATCAGTCTGGAAAAATTTTGTATGTGTATGATAGCACTGGCAAATTAGAAACCATTCTTGCTGGCGCATCTGCCATAAGATACGTGTACCACGAAAATACGCATCTCGTTAAAAATGTAGAAATCACCGATCCCGATTATGAACTGAAACAAGATTACAAATATCACGCGGGCATACTGAAAGATGAGAAAATGAAGTTCAATTCAAAGAGTGGACTCAACAACGCCCATTTCAAGTACCAGTATGATGGTAACGCACGTCTCTCTACTATCGATGCTAATATCAACAGCAAAGAAATGCCCCAACTCAGACTGAAATATAACCAGAACCTTGGCATTCTTGAAGGAGTGAGTGACTTGAGAATTTACAGGAATACTTTCAATCGTTCAGTCATGCAGGATACCAGCAAGCAGTACTTTACCATAACAGATTACGACGATCACGGCAGAATTAAGACGGTACTAATAAACATTAAGTCCTTTGATGTATTCCGCCTTGAATTGGAATATGATGTGAGAAATAGGATAAAAACGAAAAAGATGATGATTGGCGACACTTCGTCCAATGAACGAATTAGCTATAACTATGATGGTCACTTGATGGAAGTAGTTGGATCCGAAGACGACTGGAAATATGTTTACGATGAGAATGGTAATGTGATTGGTGTCATCGAACATGGAGAGAAGCGTTACCTCGGCTACGATATTGGCGACAGAGTTGTTCAATACGGCGATATAGAATTCAGCAGTTATGACGGCCGTGGCTTTGTCATTCGGCGTGGTGAACAGAAATACAGGTACAACTCACGTGGTCAATTTATCCATGCGTTCGAAAGGGATAAATTCCAGATGTGGTATTATTACGATGATAGAAACAGACTTGTCGCTTGGAAGGATGATAAAAGTAACATTACTCAGTTCTTCTACACTAACCCACAAACGCCTAATCTGATAACACATATGCACTATCCCAAGACCGAGAAGACCGTTCGATTCTTATATGATCAGAGAGATTTCTTGACTTGTATTGAGACAGAAGATCAACGGTTTTATGTCGCTACAGATCACAATGGTTCACCTTTAGTTGTGTTTGACGTTAATGGTGAAATCGTAAAAGAAATAAAACGTAGTCCTTTCGGAAAAATCATCAAAGATACTAACCCAGGTTTCTATGTACCTGTGGACTTCCACGGCGGTGTATTTGACTACAATACCAACCTGATATATCTGGAGAACAGGTTATATGATCCTATGGTCGGACAGTGGATGACGCCGAGCTGGGAACATCTTGCAACCAAACTGAGTCTACCGACAGACATATTTATATACAGATTTAAGAACAACGATCCTATAAATAAGAACCAGAATGTTCCGTATATGACTAACTTGGGAAGCTGGTTACAACTGTACGGGTATGATCTAAACAAAATGATGGGATCGAAATATATCACCGATATGATTTTCCAACCGATGACATCAGTCACTGCCTCTCAATTGGCCCCCGATTTTGGAGTCATGTCTGGACTTCAGTGTATCATTGAAAAGGTAAAATGCATTTCTATATCTCCTATTTTCTTCTTTCATATATTTGTAATCATGAATATAATATATTGTTACTTTATTGTAGGTGAACGACAAATTATCGGATATAGACTTCGTGCCTACTCCATTACTGAAAATGGAACCGATAACAAGGAATCTATTGCCCAGAGTGTCCTACAAGCGAGGAGTATTCGGTGAAGGAGTTCTCATCTCGAGGGTCGATGGCAAAGCATTTATCAGCGTAGCGGATGGCGCCAACAGTGTAGTTGAAGACGTCATTACAACAGTCTTCAACAATTCGTACTTTTTAGATGTGCACTTTAGCATTCACGATCAAGATGTGTTCTACTTTGTGAAGGATAACTCGCTGAAGATCAGAGATGACATGGAAGAATTAAGGCGGTTATCTGGAAAATTCAATGTGTCACAAGATGAAACGAATGACCAGGGATTGGAGGTGAGTATAATCGTATTTTTCTTATTCAATGTCATCATCATTTCAATCATTCACACTGCTGTTCATAAGTCTTACTCTCTGTCGATTGAAATAAAGAACTGTTTTGAACTAATTGCGACCTTACACTACGTTTACCTATATAAATTTCATTTATCGGTTCTTTTATGTGATTAGTTCTTTAACATCTTGTCTAACTAAATTAGTCTTTTGAAAATATTCTCGTTTTGGATTTTATCACGCAAAGAAACATCGAAAGTACCATATTTCATGGCTCACTAAGTAGCTTGAAACTTTTATAAATAAAACAAAAAATACCTCCCTTCAACTGGCTTTTTTTACATAAAGAACTATAAATATATGTTCTATTTTCAGGTACGTGTTCATGCGGTTGGCAAAGGTTCCGCCCAAGCAGTCATAGTTCTGCGTTACGGCGTCGATCCAACACAAGAGCGTATTAAACTGCTAAAACATGCTCACAAACGAGCCGCCGCCAGGGCATGGGAGAGAGAGAAGGCCCTAGTCGCCGCTGGCTGGGAAGGCCGAGGATCTTGGACAGAAGAAGAGAAGGAGGAACTAATCTCCCACGGAATCGTAGACGGGTGGGCGGCCAGAGACGTCCACTCGGTGTCCAAGTACCCACAACTAGCGGACGATCCCGCGAACATAGTGTTCGTCCGCGACGGCAGAAGAAAACGAAGAAAGAGCGGCAGAGCGCGCCACCGCTCGTGATTTTTCTGAACGTGCCATAACTCAACGCCTGTACACAGAAAGTGAGAAACGCGATCCACACTCGACTAGATGGCTGTTCTTGCGTTCTGAAACTCGGTAGGGTTTTAGTTCTTACTGTTTTTTATAGGACTGAAGTGTTTTCGTAGGTCTGCCTCGATAACGGTTTCTAAATATAAAGAAAAGGCTCTTGTGATCGGTGTAGTTCAGAAGATATTCGTATGTAAGATTAGAACTGAAGGTATCGAAGTGAAAGAATTAAAATTGACTCTGAATGATACGGATAGAGTTTATTACGTTTATGTAGGCTACAGCAAAATTGTTTACAAGCGAGCTCATTTCGTTTACGTACTTAGGCGTATGTTTAATCCTATCCTAGCTTATTAATTTTCGCTCCTTATTTGTCAGACTGAAACGAATCTCTTATACTCCTCACAACAGGGTACCGAGTCATAATTAAAAACATATGTAATAATAAATCTAAACAATATGTCAAACAAAGCATAATAATGGAACCAAAAATACTCAATTGCGATCACACTTTATAAACACAATTGATATTAATTTATTATAAATATTTTATTTAATCCCATGTACACATCACTTAGGATATTGTTTACACAAAATCATGTATACCCAAACATATTTTAGCCAAATATTTCTTTCTCTATATTAGGTACTTGTAAATAATATTTTATTCTTGTAGTGGTTCCTTTAATGTTAGACCTAAGGTCTTTTTTACTTCGCAATACTATTACTATTTAAGCAATAATTTTATATTTTTTATAAACCACATGCGTCTGACTCAACCGTCAACCGTTATTTTCGCTAGTACTGCCATTGAACCTTGTCGCATTAAATTTGCAGAGTGCAGAATTCCATTTTCAAATCAGTTCCCTCTAACAATAGATTTTGTTCGGAGCGACAGAGTTCTAAGTAGACACACTAATCCAGTAAAAGTAGCAAGGCCTCGTAAAATAAAATAGACGAATAAATAAATTAATTAAAATTTACAGAAACTTTAATACGTACATTCTGCATGTGTTGTGCAATAATCAAACAGTAGGGCATACGGTTACTGAACCGTTTAGGGTCATACTTCTTGCTGACTTATTAAGCCGCATGTTTCCTTAGAGACTGAATTATTTTTTAATTTATATTGACAGTGTGGGCAGGTCTACATCGCAGCCAGTCTCTTCTAGGTTTTATCAGAAAAATACTGTTCGCACAAAATTGGTTTTACAAATTAATAATAGATCTAAACAATAATTAATATATACGTTTTTTTTACTATTATTATTATTATTAAGACAGCACGTGCGATGTAGACTTGCCCACACGGTCAGCCGCTGACTTGTGACTCGTATTTCCTAATGATAAGTCAGCGAGAAGCAAAAAAAAAAGTTGTAATTAAAAAAAAGTAGTATATATAATAGTACATGTCCATAAATGTGTCTCATTTAAATTGTGGTGTCTATTCCGTGTTAGAATTACTTATTAATGCTAGTTGACTGAGTGGTTGGTGATATGAAGCGGATATTTTTACAAAAATATAAAATATATTGGGGAAATGGAATATAAACTCCCGGGTCCGCGGCGTAGACCCATGCGATGGTGATATTTTTTCAAAATGTGACTAAACGAAGCAATACATTGTAATGTAATACGTCTTATCCTTTATTTAGTAATTATAAGTATTTTAATTTAAATTAATAATATATATATATATATATATTATATATATATATCTATGTGAATGTAGTTATTCATTTCGCGGTGATATTTACTAGAGCAGTATATTATCTTTTTTATAATGTATAAAGATTCTAATTTGTAAATAGGTACTTAATGAGGATGTAATCTGTAAAAATATTGTACATATCTTTACGCTTTGATTATTTTTAACGTAAACCCATAAGGAATTTAGTGTAACTGAAAAATGTAATATATCAAACTGTTTCGGGCGGAAGGTTATAATACTATTACACGAACTCGACAGTAAATATGGAGCCTGGAATTGTAAGATCTGAATTCTAATATAAATGTTATGAGTAACTCAACGGAACATTTGAGTGCTCACAAAATGTCTTGAATTGAGTTACTCATCAGCAGAATCTAAATGCAATATGTGTACGTTTAGCTACCATCGACAATTTACCATAGACTTCAATTTTTAGATTTTTAGAGAGCTTGAAAGATACGGAATTCACGATAAAACGGTATTTACAAGTAGAACTGATTCCTCGTACTGCATTTAATTTATACTACTGTAGATAACGACGCGTAGACACCAATAAGCTTTGTACACTGTGACGTTGCGTAATTATTTATTATATTTTAGTCTCAATTACATTTTATATACACTATGAATTATTATTAAATTACTTATCATAACAAACAAAATAAAATAAATGTATTTTAAATAAAAATTAACTATGAAATAATAATGCCCTGTTTAAATGTGTTTTATATCAAAATATATTAAGAATAACCAAAAATATTTAAAAAAAAATTGTCCATATTAAAAAAAAAATTAATAACAGCTCAAATTATTTTTATGTGATTTCTATGATTTGAATATGCATTGAATATAATCCACTATTTATATACTTAAACAATTTTGTTAATTGATAACATTGAACTATTGCAATTTATTAAACTTACCTACTTATCTATACATAAGAACCTCCTACCTACCTAATGTACCTTCCTATCTACTATCATGTTTTCCTAAAAATATAACCTCATTTAATCTATCACCCCATATAACCATAAAGAACCAAACCAGTAAAACACTCGTATGTTTTCTTAAAATGTATACCTTTTTAAGGTAGATATTTTACTCGGTATTTTTACTGGTCACTCTGTTACCCCTTAACTCTATCTCCCACCATATAACCATAACCCTGAAAAGACCTATAGGTACACTGAAAAATAGGCAAACTAATTTTTTTTTGTAATAGTTTGTGCTTGTGTGAGTAATTTTCAGTTAACACTATAACTTGTATTAGTGTGTGGTAGCCCGCAACAGCGCAGTGTGCTAGCTTGAAATCTTTGAATGTGTATAGATAGTTTACAGTCATACTCGGTTAGTTTGGCTCGTGTGCGTGCTACGAGAGGTGATGTAAGCATGTACAATAATAATTATAGAAGTATTCTAATGGAATATGTAATAAAATATTAAAATATAAACATGTTGGTTTCAATACAACGCCCTCTGTTGATCCTTAACTTACGTTTATATTATTATTTGTATTAAATGAATCGCTAAGGAGTTTTCCTTGTCGAAAGTGAAACGTTTTTTACAACTTAAAATGGAAAACAAGATAATGGAAAATGTTCACCGTCACTTATAAACAGCACCAAGACATCATAGAATAAATTTACTGTGACGTCCATGATACTCCTCATGGTATATCGTTCCTGTGGAGGCATTGTACTGCTTTGGATATGTGAAAATGGAATGGTAACCCCGCCTGCGTTAACAAGAAACAACAGAAAGTCGATTGCTTGGGTACCTCTGTCCCATTCGTGTTTCAACCGTGAAGGAGTTGTGTTTGCATGACTGTGTTTCGGTTTGAAGGGTGAGATATGGCGTGAATTTACTGGGTACAGAGGAATAACACCTGAGTCCTCAGGAATGGCATCGCATGGGGGGTATCATGGGCAAAACAGTATACTCTGTTATGTCCATGGTACTGCTCATGTCTATAGGCGACAGTTACCACTTTCCATCAGGTGGGCCGTCAGCTTGTTTGCCATTCTAAGTTGTATAAAAATATATATATAAGATGCATATTTCTTTATGTTTATGTATATTATATAATTTATTATGTATATATGTACATAAAAAAATTTTTTTTTACCTTTTCCAATAATGAAGTACCGCGTTCGTGATTCACTGTTCAACCCAAAGATAGACTGGTAGAGAATGCTACTAGCATTAAGTCCACCTTTTGTACCTTATTTTTTTTAATGGGTGATAATGGAATGGTAACCCCGCCGACGCTATCGGTATACGCTGGCGGGGCACCAGTGAGGGATGATAGATGATGATGAAAGCAGGTCAGTTAGCCCACCATGATGAATTCAACAAGAATTAACCATGATGGTTTCCAGGGGAATCACGTCGAGGTCGACCTGAGAGGGGGTATTAGATCTCATTACTAACAATCTCTTTTCCCCCTTGTACCTTATTTTATTTTGGTCAATAAAGTTATTGAAATGATTAAATAAAAAAAATATAATGAATTTCATATATCATCATCATCATCATCATCCCAGCCATTATCCGTCCACTGCTGGACACAAGCCTCCCCCATAGACTGCCATAAAGAACGGTCCGGAACAACCTGCAGCCACTGACTCCCTGCAATGCATTTAACGTCGTCACTCCATCTAGTAAGGAGGTCGCCATCACTCAAGAAGCTTTCTTCCCCATCGGTTGTCGGTTCTTCAAACTATGTGACCAACCCATTGCCACTTCAGCTTGCTTATCCTTCGAGTTATGTCGGTTACTTTGGTTCTTTTGCGGATATCCCTATTTCAGATTCTATCACACAAAGAGACTCCGAGCATAACCCTCTCCATAGCCCCATACGTACATAGCATACTGTTTCGCCCATGATACTCCCCATGCATTGCTATTCCTAAGCCCTATTTTCACTGCCATATCCCACCCTATCACACAACAAACACGAATGGGACAGTGCACAAGCAAACGACGATGGAGAGTGGACCCCCACTAGATGGAGTGGCGACCTGAAGGTCGTCACTCCATCTAGTGGGGGGTCGGCCTACAAAGCGTTTACCCGTACGCGGTCGCCACTGAAGAACCTTTCTTCCTCATCGTTTGTCGATTCTTTGAGCTATGTTGCCACTTCAGCTATGTGATATAGATATATATAAATAAAAACTACTAAGTCACAATATAAAAATATTTTTATTCCATATATTATGTATATTGATACACAGCCTGACAGCAAAACCAGAAACATATAAACTATGGCATACAATCAAAGATATATTTAACATTACATATAAAATTTTATTTAAAAACATGGCATACCACAAAACATGTATCGTACAAGTTAATTGAAATTGGCCATAGCAAATTACATGCAATGGATGTAGGAATCACTTGTGATTACAAATCAATTACATCATCACTATTGCAACCACGTTGTTAAACTAAAATAAAAAAAAATCTATTCACGATTAAAAAAAAAAAGATATAAAACAGTCACATTAAAAAAAAAATAACTATCAATTAATAGTACAATAAATATTCACCAGGATCCATTACAATTGACTCGTAGAATACAATTAATTTCTTGTCCTTTTCACATTCGTTGACTTCAAATACACTAAACTGAAATTAAGCAGGTATACAGAATGTCCATTACTAGAAATAACTTTCAGAGACCTATATAATATTTAAAATTATCTATTTTAATAATTTTACTTCATATTTATATTTTAGTATGGAATCATTCTCATCGTTATCAATCAGTTTATGACTAGCAAGATAAATAAAAATTAAAAAAATATCAACTGCAATAATTTCACAATTGGTAATAAATACACAAAAAACAATCGTTAATTCTTCTTTTTCCTCATTTTTTAACTGGATAAAAAGAAATCATAGGATCGTATAAATTAGACCATTTTAATTGCCAGTCTTCGAAGGCTTTAACTTTATTAGTACATTACTGCAGCGGCCAGCAACTGAGGCATTGATGGACGAATGTGCAAATGTGGGCCGAGGCCGGGGCGTAGCCGAGGCACGCATACGTGAGTCCATTAATGCCAAGTTTTGGCCAAGGCTTAAATAGTACTTTTCTCAAACAATGCGCTGAAATCAAAAACACAATTTAACTTTTTAAGTTCAATGACGAATAACGAACAATTATAATTTTTCACGCGCCATGTTCCTTTTTTTTTTCAATAAACAGCTTTCTATTTGCGAGCCAGTTCGAAATTTAAATAAACCCTTTTATTTGTTACCTCCTTGGAAGCCATGTTTCGAAGTAAAAGGTCATTTCATTTTTAAATTACAGGACAGATATGAGTTTACATAGTAATTTATCTGGCACGACAAATATGGATTTTCATACAACTTTTGCCGGCCGCTGCCCGCATGTATCTGGCCAGTACGGCAATTTTGATTTATCTCGAAGAAGATTGTCAAAATAATGCTCACATTTCCAAGCATGTTTGAGAAAATATATTTATTATATAATGAAGTCTTACACACAGTATGCAAATATATATATACAGTAATTTACAGTCGACAATTATTCTGTTTTAATACACTTTTAAATAAATAAATTAACAATAAATTGCTTAGTTACAAATAAAAGCGTCTTAGCCTCAATTAATAAATGCTCATACCCTTTATTTCAAATAGGACTATCTTTGAACTAAATCTATAAATGCTATTTACTTGTCACAATAATTGTATTTAATACAAACAGACAACACAATACACGTTTATTAAAAAAAAAAAAAACACTTATTTAATTTTATAAAACAATTAACTAATACGATTTTTTTTGTCAAATTATAAAATACATTACAAAAAACTATAAATACTTATTTAACCTATACAATAATTATAAAGAAATAATCATTCGAACCTGTCTTTTTAATAAATTAACAAAAAAAACGTAGTTTAAAAAATATACAAAATATACAGTCAAATATAAAAAAAATCTTTTTGTCAAATATGTACTATATTGCGTTACTATATATATATATATAAATATACATATATATATATATATATATATATATATATATATATATATATATAAAACTATTGATATGTCGTATTTTTAAACATAAACTCGTTTAACAGATTGCCCACAACAAATCTGATACAAAAACTGTAAAATACAGTCATATTTTTAAACAAATGGAAACTGACGTCAAAGACAAACAAACCAACAAATATAAATCAAGATTGTAAAAATAGTATAATATATTGCTAATACTATGAATTAGAGTTCAAGGCAACCATAGACAACTGAGTTTGCGATGTAGATGTAGTTTTTGTACGTAAAACTATTACTGCGCCGGTCACGTGATCCAATAATTATGTGTAAATTATTATCCGATATCTGTACATATTATAAAATAATAAATTAGGGTCATAAATAGTGGTTGAAAACAAATAGACATCTCACTAGATATTTCCTAAACTATAGAAGACAGTGTAATATGCCCTTTATTTTCATGAATGTGTGCCAAATATGATCACTTACAAACTGACAGACATAAAGCTATCGTGTAACAGTTTTTCTGTACAACAGTGTAATTTACACACAAACAGTAATATTAAACTAGAAAAAAAAAACTGTAAATAATTTAATACAAATATTGTATAAAAATTATGTAGGTCCTAGTTACCTTTACTAAAGAATTTATTTATTATTATTATTTTTGTATATAAAAGAGTTAAGCTAATATTGAATGTATAATTCAAACTTTTATAAATTTACATTTTCTCTTATTATGAATGATTGTGTAAGGACAATCGATAATTTAATCAATCTACCTTTCCATCTATCAATTAAGTACATTTGCGTGAAAGACAGAGACAGAAAGACATATCTGGAATGTATTACTGGCCGCGTGCACGTTATATTTTGACGTAATCTGATAACAAGCATGATTTGTATGGCTACAGAAAATATATGAAAATTATAATATCAATTTTGTAAAATTCTATTGCTAAAAGGAAAAAAAAAATTATTTGGTAATGCTAAATTACTTTACTTATTATACTAAAAAAATGACTATAACAAACGGGAGTTTTCTCTTTTGTTATTTAGTACTTATCTACATAAAGCAAAACGGTTAAAATTAATGGATTTGAAATATATACAGTAAGACACAAATAGACTCGTCTATCTATACTTATAATAAATCTGTATAATAATCTGTAAATCTGTGTAAAATAGAGGTCAATTCTGTACATGGGCAGGTTATAGTATACTTTTCATCACGCTACGACCAATAGGAGCAAAGCAGTGAAGGGAAATGTTGGGAAAACGGGATCATATCATTTTGTTTGAGAAGTTACTCCATTTTTAAGCTTCCATCGCGTGTGCAGCCTTAATGGCCACTTTTTAAAATGTAAAAATGTCCACCCGTGCGACGCCGGGACGGGCCGCTAGTATAATATATAACTATATACATAATACAAATCCAAATATATTAGAAAAAAAACAATCAAGTCTTACAAACACATCGATTGACTAAGCAATATTTTAAACAACCTATTGACTATATTTTGAAATTAATGAATCATATAATACCCAATATGTTAGAAGTGAATAAATGAATTTAAAAAAAAATCGGTTTTAAAAATAATATTATTACTTATGGCAATGCCAGAGGGAGACTTTGTACAAAAGTCGATTGCTTAGGTACCTCTGTCCCATTCGTGTTTCTACCGAGAAGCAGTTGTGTTTGCTTTACGGTAAAGTCTAAAGTAAATTTAAAAGTCTATATTTCAATACAGATATAACAATCGATAGAATTTGACAGATAATTTATAATTATACTACTCATATATTAAAATAGGCAAGGGTTTTTAATAAGGCAACTTAGTTACGCAATCGTTTTTAAATACTTTTTTTATACCACTGAGGTGGCAAACAAGCATACGGCGGTAAGCGGTAAGCGGACGGCCCACCTGATGGTAAGCGGTTACTGTAGCCTATGAACGCCTGCAATACCAGAGGTATTACGCGCGCGTTGCCGACCCTGAAGAAACCTCTTTACCCCCCTTTTGAAGAACCTCATGCTGTAATCTCTTGGGAAAACCTCGGCAGGGAGCTCATTCATTTTAAATACTTTTTTCACTAATACGTAATACCGTTATTAATAATATAAAGGTATGTATATACCAATTATTGAACCAAATTCCCCTTCCTTTCCCATGGGTGTCATAAGAGGTGACTAAGGTATATTATTGGCCGAGGGATGAGCTGCAGCGTCCCTCTTAAAGCATCACCAAATCCTAACTGCAGTTGCCAATCCCCGTGCCAGGCGTGGCAACTACTGGCAAAACCCCTGTTATAGGGAAGGCTTATGCTCAGCAGGGGACAGTTAAGCCGATATGATGATAATGATTAAACCAAATTACGTCGCAGTAAGGTTTAAAGTCGATTAATTTTCATTTCAATCCAGGTATTGTTGACTAAAGACCTAACAGATGCTGCCCTGTTTAAATTAAATATTTTAATTAATAAAAAATTAAATAAACATAATATAAATTGTAATGTTGGCGAGAAATCATTTTTGCATAATTTCACATTCGTGTTATGACAAATTAAGTTAATAACACTATTGTACTTAGTTGTATTACAAAAATTAAATTAAAATTAAAAAATATAAATATATTCCAGTTTTTCAGTTTAAAACTTTAAATAATGTATAGTTTATATTTTACTACTTATATGCTGTTAAAATAAAAAAAAATAAGCACAGTAGGCATTACAAAATCATACAAATAAACGTACCTCATTGTGCTGCGCATGCGTTGACAATTATGTCAAAAATTGCAATGATATCCGGTACGAAATAATAAAATAATACATCAGTTTAAAACTAAGGTAAACTTATTTTTAATGCACAATTTTGGAAATTAAAACTAATTTATAGCTGGTTATTTGATTAGAATTGTTTAATTCCACTACAATTAGTATGTGTGCGATTGCCAACACTAGAAGATTGAATACCATTATTATTACTAGAAAGTCCACAACCTTCCCATATTAGCCATCGATATCCGACTGCCATTGCGTCCACGCAAGTTTTACTAGACATGTTTCAGCTCTGAACGAGACATCTTCAGGCAAATTAATATTTTATAAAATTATATGACAAAACTGCATGGATTTGAATATTGTATTAATGTGAATTGTACTGTAAATGTAATTATTGTAAGTTTTTTTAAATCAATATTATTTTATATAGTAATTGTTATAATTATAAATTGACGTATCATAAGAATCTGTAACAGATGTATATGAATAAAGATGATTGATTGATTGATGGTACCCAAACTGAGAATGACTTATTTTCAGTCGTGCTGGAGTTTTTTTCGAGTGTTGCCAGTCACACGCATACTAATGGTAGCGGAATTAAACAAAATAATTCTATATGGAATTCCGCAAAATAACATCTAGTTTAGTAAAATAATTTATAGCCTCATGTATTCCTTGAAGTTAATTTATATTAATAAATGACTTAACACTGTGTTAGGTACAGGCATAAGTGTCAGCGTTTGACAGCTGACTAAAATAGTTAGTTTTTATCCCAGAAAACAAAGCAAAATTGTTATGAAAAATACGTGTTAAATTCGAAAATATTTTGGATTGGTTCTTTTACGTACAGTGTACACTGAACGGGTCCAGAATCCGGGCAATCTTAAAATATCTTTTAAATTGAATGAATAAATGAATGGTTTATTTTCTCTTCACAAAAGGCAGTATAAGGTGACAGATATAAATAAATAAATAAATAAAGAGATAAATAAATAAATAAATAAAGAGATAAAAATACAGAGATAACGTAATGATTTTCTCTCTTATACATTTGTAAAAGTCTATAAAGCTGCTAATGTGTCTTTATTTCGTGTGAAATTGTCTTCAAATGACGAAATTATGAATTTTAGTAACTAATTACCGAGTGACATATTTTTAATACATAAGAAAAATATACATTTTTTTTTATAACTTTATCAAAAAAAAATAAAAACGTACTGTTAAATTTTAATACAGTAAAAGTAATAAAAATAAATTCGCATATACACACATATATCGTAATGCAATATTGCAAATTTACTAATAAAATTAAATGCATATTGTTAGGAATCTTGCAAGACAGTTTCTAGAAATAGCCTAGCTAATTTACCTACATTCACAAGTCGTGCTACCATTTTCGACCTTAACGTCACAACAAATAGGGCACATACTCGCCCGAGTACAAAGCCATATAAAAAGCAGTTGAAAACACTTATAAATATTAGACGCAGTAAAAAAAATTATCAACATTCAGTATTTTAATTAATTTTTTTTTTATCAAAAATTTCCATTTTGTACAACTATCACTACGAGTCATATGTCAAATTTTATCTTGACATGCAATAAGAAAATAGAAATAATATAACATACGAACAAACAGATAAACAACTAGGATTCACGTAACTCTAAACCTTATTTAACGTTACAGACTAGCTTCTGGGAGAGTGATGGCCTCTCACAACTACCACAATCTATTATAATATAAAAATATATCTCCTATTGATATGTATTGACTGTACATAATGAATATATATATATATAACTACATATTAAATAACAGTGAAAGCTAATAATAGGATATTTCTAACTAGATTATATCTCTAAAAAAAACATATATATATATATATATATATATATATATATATATATAGTCAACATTAAAAAATCTAGTCGCCTAATTAATGTCAGCCCTGGAATGTCAGATTCCTTGCACTGTACTCGTTAAAAATCATTAATATTGTAATGTTGAACATAAATTTGAAGTCAATAAATCTAAATTTAACTTCCACGAGACACGCTTTGCCTAGTGTGGGGTCATAGTTATATTGTACTACAGGCTAATTTTGTTTAAGGAAATAAAGTTATTAAGTAAAGTATTAAGTAAGTAAATAGGTATGAGCTATTTAAATGTCTTTTGTCTCGCTCACACTCCACTCAAAATATGAGACAGAATGAGATAGCAAATACTGTTGAGCCTGATTCTCTATTTCGTTATGTCTATTATGTCTCTATTAGTATAATCACTTTCAAGATTAAATTTATTGACGTCAATTTTCTGTTCGTGTTTCAATCTCTTATTTCACACTTTCTTTTCTATTATAACACCAATTAGCGGTCCACATTATAGAAAGTAACTGTAGCGTACAAACTGAACAACACCATGGATGTCACAGGATACACTGTGGCACCCAGGGTACCTTTTATGCGATACCATTCCTGAGGACAAAATAATAATATTATATTATATTATTACTGCAGTGCGGTCCCGGCATAAAATGGGCTAATCCTTCCTTTCCCGTGGGTGTCGTAAGGAGCGACTAAGGGAATTTAACAGACGAGGGATAGGCGGCAGCGTCAAAAATTTTTAAATTTTAAAAGGGATGCTGTAGCTTTACTTGTATGAAACTATACAATTACAGCTATATAGGCACTTTAATCCTCAGGAATGACAACTCGTGAAGGGTACCATGCGTATCACACTGACATATTTGCGGTTCTGTTTGTATCTATAGCCAATAATTACAACTTTCGTTGAAATGGCCCGTCAGTTTGTTTGTTATTCCAAGTTACATAAAATATGCATTCCACTTAAGAGTAATTGTGATCTCTATAAACCAATAGAATGTTTAATTTCTTGTATATCCTTCTTTGTATACAATACTAGAATATCTAATATTCTCAGAATTTCAACTTTGTATCGACACTTTATGGCAAAACTTTCCAAGTTACATAAAAAAAATAAAGTCAACTTTATGGGTACCATAACACTCACTCAATAATCGGGTAGGGGCCCAGTGACCCGCGGCCGCTCCTGCTCCCATTTGTCCATGACGTGATGATGGACGGTGTCCACTGTCCACTGCTGGGTGTCGCTGTCGTCCTCGCATGTGTTGATGTAGAGGGCGCGCGAGGAACGGTCCCAATCTAAGCAGTTGTTGCCGGCGCCTTGAGTTAATTTCTTCGTATCCTGGAAACGATTTATGGACGAAGAATCGTATTAAGTCTTATAAATTACTTACCAGAAGGAGACTTTGTACAAAAGTCGATTGCTTGTGTACCTCTGTCCCATTCGTGTTTCAACCGTGAAGCAGTTGTGTTTGCATGGCTGTGTTTCGGTTTGAAGGGTGGGATATGACGTGAATTTACTGGATACCGAGGAATAACACGTGAGTCCTCAGGAATGGCAACGCATGGGGGGTATCATGGGCGAAACAGTATACTCTGTTATGTCCATGGTACTGCTCATATCTATAGGCGACGGTTACCGCTTTCCATCAGGTGGGCCGTCAGCTTGTTTGCCATTCTAAGTTATATAAAAAAAATCCGTTTATTTAATAGAATGTCGCGGGAAAAATGGTAAAGAAAATGTAACCTAAATATAACACTTAAAGAAGTGAAACAGATCACTCATACAATATTAAAAATGATACATACCAGATATATACTATATGTTAGAAGAAAGAAGGTTTAAAGTTACGCTCAGTGGGCATTACTTTAATATATATATATATATATATATATATATATATATATATATATATATATATATATATATATATATATATATATGTGACTATACTCACGGTATGGTATCTCCACAACTGATTCCCACCAGACAGGTGGCACCCGAATAGTAAAACTGGACTCTTGGGCTTCGAATTCGGCAGATCCCAGCACATGTTCCGTTTTTTTGTCCTATAATTTACAAATCATTATTGAAATGTTTTTACTACATACTAAATAAATATAGGAGCATTATCCAGTGTTCTGTCTAAGTGAGGAATTCAAAATCTTGAAAATTATTTATGTACGAGACAAGGTTATGAAAATGGACAAAGAAGAGATAGAAAATACACACACACACACGCACGCGCACGCGCACGCACACACGCACGCACGCACCCACGCACACACACACCCACAAATACACACACACACACACACACACACAGGACTTCTTTTTTTTTTATTCAACTTAGTATTATTTCTACATACTTGATATCTTTATGCCAGGAAAAGACGAATTGTTGCTCGGCGGGTATATCGTCAGAACAAGTGTTCAGGTGCAGTTTATCCAACTGATCGCCGTGATGAGCGTCCACGCACAGCTGCGGGTTCGATGCCGGTTTTATCTGTATTGAAATTGTTATATTATATATATTAAATACTACATATTATAGTGTGTAGGCAGTGCGTAGCGTAGAGACGCCCCAACAGCCGGTCCGTAACTGTCAGCGGCGGCGACGCCGCTAAGCTAACGGTGTTTTTGTAATGGATGATAATGGAATGGTAGCCCCACCCACGCTATCGGTATACTCGTACCGATGGGACACCAGTGAAGGATGATAGGTGAGGACGAAGTAGGTCAGTTAGCCCATCGTGACGAATTCAACAAGAAATGTTCACGATGGTTTCTACGGGGAACCACGTGGAGGTCGACCTAATAAGACATATTTCTAGCAATGGGGCTATCAAACTCCAATGCTAACCATTCCATTTTTCCCCGCTAAGCTAACGGTAGCGCACGGGAGGGCGACGTGAGCGGGGAGGACGATCGGAAAGGGGAATTACTCGCGGCCGTTGCGCGGTGGCGGTTTTAGGAACCCGCATTACAATATATACCAAAATCCATGACGATTTGTTGAATGGTTAAAATTAATTGATGTGTTGTATTTAACATATATATATATATATATATATAATATACAATAACTATAGTAAAGTCCGTGTTATGTAGTCAATCCATGTATTTAGAGCTATTTTCCTTCCCTATTGCTTTAAATATTATTTAAGCGAATTGTATTAAATGCAATCTGCTGGAATCATCTTCAAATATGGCAAAATTACGTGGGGGTCGACCTGACAGAATATAATGGCTAGGCTAGTAATGGGGCTGTTAGACCTCATAACTAACAATCCCTTCTCCCCAGAATATATAATTAAATGTGGGTAGAAGGCAGAAATGAAGATAATTTGACATTTCAGTTTGTAGATAAGTGTAGTACGGGTTAAAATATACTTTAATTTTTGTGAATAAATTAATATTAATAATTCAACACGTTCATAGCAACCTTTAACTGTCCACTGCTGAACATAAGCCTTGGGGGGTTTTGCCAATAGTTGCCATGCTTGGCAATTCGCCTGGCAGCCGCAGTTAAGCTTGGGAGATGTTTTAAGAGACGCTGCTGCCCATCCCTCGCCTTCCCTTAGTCGCCTGTTACGACACCCACGTGAAACGCAGGGACTGCCTATTCTATGCCGGGACCATATGGTTATATATTAATAATAAATAAAAGTTTGTTCTTACCTTCCCTTCGGCATACGGACTGGGTTCTATTGGCGGATACCGGAAAGGGAGGTCAAACGCCACCTGGTGGTAAAATTAATATAACGTTTACTGCAATATAGAATCACATATGTTACAATGATTAAATGAAAATTATTTAAGAGTTAATTTTACCACTTTCCGATTTTATAACAAATTTGATAACAGAAAGAGACTTTTTACAAAGATCTGCTTAGGTACCTGTGTCCTACTCGTGTTTCTGTCCTGAAGTAGCATGCATTACTGCATTTTATTTTGAAGAATAACGCAATAAAATTACACGGTACAGAGACATATCGTCATAGTCGTAGAATACTGACGGATCTGACAAAGATTACATATAAATACCCGTCAGTATTCTACGACTATGACGTTATGATTCAAATCATGAAATAAGGAGTCCATGTTGTGGGTAGTTCAATTGACATCTTAACTGGGTTTTTTTAATGGATGATAATGGAATGGTTACCCCGCTTGTGCTATCGGTATACACTAGCGAAGTACCAGTGATTGATGATAAATGAGGATGAAGCAGGTCAGTTAGTCCATCGTGACGAATTCAACAAGAATTGTTCATGATGGTTTCTAGGGGGAACCACGTTGAGGTTAACCTAATGGGGCATACTGCTAGCAATGAGGCTGTCGAACTCCATTGCTAACAATTCCTTTCCCCCCATCTTAACTAGGTTAACACAACATGGTGACAGAGGTGTTTTAATTTAATAAAATATTCTGCATTCTGCAATTCTGTACAGCCATAGCAAGGTTGGGTACCCTGGGTACAATATATTCTGTGATATGCATGATGCTGTTCGTGCCTCTGTAGGTGACAGGTTACTACATTCCATCAGGTGGGCCGTCAGCTTGTTTTCCTTTCAAAGTTACATACAAACAAATTGTCACACTGACCTGTGTCATAAACCATTTGAAAGGTTTACAGTGCAGTCGTTCTCGAAGGGCCTTCTGTTCCGTGAGATCTCCAGGATCGATGTTCCGGTAGTGCGGCCGCCGCGAGTACAAATATTCTGCGTACTCGTCCATCCATACTTCGGCCACGCGACGGTAGTTCTGCAGTCATTAAGCAAAATAATTGATAGATCAAGCGTCATATTCGTGCACGGGTTTTTTTTTTGTGGATGAAAATGGTAAGGTAACCCCGCATACGCTAGCGGGATACGCTGGCGGAGCACCAGTGAAGGGTGATAGATGAGAATGAAAACAGGCCAGTTAGCCCATCATGATGAATTCATCAGGAATTAACTATGATAGTTCCCAGGGGGAACCGCGAGGAGGTCGACCTAGTTGGGTATATTGCTAGCAATGGAATTTTTAATCTCCATTACTAACAATCCCTTTCCCCCCTACTCGTGCACGGGTTTTACTTGTAGTTATACAGAGTATAAGGAACAAGTTGGCAAAAACGAAAACAGTTAATTCAGACCATTATTCTGAATTGATATTTAGTGTAAATTCTTATCGGAAAATTTCTAGTATTTTTCCTGTTCTTTTTTTTTTCCATACACAAAAATAATCCGACCGAACTTAAATAGCCCTTAAATAGTCATAAATAAAGTACAAAGTCAGTTGTATCCAAAAGTGTGTGGAACGTACCTTGCCAACGAAGTCGCCGTGTCCGGGATTGGGGAACGGCGCGAACTTCCGGTAGATGTGACCGACGCGGGAACACGGCGCGTCCAGCATTTTACCACCACACTGCCAGATCTAACAACCGACAGCAATCACAACTATGAATACTGTCATCATCACAGCCATTATCCGTCCACTGCTGGACATAGGCCTCCCCCATAGACCGTCATAAGGAACGGTCCTGAGCCACCTGCATACACTTACTCCCTGCAATGCATTTGAGGTCGTCATTCCATCTAGTAGGAGGTCGCCATCACTCAAGAAGCTTTCTTCCCTATCGGTTGTCGGTTCTTCAAACTATGTGACCAACCCATTGCCACTTCAGCTTACTTATCCTTCGGGCTATGTCGGTTACTTTGGTTCTTTTGCGGATATGCCTATCACAGATTCTATCACACAAAGAGACTCCGAGCATAACCCTCTCCATAGCCCCATACGTACATAGCATACTGTTTCGTCCATGATACTCCCCATGCATTGCTATTCCTAAGGACTGAGGTGTTATTCCTGTGTACCCTGTAAATTCACTGCCATATCCCACCCTTCAAACCGAAACATGATCATGCAAACACAACTGCTTCACGGTACAAACACGAATGGGACAGAGGTGCACAAGCAAACGACTTTTGTACAAAGTCTCCCTCTGGTGAAATACATCAAATTGGGTACTGTCTGTCGAAATCTACGCGGAATATCAGTGTTAATATCGCCCCTGACGAACGGTCTCCTTAATATGTATGTGGGTGTGAGATAGAATCGGTAAGTAAGGTAGGTAAGTATGACGTGTAGAAGCGAGATAGTATGAGATGTGAATAGTTACGAACTAGAATGAGTGAGAGAGAGACGGACGTGTGTGGAAGGGAGATAGGGAGAAAAAGTAAGATGGAGGAGGAGTAATACGACGACGACGCATGTGTAAGACATTTTTATAAAAATAAATTCAAGAAGTGCTTGGATTATTGTTTTTATTCCTCCACTGCGCCACATGTATATATACATATATACTTATTTTAACTCTATTTAAACGTACTGTATTCATTTAAAACTTCATAAAGAGCAAACTATTGTAAAAAAAAAAATACTTACAATATGAGTCAACAGAAAATCGACGTTGGTAATTCATCTTACAAATTCCGCGGCGTAAGATCGGCAATCGAAGATCTGCTAAATGTGGCACTAGCCTATAAAATCGTATACAGGACCTACTTTAAACTGGATGGCATTCTGTACCATCCAACCGTAAACTTTAGTATCAACTCTTGTTATAACTCTTCTACTTCATGCACGATTTTCCTTACAATTGCCGACTCTTCAACAGATTAGAATCTAAATCAAGATGCCCTTCAAATCAATTAGAATCTTGTTACCTTGAAACTGAGTTCATATTGCTCTCCACCCCAGATGTCGAGGCCGGGATCGTAGCCGCCGAGCTCCCAGAAGAAGGCGCGCGATATTGCGAACAAACCGCCGGCCATTACGGGACTCCTGTCAACGAAATTATATATATTTTTTTTTTCAATAGATTTATATATCCCAAAAATTATATTTTTGTGCGCTTTCATTACAAACGCTAGCTAAAACTGAGATAGATCGAAACAATTCACTACAGAATTGTGCAATATGTCTATCTCCTAAGTATAACCCAGAGTAAGCATTTTTATCTTTTACGTATTATAAAAAAATCAATTCGGTTATTTACGAAGCTATTTTAAACAATATAGTATTATTCCTTATCCAATTAAATACCGTGGATACTTTGTGCATTTAATGTAGATCAAAATTGTCATTTATAGCATATCATACATACATACATATCTGTCACGCCTGTCTCCCATTAGGGTAGGCAGAAACAATGGAACGCCAAATGCTTCGATTCAAACAAACCTCTTTCACTTCTTCCACATTCATCAATCTTTTCATACACGCTCGCCGGTTACGAGTACTTTTAATTTGGCCCTTCTTCAGCACGTCGCCTATTTGGTCAACATACGTCCGTCTAGCGGCCCCTACCGACATCTCCATTCATTCTCGCTCGATAAATCTCTTTCGTAATTCTTCTTTCATCCATCCTCTCCAAATGACCAAACCAACGCAACATTCCTTTTTCGATTTTTGTCACTACATCGTCTTTCAGTCCACACTTCTCTCTAATCACACTGTTATCATTAAAATTAATATCTTAGAAGATATCAGAGATTTAAATGCGGTGTCGGAGCGGCCGTCGAGCCGTGCGTCCGTCCCGGGTGGCAGCGGCCGCGCATTAGAATATACGTTACACTAGCGATGCGCGGATTTACTAATTCGACTACTAATTATTCGACTGAGGCATTCATTCGGATTAATCGAATGATTTTCAAATTATCCGACTACTAATGTCATTCGGCTACTAACGTTATTCGATTACCAATTCCATTTACTATACGCTTCTACTGATAGTTAAAATCATTCATTAATAGTTTGTTGATGTACGAGTCGGTACGAAGATAGCCGAGTTAACCCGATCGCTGGAAAGTCTATTATTGTCAATGGGCTAATGTGTTGCCAATTTACATTTTATAAAAATTACCAATTTTCGATAGTCATAAATAAAGTAAGTAGGGGAAGTAATTATTTAGTGAATAATTATTATATGTATTTGAAAAGGAATGTAGTTAATCGCTGTTTTCTATTATATATATTGAAAATGAAAGTAGGTGACTGCTGTTTGACAGAGGGAGACTTTGTACAAAAGTCGATTGCTTGGGTACCTCTGTCCCATTCGTGTTTCTACCGTGAAGCAGTTATATTTGCATGGCTGTGTTTCAGTTTGAAGGGTGGGTGGGTGGTGGTAACTATCATGGGCGAAACAGTATACTCTATTATGTCCATAGTACTGCTCATGTCTATAGGCGACGGTTACCGCTCTCCATCAAGTGGGCCGTCAGCTTGTTTGCCATTCTAAGTTGTATGAAAAAAAAAGAAAACTCACGCGAACGGCTCGGGCATGTTGCGCTCGTCGGCGGGCAGCACGGGCAGCCGCTTGTAGAACAGCTCCCAGTCGAAGGCGCCGCGGGCGCCCTCGTCCTGCGCCCGGTACTCGAACGTGTCGAAGGCCACCACGTCGATGAACGGGCACACCACCGCGCGGTAGTCCAGCGCGATCGGCTCTGCGACGGCAACGGGCACATCTCGATTATATATATGTTACGACGATAATGGCATGGCAACCCCGCCTGCGCTAACGGTATACGCTGGCGAGGCACTAGTCAGGGATGATAGGTGAGGATAAAAAGGTAGGTCAGTTAGCCCATTGTGGCGAGTACACCTGGAATTCAGCACGATGGTTTCCAGGGGGGATCACGTGGAGGTCGACCTAACAGAGTATTTTGCTAGCAATGGGACTAGTACTCGGCATTACTAACTCGTCCCCCCTCCCCCTTACTGCGGGAATATCATGGACGAAACAATATATTATGTCCATGGTTTTTTTTTATTGTATTTTTTAAAGATCCAAGATATCAAAGTAGGACAATCAATTGTTATTTTTAAGATTCCAAAATATCATAATGGACTTTCAGATCTACTTTTTAAAAAACTAACATTACAGTATAGAAGTTTTCGTTATACTTTTTTTTTATTTTATATTTCTAACACTCTAAGATATCACAATAGGACATTCTATTAAGGTGTTATGCCTAAGTATCCTGTAATTTCACTACCATATCTCACACTTCAAGGAATAGTATACTAATATATTATAATGGTGACCATTATAGTATCTTATATGGTAAGATATGATAGTAATACATACACAGACCTAGCAGTGGTGGCAACCAATTGACGTTGGCCTCCGTGTGCGAGTCCAGGAATATAAGGACGTCCGAGGTAGCCTGCTTGGCGCCGGCCAACCGCGCTATGATCAATCCACTACGCTCCGCCAAACGAACCACTTTCACTTTCGGCATATTCTTCGCTAGATACTCATCAAGTGGAGCTTTAAGGAAATCTGAAATAAAATCAATTTGTATACATTTGAAATTATTTTAATGCATAACTCTTAAATCCAGTTAATAGAATGAATGAAAATTTTTTTAACAATAGATCTACCAGAGGGAGACTTTGTACAAAAGTCGATTGCTTGGGTACCTCTGTCCCATCCTGTCCATTTTCTACCGTGAAACAGTTGTGTTTGCATGGCTGTGTTTCGGTTTGAAGGGTGGGATATGTCGTGAATTTACAGGGTACAGAGGAATAACACCTGAATCCTCAGGAATGGCAACGTATGGGGGGTATCATGGGCGAAATAATATGTGTGTGTACTGTTATGTTCATGGTACTGCTTATGTCTATAGGCGACGGTTACCACTTTCTATCAAGTGGGTCATCAGCTTGTTTGCCATTCTAAGTCGTATAAAAAAAAATGATAGATGGATGGTTGGATATTTGTTACTCTTTCACGCGAAAACTACTGAACGTATTTGAATGAAATTTAATACATTGATAGGTTATATCCTATCTTAGCACATAGGATGCTTTATTTACGAATTGACGCGGTCGAAGCCGCGGAATATAGCTAATTATTAATAATTAAGTTTGTATATAATTTATTTTTAATTATATCGTCATAGTCATAGAATACTAACGGATCTGACAAAGATTACATACGAGTATAAAGATCCGTCAGTATTCTACGACTATGACGATTTGTCATGTCACCCACACGTAACTTTGAAAAGGATTTTTTTATTCGATAACAATATTACATTGTGTTAAATAGGATAATATTTTAAGACTATTACTGTTCTTATGAATTTTTATATTGAAACAGTTATATATATATATATATATATATATATATATATATATATATATATATATATATATATATATATATATATATATATATATATATATATATATATATATATATATATATATATATATATATATATATATATATACTGTGAAATATTTTCCAAAATTTCAGAGCCGAACATAACACAAATTTGATGTTAAAATTACATAATACGTGTCGTTTAAATATATTAAAAAAAAATATTTTTTTTTGCTTTGTGCTCAGTTGCTTAGAGTTTATAATGAGCAAAATTTTATACTCCATTTACTGAGACGATTTTAAGTATGAATGAAAACACGAAATTGAGTACAAAAATTCGTAATTTCATTTCATGGCCTAGATTATCAATAAAAATCAATTGTCACATCAAATATACATACAATTGTACGTAAATGTCACAGAAGTAATCAGTAAAACATGAACAGCTATTTAAAAACTACATTACGATTATTTTTAAAACAACGTGCAACTTACCTTTCGTACTAGCATCGTCGACTAGAAAAACCTCTTTTATTAAATGCTCCGGCGATCTGTAAAGCACAGAGTAAGCTGTCCTTAGCAACGTACTCCAATGCTCGTTGTGAAACGGCACCACCACACTCACTGTCGGTAAGGATTCTATGTACAATTTTTTCTTGCATCCCGGATGACGTATGTCCGGTAACGAACGATTTAAAGGGATCTTGTCACTCAACGCCCCATTGAAACCGTTCACAGAGTACAGTTCTTTTTCCAAATCCTCGTCTTCTTTAGGTAGACGCGCTGGTTTGCCTTGTTCACCAATTCCTACAACATTTTATTAAATGCTTACTAATATTATAAATGGGGGGAGAAGGGATTGTTAGTAATGCGGATTATCAGTTCCATTGCTAATAATATACCCTAACAGGTCGGTCTCCCCTGGAAACCATCGTGCTGAATTCCAAATGTATTCATCACGATGGGCTAACTGACCTGCCTTTTCATCCTCACCTATCATCTATCACTGGTGCCCCGCCAGCGTATACCGTTAGCGCAGGCGGGGTTACCATTCCATTATCATCCATTAAAAAAAATATAAATGTGAAAGTAAGATTGTTTGTTACCTTATAGTACCTTAACGACTTAACCAATTAACAAGATAAGGTTTTAGCCCTAACTTTACATACTAAAAGCTAGTATTTAATAAATAAATATCGTTTAGACATATTACACAACGCCATCTGGTCTCAGACTAAGTAAAGCTTATAGTATAAGTATTAGACAACTGATACAGACGTACATTTTTTTCGTAAACATATACATATAAACGAGACCAATACAAATAGTCATGAATACAAGTTTTTGAAATGGGTGTGTAAAAAGAGACTAAAAGAACTCAATGGTCGAGGGATAGGCAGCAGCGTCCCTCTTAAAACATCACCAAAGCCTAACCGCGGTTACTAGGGGGGAAAAGGGATTGTTAGTAATGGGTACGAAGAATCCCATTGCTAGCAATATACCCAACCAGGTCGACCTCCTCGCGGTTCCCCCTGGAAACTATCATGGTCAATTCCTGATGAATTCATCATGATGGGCTAACTGGCCTGTTTGCATCCTCATCGATCACCCCTCACTGGTGCCCCGCCAGCGTATTCCATTAGCGCAGGCAGGGTTATCACTCCATTTTCATGCAATAAAAAAAACCGCGGTTACTAACCCGCCTGCCAAGCACGGCAACTACTGGCTTACCCCCTCCCCTTCAATAGGGGGAGGCCTATATTTAGCAGTGAACAATTAACGGCTGATATGTTGATTATCATAATGATGAATGTTTGTATTGTTATGAAAATTAAACCCGAGACTATTAAAAAATAAAGCAATGTCTTAAACCACTATACCAGGGGGGAAGGGATTGCTAGTAAAATGAACTATCAGTCCCATTGCTAGCAATATAGAGTATAATATCAGGTCGACCTCCACATAGTCCCATCTGGAAACCATCGTGATGAACCCCAGGTGTATTCATCACGATGGGCTAACTGATCTGCTTTCATTCTCAACTATCATCCCTCACTGATGCTCTGCCAGTGTATACCGAAGCACAAGCGGGGTTACCATTACAAATTTACCAATTAAAAAAAAAAGACATTAATCGCGATTTGTCTAAAGCTACAATATTTATTTATTTATTTATTTACAGGATTACCAACATAAGATACAGCTACAATAAAGCTAAGTTTTAATACAATACACTGGCAGCTCAGATCTCACCGTTCTTACATTTATAGGCAACCACAGCATGCCTTGTGTTTGACAAACATTAAAATATAATTAAATTATTAAATGAGTAAAGATATTAACAATATGAATAATAATATAATATAAATAATGGAAATTGTATTCAAATTATTATAAAATATAAATAAATATAATGTAATGGGGAGGTATATCAACACTTTAAATTTCTTTTAAATCGTATATGAGCGGTTTCTCTTGTGACATCAATTTTTACTACAGTACTAAAATTTATAATGTTTGCTCAGTGTTTTGAGAAATCCAATAGGATTAGATAAAAACGTGAACAAAACCAGTATTCCTCTAGTTAATAATATTAATGAAAATCCTTTTAACTCGTGAATTTATTACAGGAATTATGTAGAAAATACAATACCAAAAATACTTACCATCGCGTGCTTTTTCATATTCGATCTGACGATAATTATGCCAGTCTATTTTCTGAAAAAAAAAATAGTAATTTTTTTTAGTACTATCTAGTAAGTAACTTGGACAGATTTCCAATTTCTATGATTCTAATTTGAATCATATAACTTGGAAGTCTTTGGGGAATTGCTTATAGTAATAACCTCAAATGGTATACAGGGACTCGACAGTTCAAGGCCCCAGTTTATGGCCGTTATCCAAATGATTTTATAATTGATTAGGTCATGCAAAATATACATTTACATAGTATTTATTCATATTTATTTATTTTGTGATACATGTGATACAATGGATGGCAAAACAAGATAAGTCCTCTATGATCGACCTCATCTATGGAGGTATACAGATTCACAAACTTATACAGGTGTCCGGTAATGAATGGATAACCTTGAAACGTCTTATAGTTCAACTTATGGCCGTCCTAAAAAAAATACGAAACGTAAGGTAAGTTGAACTATAAGACGTTTCAAGATTATCCATTCATTACCGGACACCATGTATATAAGAAAAAAAAGCAAAGAAATCCAATAATGTCACATTTACAGTAAAAAATCATAATATTAAGGACATTTATTGCATTTATCTCCAAGATAATGGTCGCCATAAAACAGACTTATAGCACGTCATTTCATCACCGAATTAGTTAAAGGAAATAACAAGAATAAAACAATCAGTACATTTTGCCAGTAATAAGAGCTTTTCTTTTCTGAATATGTTTGCTGTATGCAGGGGCGAGTGCAGAGAGAGACATTGTACAAAAGTCGATTGCTTGGGTACCTCTGTCCCATTCGTGTTTCAACTGAAAGCAGTTGTATCTGCATGGCTGTTTCGGTTTGAAGGGTGGGATATGGCGTGAATTTATTGGGTACAAAGGAATAACACCTGAGTCCTCAGGAATGGCAACGCATGGGGGGTATCATGGGCGAAGCAGTATACTCTGTTATGTCCATGGTACTGCTCATGTCTATAGGCGACGGTTACCACTTTCCATCAGGTGGGCCGTCAGCTTGTTCCATTCTAAGTTGTATAAAAAATAAAAAAAGATGGCACTCCAAGCCCGCGAGAGGGGAGCGACAGAGATGTCGACTCTTACTTATGGACTGCGGCGTGCACCTAAGGGCGCCAGAGTGGCTCGTACCTCGGCTTAGGGCACCGCACTTCGACCCCCGTCAAGGGACGGCGAAGGTTCGGTATGTCGTGGTGGGAACTCTGAATCGTTGGAATGCACTCGGGCGCAAACCTAATCGCGCGCGGACCGCGTGTCGCATTGGATCTTCGTCCCTGCCAGCGGGGACGCTGTGTGCGGTGTGCGGATGTATTTGCGTGGGCTCTTAACAAAGATTCCGCGGTAGGGAGGGTGAGGAGCGCGTTGGCTATCGTAATGGGAAATAATAAGAGCTGCCTCAGCTTAATTACACATTACGTCACCAGTGTGTAATTTGTTATTACAACATAACTTTTAACTGTTGTGGACATAACTGTGAAATGCATTTTTACACAATTATTTGCAGGCTTGTCGACAGGTCTTATCAACAATGTGATAACATAAATCACAAACGAAATGTGAATAATACCTATTTCCTCTACGAAATAACATTAATATTTTATATATAATTTTGATCTTTTTTTATATAATTAAATTTTTTTTATCAATTACAAATGCAGTTTTTTTATAATGATCCTTAAATGGCAAATATGCTGACGGCCCACCTGATGGAAAATAGCAATCATCGCCTATAAACATGAAAGACACCGCAAAATACACTGTGATGCTTATGGTAACCCTCAGGCGTTGTAATTCTTGAGGACTTAAATTTTTTTAATGGCGATAATGGAATGATAATGGTATGGCACCTGCTTCATCCTCACCTATGATAGGTGAGGATGAAGCAGGTACGTTAGCCCATTATGACGAATTCAACAAGAATTGTTCACGATAGTTTTCAGGGGGAACCACGTGATGGTCGACCTAATAAGGCTTATTGCTAGCAATTGGGCTGTCAAACTCCATTGCTAACAATCACTTTCCCCCCGGACTAAGATGTTATACCTCTATACCCTTATAGTACTTTTTACAGCATGTTAATTAATGCAGTTGGTCAGAAGATGATATATTGTATAAAATAAAATCAATAGTGTGATTAGAGAGAAGTGTGGACTGAAAGACGATGTAGTGACAAAAATCGAAAAAGGAATGTTGCGTTGGTTTGGTCATTTGGAGAGGATGGATGAAAGAAGAATTACGAAAGAGATTTATCGAGCAAGAATGAATGGAAATGTCGGTAGGGGCCGCTAGACGGACGTATGTTGACCAAATAGGCGACGTGCTGAAGAAGGGGTAAATTAAAAGTACTCGTAACCGGCGAGCGTGTATGAAAAGATTGATGAATGTTGAAGAAGCGAAAGAGGTTTGTTTGAATCGAAGCATTTGGCATTCCATTGTTTCTGCCTACCCTAATGGGAGACAGGCGTGACAGATATATATGTATGTATGTATGTATGTATGTATGTATGTATGTATATATAATCAATAAGCCGGTAAACTTAAAATACTAAATGTATAGAACAGTTTAAAAGTAACACAAACAAATATTATGCTTGTGCGAAGCCGGGGCGGATTGCTAGTTATTTTATATAATTAAAACAGGAAAGATTGATAAATTTACATGAGTCATTACTATTGACTCATGTATAGGCTCACAAATGATCTCTCTTATCAAATTAAAATGATGGTATTCAATGTAATGTGGTGATTTCGCCACAAATGCCTATTTGTTCTAAGTTTAAAAGTTGTTCTATATAAATCCACATAACACATACAAGTAAAATACAATTATATAACACTAGCGGCCCGTCCCGGTTTCGCACGGGTGGACATTTTTACATTTTAAAAAGTGGCCATTAAGGCTGCACACGCAACGGAAGCTTAAAAATGAAGTAACTTCTCCCGTTTTACCAACATTTCCCTTCACTGCTCTGCTCCTTCTGAACGTAGCGTGATGAAAAGTATACTATAACCTGCCCAGGAGTATGAAGAATAATTGTACCAAGTTTTTGTTTCTATAACAAACATACGAGGTCTGTCCGGAAAGTTCGTATAAAAGTGTTCTGGAATGCGAGAAAGAGGAGTGGGGAGGCCAGGTAAGCGCAGGACCCCTTCCTTATGTCCCTAACAATGCACACAAATACGCCATCTGTGAAGTTACCTTGAAACCCCGTCGGCATGGAGCCCGCTTCCGTTGAAGAGCAGCGCGTCGTAATCAAGTTTCTCTCGAAACTCGGCAAGAATTAAATTTTATCTCAGAACAGTATGGGGATGATGCTGTGAAGGAACCAACCGTCCACAAGTGGCTAAAAAGATTCAGAGAGGGCCGAGAAAGCGTTCAAGATGACCCACGTTCAGGACGTCCTTCCACTTCACATTCCGACGAAAACGTGGAAAGAATTCGAACTTGTGTTAATGGGGACCGTCGTTTAACGGTCAGACAGTCGTGTGGCACGAGTTCGTCCAGAATTCTTATCGTTGGATTCTTCACCACGACAATGCCCCTGCCCACACCTCTCTTGTTGTCCGTGAGTTTTTGAGTAAAAATTCCATTACGGTGACCGAACACCCCCCCCATTCGCCGGATTTGGCCCCGTGTGACTTCTTCTTGTTCCCAAAAACCAAATTGGTACTTCGGGGGCGGCATTTGGGGGACATAAATGAGATAAAAAAAGCTACGACGGGGCAGCTGAGAAACCTACAACCAGAGGACTTTCAAGGAGCCTTCTCACAGTGGAAACGGCGTTGGCACAAGTGCATTATGTCACAGGGGAGTACTTTGAAGGGGATAACATTGATTTACCTGAATAATTGTAAAATAAAATTTTTAAAAAACTTTTATACGTACTTTCCGGACAAACCTCGTACAGACAGACAGACAGACAAAAATTTTACTGATTGCATTTTTGGTATCAGTATCGATCAATAATCACCCCCTGATAGTTATTTTGGAAATATATTTCATGTACAGAATTGACCTTTCTACAGATTTATTATAAATATAGATATATAGATTAATGGTAACACCACACAGACAAAGGCAATATAAAGTGGCCAATCACTATTTAGAGGAGGGAAGAAGGTATTGTAAATATATGGGTCTAACAGCCCCATTGCTAGCAATATACCCTATGAGGTAGACCTCCACAGAGTTTCCTATTAGTAACAATCATGGTTAAGTCTTATGCAATTTATTATGATGGGTTAACTGATCTGCTTTCATCCTCGCCTAGCCAGCGTATTACAATAATGCAAACAGGGTTACCATTCCATTCTCGCCCATTTAAAAAACCAATACAGAGGATGGCAACCTTGGATATATCAATAGATATAGTAACTCCTCATGCCTGTTTTTTGGGGAAGCCTATACTTATATAAAGTTGCACAATGAATGCTGAAATAATTATGGTAATATTCTTTTAATTTATTTGCCATCAGTCTCAATACTATAATCAAATGCACTAACATATGTCTTATATTTTAATGATGATAAGTAATGTACCCTTTTAAGTCTTCTGGTCTTGCTTTACTATAATAACACATTTGCAGCGGGATTAAGGTGTAAAACAAAATGGTTCCCATAATTCTTCCTAGATAATAACAGATGAGTCAGCTCTTGAATTCTTATTTGTTTTAATTTTACATAAAAAATAACATACCTTTAAACTAGTTGGTACAAAATGTTCATTTTGACCGGGATTTTGGCTTTCTTTCAATTGATTTATAAGTTTGTTAGCCTTTGATTCAAGCACTTCAAGATTGCCTAGTGTTTTGATTATATACAGCAATATGACTATTATTGTGAACATAAGGAGATTCCGTGTCCTCAGCAGACGTGATATTAGACGCCTGAACACAACCATGTTCTGAAAAAATACATAATAATATAAATAGATACTAAAAACCTTAATTGACATTAAGTAACTTAAGTCATCCAATCTGCATGATTTTCTGTTCCCACAAAAAGCATTATTATGAGATCAAAAGACATAATCGAAAGTTTGAACTAACTAAACATATATTTTAAATATACAATCGAGACCTAAACGATGAAAACCTATAGTGACCACGACATGATGCAATCCATGTTCAAACATCGCCAATAAAGCAAGTATGTGGGTGCTATATACCTGCAAAGGATTTTCATCATGTTAAGTCCCAATTGTGTATTTAAAATATGTGTAAACTATGTAAAAGTTTAAAATTAACTTAACATATATTGTAGAATAATAGACAGCATAGTTTCATCCTAATTCACATAATTCTGTAGTGTGTTGGAGTTTAATCATCTGTAAACTACAGGTAATAATAAATAAATAAAAAGCAAAGCTGTAGGATACAACTAGTCCTTATTAATATTACAAATAAAGTTTGCAATACCGTTTTTATGTCCAGCTAGTACTATAAATTTACAATTACAGGGGGATCCCACTGTCATTTCTGCAAGAAATTTAACCCATTACATTTTTAATACTAACTAAAAAAATTGATATTTTTTTAGATGTTATTCTATTAAAAGTTATAGTAGTAAAGTTAGTTTACTGTCTTATAATTTCAATCTTTTATGATGTCTGTGTTATTCTTAAACTAATAAATAAACATAAAAATTATATAAAACATATTTACAAATAAGTAATATTTTTTTTATTTGATATATAATGTACTAAAAATATATTTAAATTTTATATATACAAAAATAAAAATTCCTATATTGTAGAATATTTATATTTAACAAAACTAAAAAAACTTTAACAAAAAAAAGAACATAAATAATTCTTAGTATTTAAAAAATCAAACAGACAAGATTATGTGTGTTAAGACATATTAACTGTGTTTATTAATTAAGTGATATATTCTTAGTTATTAACTAAGAAAGATTAAGAATAAATTATATATTATTTTTGTTACATATATACATTATTATGCTTCTATCCTATTTTCCTTCTTGCTGCTAAAATGTTCAAAAATTTTCCTCACTAAATTTACCATATAAATATGGGAGTTATGCATGTCTCATTAACATGTAGAAAATCACTAAAATATGGTAATGTGAAATGCAAGATTGCAAACCCTAATTATAAATGTGAAAGTAAGTTTGTATGCTGTATGTCAATCATTTCTAATCAATAAGTAAAATTAGAATTTTTATTACAACTTACAACAATAGGTATCCTTGAGGTACACTTGCAATAATTGTTTATTAGTTCAGAATAGATTAAATATCACTATATTGTTTAAGTAATTTAATACAACTATGACTGTATTATATGTTTAAAGGAAATTATAGTGTATATTTTCTTTATATACTAATATCTCAATCTTTTTTTAATTTACACCTATTGAGAGCAAACAATAGGTAAATCCATTAATTTAATAGCACTTATCAAATGACTGGAACATGAATATGTTATGTATATATCCATCTCTGATAACACATAGTAATATAAAGATAGGTACCTATCTTTCTTATCAATTTAATTGAAAAGGAATTGATAATTATGATACTTACGATTTACAATTTTTTACCGGTTGTCGATAAAAATCAAGACATCTCACAGAAGCAAACTGAAAATATTCAAAATTAAATATAAAATTGAAGTTGAAAATTACTATATTAATACAGGCGGTGCCTCTATCTAAATATTAATTCAAAACAAGTGATCACTTATTGCTTAGAAACACGTACTTCATTAATTGAATAAGTAGCCGTATTAACACTATATTTACATGTAAATCATACACAGCTGCTTAAACAAATATCAAACGGAATGACCAATAAGTACACAAACAACCAATTTTTACTTTGCGCAATTAAAATATCACAGCTTCTTATTCTGTTAGCACATTTACTAATAAAATCTTTTTTTTTTTCAGAATTAGTTACTTTCAATACCTACGCATCGATGAGCAGTTTATTATTAAAAAATAATTTTTAATGCAAATCTCTTAAAAACTCTTTTAAGTAGAGATTCGGTCCGTCCGGCGTACGGAAATTCCAGCATTAATACCTAACATCGACTATGCATTTGACAACAACTGTCAAACTGACTGACAGATATGACAAATTAGAGATTTTTGTTTTTAGTGGAATTTAAATTAGAGTTGCCATTACACTTTTTTTTCATTATCATTATAACGGAGTTCTCTAAGTAGTCTTTGATTATTATCAATAATTCTCAACCGACTCACCTTTTTAAATTTAAGTTTGCTAATTTTTTTTAATTATAATGTCTAGAATTTGTTTCCTTTTTCGGTTCTGAGACATAGGTATAAATCTACTAATATTATAAATGTGAAAGTTCGTGAAATAATTTGGATGTTTATTACTCAATTACGCTTAAAGGTGACTGATTTATATGAAATTTCGTACATGAATAAATGATTTTTTAACTTAACAGATAAGATACTTTATGTAGTAGATTACGCGGGCAAAGCTGTGCGAAATACATAGTAATCATTCCAATGGTGAGTTAATTTTGTAAATTTTGGAACGCATCGGAAAATTCTGGATTGCATCTTGACAACTGTTTGTTTTTGATTGGCTGAAATTTTTCAGAGGAAAACGAAAATCATCGCTGACATCGGTGTTTTACTTTGCTTGTTTCATGTACGATTAAATTAAGCATTTAAAATAATTAACAACAATAATATAAGTTTTTAATAAAAAACCAAGGTTTGTGCATAATATTAATATAAATAAATATTAACTTTATTTATAATCGTAACTGCTGTGCCGGCGATCCATAATAAATTGAGGATATCCTTTTTCTGCTTATCGATGTGTCGAACTTTTACTTCTTTTATTAAATTAAATTAACATTACGTTACACATTGCTACAGTTCACGCTAATGTAATTTGCCTGTCAACATAGAAAGAAAGTGATCTTTTATATATTTCCTACGGACGTGGTGAAAACTCAATCCTGTTAATGAATTGCACATTTTAATCACGTATTTCTTTCAGATGGCTCGTCATAGTATATTTATATTAAGTGCCTTACTGGTGCTGGTGGGAACTGTGAAAGCCGACAGTGAGAACACGGACGACGGTGTTACCGTTGAGGTTAGTCTATGGAGGTTACTCGACCTACATATCTTGCAATAATTAAATTTATCTTATGAAATGACCTCCATCATGTATAATCAAGATCAGTTTTATCATATATTAGTATATGTTCAAATGATACAATTAAACTCTAATCTGTGAGTCACTTATAACAAATTTTTTTGTTATTACTTGTAACAAATTATGAATCTCCAAGGATTTGAAAAAAAGATAAACACAAGAAATTCTATGTCTTTGGCTGTTGTGTCAACCATTACTATTTTATTAAACCCCTCAGACCAAAATGTACATTGTTGAAAAAATGGATAAAACATTACTTTTCCTTGGCCATACTGAATGAAATGCTCTAAGGCTTTATTTCGATTTTGTCTTCTCTTGCATGGGTAATCTATATGTATTAATAATTTAACTGTTTCTTTAACTGACTCTAATAATATCCTGAGGATGAATAGGAATAATGTATTCTCTCTTTGTCACAAAAGGTTCAATATAATGTTAGATAACATGCAATAATATAGTCTTTTATCATAATATTCATTGACTAATTCATTTACTAATTCCTGAAACTGGTAAGCAAATTTTAATGAAATTTTGTGTTGTATGTTTGCTCCAACATAAAAGATAGGATAGTTATTCTAATAAGAGAATATGAATTTGGAAGGTGATGGTAGGAAACAAAACAATGCTGTATCCATTAGCATTTTCTAAAATGTAATCTTTCCATTTGGCAGACTGAGGAGGAAGACCAGTATAGCAGTCCTCAAATAAGTGGAAAAGGTGTCTACCTAGCAGAGCACTTCGATAATGAGAATGCATTCAAAAAACAGTGGGTGAAATCAGAAGCAAAGAAACAGGGTGTAGACGAAAATATTGCCAAATATGATGGTAAATGGGAGGTAAGAGAATTGATAAATCTTTAGTTTAATTTTAATCATTATTATAGACTCAAGGGTAATTTAGAGATAGATATAGGTTGTATGTGTTTTTGCATTTTAAATTCTATAAATAAAACAGAACAACACATAATTTGGGATTGTATCACTGTGTATTAACATTTAGTGTCTAGGTTATAGGATCTCAGTGTCAGCATTATCGCTCCCATGTAGATGTTTGAGATTATCAGAGGGTAATAAAAGATCCAAAGACAATTGGGGGCAAATGATGAGATTATTCATCATTGTGATTGTGCAGAGAAGGTGTGGGCAGATTAAAAAATATACACTACAAAAAAAAGGATAAGTACTTAATTTTACTTATCCTTTTTTCTAGGGCACTAGAAAAGACATTGGTGAAGTTATAAACTAAATAAATTAGTTAAGTCATATATGTATGAACTAGGTTTAGATAAAAATAAATATATGTACTTTTTTTTTGTTTTTTCTCATTAAAATAAGGCAGTAAACATTCACAGTAAAATATAAAAATAAATTTTATTCTATAAGTATTTTAATTCTAATAATTCAAGATAACCCAATATAATCTTGTCTAGCATTATTAGTGTGGAGTACAGGCCACATATATTATTTATAGCTATATTATTATTTACCAAATTCGAAATTGACACGCATATCTATTGTTTTCCTTTTGGCTTCCCTTTACAGCCCTAGTCTTCTAAGTTCCTTTGACTATTATATACATATTTCCAATTTCCATTCCTGGTTTCCTTTGTCGTCCACAATTAGAAACAACTCTATTACGTAACTTACAATACTCCTGAATACATCAAATTTTACTTAAATTAACATATAAGAATTCATATGGCATTATGGCGCCAAAATGAAAGCCTTATTCAATAAGATATTAGAGTGAAAATGATTAATTTTTCATTTCAGATCCAAGCACCATCAAGGAAAATCCTTAAGAATGACTTAGGTTTAGTGTTAACTACAGAAGCTAAACATGCTGCCATATCAACATTATTGGATAAGCCTTTTGAGTTCACAGACAAACCACTTATAGTCCAATATGAAGTCACCATGCAGGTATTATCATCTATCATTTATACATCTTTATCTAATATATTCATATGTATCTGTAATCCCCAACTTTGCCTACAGGAGTCTTTATATAAAATATTTTAATAATAGTAAATTAAAATATGTATTAGTGTATAATTTATCCATGTACCAAATTTCTTTCAAATCCATTCTTTGAATAAATTCATATCATATTTATTCAAATAGACCTATATATATAGTATATGACAAGCACTTTTAACTCGTAATTTTTTTATGAAACTACTATAGAGTTTGGAAAATTGTTATTTGTTGAGAAGAACCAGCAAATAACTCGACAGTTGCTCTTTTAAATCTCTGTTAACATTATGTGTGTTTAAATGTACTATGTCTAATAAAAGAGTAACATCCATCCATTCATCCTCAGAAACTTTCATATTTATTATAGAATAATTTAAGATTTTCAAAATAAAGGCTGATTCCAAAGAACAGTAATGACAAAATTCGTAAATCACTAACTTGGGAGTTTAATTTAAATTTAATAGTACTTATACTATTGTTATTCTAATATACTTTACATATTACCGCTTTCTAAATGTAACAGCGAGCGTACTAATGAGATTATTGCGAGCCGCGACTAATACCTTTTGTATCTACATATAAACTCAATAGGCAGTATTTATAAACTTGCGAGATACTATATGTAGGTAGGTTTCATATACCAACATGTATGTCATATACATGTACTTGACAAAGTAAAATAATAATTGTATTGTATATTATATCATACTAGTGAGAGACTTTGTACTAAAGTCGTTTGCTTGGACACCTCTGTCCCATTCGTGTTTCAACCGTAAAGCAGTTGTGTTTGCATGACTGTGTTTCGGTTTGAAAGGTGGTATATGGCAGTAAAATTACAGTGTACAGAGAATAACACCTGAGTCCTCAGGAATGGTAACACATAGGGGATAACATGATCGAAAGAGTATACTCTGTTATGTCCATGCTACTGCTCATGTCTATAGACGACGGTTACTACTTTCCATCAGGTGGACCGTCAGCTTATTTGCCATTCTAAGTTTTATAAAAAATTAGAAATACGTATTAATTATTATTTGTAACATTTATATCTATGTTTATATGGAAAATTAGTGAACTCCCTATGTTTTTGTCGTTTCCGGCAATCGTTTCGACTTCATTCGTAAGTGTTCTTCAGGGGGCGTTCAGCGTTTTGCGTCACGGCGTTTCGCATACCAAATACCAAAAGTTTTAATACATTTATTTATTGTTTACTTTTAATTTTCGTTGTATATTCTTTTAGATGAATCTGTAGATAATGGTTTGGTAGCACAGTATTATTTTGAATTTTCGTCGCAGATATTTTTTTTTTTCTAAAGACCATTTCTAGCATATTTTTACGTTCGCCATTTGCTTACACCAATTATTTATTAATATAATTTCCCTTTAATGCGTTATAGTCTATTTTTATATTTGAATAACAGTATTGTTTGATTAATATACTTATATAGTTATGAACAAGGAACTAGTAATTACAATAGGGTCACTGAGAACATTGAGATTTTGATATTCTATTTAAAAAAAAAACTGGCTACTGTGCAACTGAAACTCCTTTGTATTTGAGGCATTAATTTGCGTAGGGTTTTAAGAGCATTAGAATTCTAAACAACTCCGCAAGAACCGGTGTTATGCAAAATCATTGAAGCATTTTTACTTGTATAAATGTAAGATATTTTTAAATGTACCAAAAAAGTTCTCATTATCCTTTCGGTGTTGGCAGAAACCACAAAGCGACGGTAAACAAGATTAAGCCTGCCCTTTAAAAGACTCTAAAATACTAATATAATTTAATGACTGCGCATAAAAAGAAAATACACAAAGAAAGCAACGTGTCACTGTTTACAAAATTTTTAGTGGAAAAAAAAGATGTTTTATTCACAATAACATCGTAAATGCCGACGTGTTGGCGCGCGGCCAGTATTTTACGGATGAACTGTATATATCCCCATATTTATAAATATAACATAGACGTCATTGAAGTTCATTTAGATAGACACACACACAGCATATGAATTGGGACTATTTATTTTTCTTATACTGGCTGTAGCCCGCGGCTTCACCCGCGTAGATTAGTATATAAAGTATCCTATGTGCTTAGATAGCAATGGAGAGAGATAACCTACCTTTGGAGTACATGCCACATATATTATTTATAGTTTTTATATTATTATTTACCGAATTCAAAATTGACACTCATTTCTATTGTTTCCTTTGGATTCCCTTCAAATTACCATTCCTGATTTTCCTGTAAGGTGTAGGCGACAAAGGAAATCAGTACCAAATTTAATTCAAATCCTTTTCGTTTTCGCTTAAAAAAGTAAGTAACATCTAGCCATCGTTACAAAGGGAGTTTTTCAGAGGGAGACTTTGTACAATAGTCGTTTGCTTGGGTACCTTTGTCTCATTCGTGTTTCAACCGTGAAGCAGTTGTGTTTGCATGACTGTGTTTCGGTTTGAAGAGTGGGATATGGCGTGAAATTACAGGGTACAGAGGAATAACACCTGAGTCCTCAGAAAAGGTAACATATGGGGAATATCATGGGCGAAACAGTATACACTATTATGTCATATATGCTCATGTCTATAGGCGACGGTTACCACTTTCCATCAGGTGGGCCGTCAGCTTGTTTGCCATTCTAAGTTGTATAAAAAAAAAGTTCGCTTTTATTGTATTAATAGAATATATACATTTATAGTTCTTAGACTACAAAACTATTTACCATCAAAATCTCTTTAGCCTACATTAATTAATTATGTGAATTTTTTTTTAATTTTGATCACTCACCCTCCGAACTTTGTGAGAGACTTAATTATGTTGATAAATTTAGTATTTATATACTTATTTATTTATGTAGATGATTATATGCATGTGAGTAGGGATATATATTTACATTATTACATATATTATATCTCCATATTTACTAATAATAGGATCTTCATCGTGCCTCCAATCAAACTGTTTATAATTACTCCTTTCCATCCAAAGATTGCCTCGAAGAGATCGCTTTTAGCGATAAGGTCGCCCATTGTTTTTCTCGTTGTGATTATTTCTTGTAATTGTATATATTTATAATAGGTTTACTGTTGTAATCTTTTGGAGGAAAGGATGAAGAGTATCTATCTATCTATAAACTTTAATATTGATGTCTTCTATTATTATACATCAATCGTTAACTGTTCTCTGCTGAACATAGATCTTCCCCGTAAAGGGAGTTTTGCCAATAGTTGCGATCGCAGTTAGGTTGTAGTAATGTTTTAAGGGGTCGCTGCTGCCCATCCTTCCAATAAGTTCCCTTAGTTACCTTTTTTTTTGTTTTCTCTTTGATAACTTCTATATGCTATATTATTTTCTGTAAAGTTATAGGAGAATAAATAATTAATGAGCAATATTATCATATATTGTTAGTAAAATGAGATTTTTGAAAAAATTCTATACCTCTACATCCCAATTTGAAGCTCATCCAAATAATGGACACATGTACAAATCACTTATTTTTTTATATATCATAATATTTACAGGAAGGTCAAAACTGTGGAGGTGCTTACATCAAACTTCTATCGAGAGGCACCAACACGAAGGCGGACTTGCGCAAGTTCCACGACCAAACGCCTTATACCGTGATGTTCGGACCCGACAAGTGTGGCAACGACAACAAACTACATTTTATATTCAGACACAAAAATCCCAAGAATGGCACTATTGAAGAAAAACACAGCAAGAAACCCACGTAAGTATTCTCTGATCAACTTGAAATCGTATCTCATCTACAGCGGTGGCAGACAACAGGCAAGACTCATTATGGGTGCCTTAACTGGACATATGCCAATAAAGCATATACTACACAAGATGGTTCTATCTTCTTTCACACTGTGCAGACTGTGCGGGGAGAAATCGGAATCCATGGAACACTTGATGTGCAACTGTGATTCGTTAGCGAGCATGCGTATCAGTCTACAGGGAACGGCTTATCTAAAGCCAGGGGACTACAGATATTTTAAAGCGCGGGATATCGTTAAGATAACACAAAGGATCTATGAAATGATGGTATAAGGCAGGGGGAAGCACAAAAGATCCCGATGGGTCGACGTGCAACAGCTTAGCTGACCCCATATGCGAATATAACTTGAAATCGTAAACAGATGACGATGGAAACTTTATTTTATGGTATGTAAAAGAACCAGTAAACCCATCTTTATTGGCCGTGTGGTCCCAGCATAGTATACCCACTATAGGCCACCCCTTTCTATCCCGTGGGTGTCGTAAATGCCGACTAAGGGAAGGCGAGGAATAGGCAGCAGCGTCCCTCTTAAAACATCTCTAAAGCCTAACTGCTGTTGCTAATCCGCCTGCCAAGCGTGACAACTACTGGCAAAACCCCCCAAGGGGGAGGCTTATGTTCAGTGAACAGTTAAAGACTGATATGATGATGATGATGATAATGAAACCCATCTTCTTCACTATTGGCATACATTGGTGGAGTATTAGGGAAATGCGGATAAATTAAGGACATCTGGTCCATTATAATGCACATACCAGAAAGTGACCACATGTTTTTAGTGAAGGATTGTAAAAAGGTTGACCTAACAGGATATGTTGATGGCAGTGGAGCCAATACTAGGAAATGACTTCTTTTTTTTATTATTATTATTATTATTTTTTTTTGGTGAACATGTAATAGTAACCCTGCCCGGGGGAAAGAGATTGTTGTAATGGAGACTAAAAATTCCATTGCTAGCATATACCAAACCAGGTCTACCTCCTCGCGGTTCCCCCTGGGAACTATCATGGTTAATTCCTGATGAACACTATACCGATACCGCAGGCGGGGTTACCATTTTTGATGAGTGATAATGGAATAGTAACCTCGCCTGCGCTAACGGGATACGCTGGCGGGGCACCAGTGAAGGGTGATAGATGAGAATGAAAACAGGCCAGTTAGCCCATCATGATGAATTCATCAACAATTAACCACAATGGTTACCAAGTAAAACCGCGTGAAGATTGTCCTGATGAGTGATATTACTAACAGTGACACTTTAAGATCCCATTTCTAGTAATCCCTTCCCCCTCCTTCCTTACAAAATTATTACTGTCATCTATCGCGTATATTAGAGATTGAATGAATGTGAAATTTAAAATGATTAAAATTTATAAATTTCAAAGGGCATGTATGGGAACAAAATATATTTTGTGACAGTTATAATTGTAAAATAGGTTTATGCATGAGAATTTTGGCGTTTTATTTTTTATTTTATTTTTTTTATAAATAAAGAGGTTGGAATCTGTCCCATTACCTATTAACAATTTTATTAGTAATGTTTCCCAAATCAAATGCCAACTTATAAATTTTATCATTTATTGTAGTCAACGTCTAGAAGACATTTACAAAGATAAGGAGCCTCATCTCTACACGCTGGTCGTGCGTCCGGACAACACGTTCACGATTCTAATTGACAATAAGGAAGTGAACTCCGGATCCCTGCTTGAGGACTTCACCCCACCAGTCAACCCGCCAGAGGAAATTGATGACCCCAACGACAAGAAGCCTGATGATTGGGACGAGAGGGAAAAGGTAAAGTGTATCCGAAGAATATTTATAAAAGAAATACAATAAAATTGGTCCAACGGTTTAGCTGTGAACTCAGGACAAATAGTTACTTCTACAGTTATAAAACACAGATTTTGTCCCACAAAAAAAAAATAAAAAAACATTGTTTTCTAAAAACTACTTAACCGATTTTGATAAAATTTCTATGTGACCAATCTGTAAGTATATCCTTTCAGATACAAAATCTAAATCTAGATAGGATTAGAACTAACAGAGTTATGAGCTAATAAACATAAAGAAATACGACCAAATTGAGAACTTTCTTTTTTTAAATCGGTTGAAAATAAAAATTATTTTATGCACTTCATAAATGTTTTAATAATTATATTCTCCCTGCCAACTAGGAACTGATCTGTCAATCTTCTTGTAGAGTCATAACCTGTCTTTTCTTGTTTGAAAGATAATTTATTAGTTTGTTACATTGGGTTTAATTGTATGTTTAATTATATATACGCCCTTGCTCGGTGGCGGTTGCTGAAGACTGTGTTACTGTTGCGGGTTGCGAACTCTTGTCACTCACTCCATAATCGATCGTAGTTTTTTTATACCACAGAGGTGGCAAACAAGCATACGACCGATCTGATGTTAAGCAGTTACCGTAATCTATGAACACCTGCAATACCAGAGTGTACGCGCGCGTTGCCGACCCTGAAGAAACCTCTTTACCCCCCTTTTGAAGAACCCCATGCTGTAATCAATTGGGACGTCGTATTGTATTTGCGCGTCGACATAATTTATATAAAAATTATATTACAGATAATAGATCCAACGGCGACTAAGCCCGATGACTGGGACGAGGATGCGCCCGCGCAGATTGTGGACCCCAACGCTGTCAAACCAGACGGATGGCTGGATGATGAACCTGAAATGATCCCCGGTAAGTGTATCCGTCCACAAATAAATTCCCTCTCCCTAAGGGGAGGGAATTCATTTAAATGTTTTTTTTTTTACAACTTAGAATGGCAAACAAGCTGACGGCCCACCTGAAAGTGGTAACCGTCGCCTATAGACATGAGCAGTACCATAGACATAACAGAGTAAACTGTTTCCCCCATGATACCCCCCATGCGTTGCCATTCCTGAGGACTCAGATGTTATTCCTCTGTACCCTGTAAATTCACGCCATATCTCACCCTTCAAACCGAAACACAGCCATGCAAACACAACTGCTTCACGGTAGAAACACGAATGGGGCAGAGGTGCTCAAGCAAATGACTTTTGTACAAAGTCTCCCTCTGGTACGTATCGTCGTATTTGGGTTAATTAATTACCAAAAATTAATCAACGAATTCTAGATGGAACCATTTTTAAACTAACAATTTTTTTGATAATAACAAAACATTGAACAATGGTCCACCAACATACTGGATGGATACCTAGCAAGTGTGTGTGTTTATTGTAACTATAGACCCGGACGCGAAGAAGCCATCGGACTGGGACGAGGAGATGGACGGCGAATGGGAGGCGCCCCTCATCGACAACCCGGCCTGCGCTGCGGCCCCCGGTTGCGGCTCTTGGACTCCACCAACCATTCCCAACCCCAACTACAAGGTATTTTTTCCGTATATTATTAGATATCCATTATTGTCTGTGATCAATAACATGCTATGAGCAGATTTTTTGCATATAAAAATGGTGTGCATATGCAAATCCTTTTATTATTATTGTTGTTCGAGACTGGTTGGGATAAGACCGTTCACCGACATAACGATTGGGATGATTTCGGTAGATGTCACCCCCCCACATTTCGGTCACCTCGTGAGCCAGGTCGAGATATTTTCTCTTCTTCTCGGTTTCGGCTTTCACGAGGTTCTCGTCATGCGGTATGGTGACATCCACCAAAAACACTCATCAAAAGGTAACCCCGCCTGATCCATCACCACGATATCAGGTTTGTTCGCAAGAAAGGTCCTGTCCGTGATGATGGATCGGTCCCAGTAGAAAACCTTACGCTGTCGCTTTCGATAGACCGGCTGGGGCTCATACTTATAGTACGGCAACCTCTCATTCGCGAGGCCGTACTTCAGAGCGAGCTCTTGATGGAGTATTTTGGCTACCTGGTTGTGTCTGTGCAAGTACTCAGTGTTGGCAAGAGCTGAACAACCCGAAAGCACATGTCTGAGTGACTCTCCGGGATGGCGACATGCTCGACAGATGTCCTCGGTGCCATCCTTCAGAATGTGCTTTCGGTAATTGTTCGTCTTAACCACCTGATCCTGTATTGCACAGACAAAACCCTCGGTCTCTCCGAAGAGATCACCGAACTGTAGCCAGTGCACGGAGGTCTTCGTGTTTACGTACGGCCCGTGAAGGGCTTTGAAGAACCTTCCGTGCAACTCCTTCTCTTTCCATACGGTCTCCCGCTGAGAGGTACCCAAAACTTCGGGTTTTCGCCAGTTTCTTTAGCCAGAGAAAGAGGGTTTAATCCTTTGTCACATTCTATGACCTCTCTATGCAAACCCTCGTCTCTTTTCTCCAAAAATATGTCCTGAGGCTGTCAATCTCGCGGTTGTGCATGGTCTTAATCGCTATGATACAAAATTAACAAGCCTCGACCACCAGCTTTCTTTTTTTAAATCGGGATATACAGCCTCATGACTGACGATTTCGGGTGATGCATTCTATGGAGGGTCATAGTTGTGCGGATTTCCGATTTCGAGTTCGGTTTGAGACCATCTGAGCACGCCAAAAGTGTAAATATATACGAGTACGGGTATGACCCAGCCGTTATAAGTCGGATTTTATTGGCGCCCGACAAAGAACTTTTCAGTACTTTGTAAGGCGCGCAAAAAAGCCTCGCGGACTGACTGTTTCATATCCGTCTCCTTCACACCGATGTTTTGTGACATGCCCAGATACCGGTATGTTTCAGCCTCGGAGAGGGTTTTAATATTAGAGGCGTCGATCTGTGGCGATAAAAATTCAGTTTGAGTGACCCGTCCCCTCTGCACATGGAGGACCGCGCACTTGTCTATTCCGAGCGCCATCCTAATAGAGCTGCTATAATCGTTTACGATATTTAGCAGCTCCGTCAGGCGTTCGATGCTCCCTAGCAGTTTCAAGTCATCCATGTACAGAAGGTGAGACACTTGTACCTCCTCTCCGATACTGAAATCCAGTCCCCGAATTCTCCAGTAAAGTACTGAGTGGATTCAGGGACAGGCAAAACAAAGTGGACTCAAACAATCGCCCTGGAATATTCCTCTCTTTATCTCTATCCGGTCAGCGGTATCCGTCAATCGCTCGCCCTGGATAGTCAATCGTCGTCCACTGCCTCATGCATGCCTCCAAGAACACTCGAACTGTACCGTCGATCTTGTACAGCTCGAGTATCCTCCGAATTCCATGAATGGGGCACGGAATCGAACGCCTTTTTATAATCTATCCAGGCGGCGGAGAATATTGGATACGACGTGTGTGTTTATTGCTTGACCACGTGGCCAGCGACAGCATCAATGGGAGGAGCAGATGGACGGCGATCCGCGGCTACCGCCCCTGCATCCGTTCTGGGCGCTAGATAGGATCTTATTCTCGTACACATGACGAGAGATCTTAGCGCTCAGAACGGATGTTAACGTCTTATATATTGTCGTAAGACAAGTGATGGGGCGATATTTAGATGGATCCGCGGTATCGTCCGTCTTAGGAGCTAAATGATTTATTATTATTATTTTTCTACACGTGGGGCAAACGAGCATGCGGCTCAGCTGATGGTAAGTGACTACCACCCATGATCACTCATAACACCAATGGCATTGCAGGTGTGTTGCCGGCCTTTTAAAAAGGAACATGCTCTTTTTTTAAGGTTATGATGTCGTATTATCTAGTCAACTAATTTAATAGAGACATTTTTTACTTTTCAATTACTTCGTATACATATATATAACATTCGACTTGTTGAGCTGTCTTATTCACATGTGCTACTATTAACTCTTTATAATCACTGCCTTGCTGCATTACCTATTTGATAGTATAAAGTAAAATATTAAGAATTGTATAATGAAAAAAAAAAAGAATAAATTTTAATCACCATATCAGTTGGTTATTGTCCTCTACTAAATATAGGCCTTCCCTAAGAGGGTGGTTTTGTTATTAGTTGCCACGATTGACAGGCGGATTGGCAACCACAGTTAGGGTCTGATGATGATTTTAGAGGGACGCTGCTACCCATTTATTGACCATTAAGTTCCCTTAGTCATCTCTTATAACACCCACGGGAATGGAAGGCGTGCTGTATTCGATGCCGGGACCACAATGGTAAAAATAAAGTATAACATAGAATTATTGTAATACCAGAGGGAGACTTTGTACAAAAGTCGATTGCTTGGATACCTCTGTCCCATTCGTGTTTCAACCGTGAAGCAGTTGTTTGCATAGCTGTGTTTCGGTTTGAAGGGTGGGATATGGCGTGAATTTACTGGGTACAGAGGAATAACACCTGAGTCCTCAGGGATGGCAACGCATGGGGGATATCATGGGTGAAACAGTATACTCTATTATGTCCATGGCACTGCTCATGTCTATAGGCGACAGTTACCACTTTTCGTTAGATGGGCCGTCAGCTTGTTTGCCATTCTAAGTTGTATAAAAAAAAATTACAGGGCATTTGGCGCGCACCGCTGATCCCGAACCCCAACTACAAGGGCAAGTGGACTCCTCGCAGGATACCCAATCCTAACTACTTCAAAGATGATCACCCATTCAGAATGACGCCCATTGTGAGTATACAGTAACATTATGAAAGAAAATTTTTTTTAATAATTGTTTTATACCCAAGTTACTCTTAGTATTTCCAGTTTCCTTTCACTTGAAATTGTTATTTTATACTCGTAGTCGGCTTTTACACCTGGGCCTCTAAACAAGTGACAAGCGAATTCGTCGATGGAATCGACATCGCTAGCGAGTCCGTGAGACAGAATGAGATAGCAACGCCTGGTGACTCATTCCAACTCATGGACTCGCTCCTAATTCAAAGATTCAATTGGTGGCAAAATATGTACTCAAATTCTAATAATATAAATAACAATCTATCTATCCTATTTAAGAGCTGCATTCTTGTTGGTGAAGCTCTTGCTACTCACTACGATTTCCAGCGAGTCTCTTCACCTCTTGATCCGACACGACACCAACTCCTTCTTGATCTGCCTGATGTAACTATGTCTCGGTCTCCCTCTCCCCCTCCTTCTTTCTATCTTACCTTCCATTATAATGTTCATAAGTTCGTCGTGTCGTATCAAGTGTTCCAACATTTTTACTCTTCATATATAATATCAGTAAATAACAATAAAATAAGAAAATCTTAATGCATACAGGTGACATGACATGCAAACCAATTTTATCTAAATTAGAACATTATAAAAGAGTGGTGTCCATTACTAGATTGATATATACATGATGTGACAATCGACAATGATATTTCCATTCACCAGCACGCGGTCGGTTTTGAATTATGGTCGATGTCCCCTCTCCTGCTGTTCGACAACCTCATCGTGACCGACGACGAGGCCCTCGCAGAACAGTGGGCGCAGCAGACCTTCGTGCTGAAACGCGCCAAGATATCCAGGGACTCTGTAAGTAATATATTTTTATTTTATTTTAAATTGGTAACCTATAAACAATAAACAATACTATGCAAATAAGTACAGGACTACAGTCTAAAGATATAAAGACTGTAAGATAATGACCGTGGTGCAGTGAACGGGTCAATTTAGAAAAACGATTTTTTTTTCTATATTAACTCAGGTCCAAGTGAGTTGTGATCCAGATGTTCTTTGCCTAGTAGATTGGTTGGATTTATTGACACCTAAAACTTGAAAAAAAAAAAAACAGAAAGCCTCTAACATATTGAATAATCTAGTAAAAAAGTATTGAGATGCTTCTTCATACTTTTAAAAAAACTATCTGATGCTATTTCAAGCAATATAATGAGACACTTTATTGTAACAGCTGGCAAAATTTATTTTTAATATTTTCTGTGTCTGTGTTTGTTTATGGTAATATAAGTCTGAATAATACACGAGGCCTAAAAACATTTATATCACTGCATATCAAATATTTAAAAAATCTAAAACATCAGAAACCCACCAATGAAATGTGTTGTTATGTTGATAGTAATAAATAGACAGTAGGTACATCATCATCATCTTCATCATCGTACCAGCTGTTATCTGTCCACTGCTGATCATAGGCCTCCTCCATAGACCGCTGTAAGGAATTGGACCATTCCTTGTGGCAGTTTACCATTGGGTAGATTTTGCCAATAGTTGACCACGTTTGACAAGCGAATTGGCAACCTCAACCAACCAACCAAATGGCTTTTGGTGATGTTTTAAGATGGATGCTGCTACCCATCCCTCAACAATTAAGTTCCGTTAGTCGCTTCCTACGACACCCACGGGAAAGGAAGGGGTAACCCATCCTATGCTGGGACCACACAGCATACAAATATATTTATGTTAAACTGATAACATGTTCTTGTATAGAAAACGTTATGGGGCCGCATGCTCCGCGCCATGAACTACAAGCCGGGCTGGTGGGCTCTATACGGAGTATACTGTGCCATCCCCATATCTATATACGTGGCTTACCTCGTCAAACGGGCCAGAGAGGTCACATTTTATTTCAAATAAATAAGCTATTAAAGCTTAGAAATTAAATACTGCCGCTAGAAGAGTGTTGTAAATGAATTCGCTATTTCTATTTTATAATAAATCACGTAAATGCTATTATTTATTTATTTATTTATAAAAGACACACCAACAATATGCTCACAACTATTAAGCAGACAACGTACAATGTTATAAGTAAAAAGTGAAAAACTACTATTCAAAAATGCTTAAATCTAAGTTTACTTGAACAAAAACATCCCACTCCTCACTACCAAGCTTAAGGCCATATGAACACATCAATTAAAGGTGTATACAGCTCTCACAGATAAGCGTCAATATATACTAAGTAACAATTATACAATTAGAGAAGACCTAGTTACCAATCCATATTATTAATAAGCTTAGTAAACTGCACTAAAGAATTACCAAAGATGTCGATATCAATGTCAACATTTACATTATAGAATGGTTAATATTAATAAACAAATTATACAGTAAAATTACATGCATACATATCTGTAACACCTGTCTCCCATTAGGGTAGGCAGAAACAATGGAACGCCAAATGCTTTGATTTAAACAAAACTCTTTTGCTTCTTCCGCATTCATCAATCTTTACGTACACGCTCGCCGGTTACGGGTACTTTTAATTTGATGTCTTTTAAATATATATAGTATAATAATATATAAAAATATAGTATATATATATTCAAATCAACTTTATTTAAATAGACGTGTCAACGAACACTTTTAAATCTTTTTTTTAAATCTATTGCTGGGTCCAGAAAGTAGTTACCTGCTGATCCCTCAAGAGACTCAACAGTTACTCTTTTAAATCTCTGTTAACATATACATTAACAAATATATAACAGATGTTAACAGATATATATATATTACAATTACAGATATATTTATTTAAATATATTATGTCTAAAATTACATGGTGTTGTAAGATTATAGAATTTCTCGTTCCCTGTCGATGATGTGGTAGTGAGCTAGTGGTGTACGTAGCAAGCTAGAGTGTGCAGTAGCAGAGCTAACCGTTGCAGGACTCGGTGGTGGAGCGCGCGCTCAAATTCGCCGGCGACAACCCGTGGGTGTACGCGGTGGTCATCATCGGCAGCTTCCTCGTCGTCGGCCTCTTCGCCTACCTGTGCTGCGGCGGCAAATCTGTGAGTACTATTACTATTTGTGTGAGGGTGGCGCCATCTAGGATCAGTTTCTTACCGTTATTCGTTGTTCTCGAAGCATGGCATCGCTTTTTGACATGGTAGGTAACAGGTGGGGACCTGCGCTATCGGTATACACTAGTGTGGTGCTAATGACGTATGGGGGGAATGGGATTGTTAGTAATGGGATCTAATTTCTCCATTACTAGGAATATACCCTATCAGGTCGACCACCACGCGCTTCCCCCTGGAAACTAGCATGGTTAATTCTGCTGAGATTCGTCACGATGGGCTAATAGACCTGCTTTCATCGTCATCAAAAAAAATTACGGATGATAGATGAGGATGTAGGCAGAGATCAGTCAGTCATTATTTCATCAGGAATTACCCACGATGGTTCCCAGAAACCGCGTGGGATACTTTTTTAATGAGTTGCACGGCTGCGCCATCTATATACTCTGAGCACCAATGAGGGATGATAGGTGAGGAAGAAAGCAATTGTGTGGCCAGTTGACTAATCGTGACAAACTCAACAAACCCTACGTGGTTCAGAGAATTGCATAGAGGTTAACATTATATATAGTGTTTACGCTATAGACCCATTACTAACACCCCGCCCCCCCTCCCTAGCTCTGCGTTGTGGACGACCTGATTGAATGTAAAATGAATGTCCTAGTAATGAGGTTATTCATTTCCATTACTAACAATAACTTTTTCTCTTATATACGTCTCAATAATGTCCATAGTCCATAAATACCTTTGTTTTTAATAATAAAATTGCATAAAATAATTTCTGTGTTATGTATGTCCTTTAGGACTCTGATGCGGATATTAAAAAGACTGATGCTGTGATGGAGGATGACCCCCATCAGTCGGAGGGAGAAGGGGAAGGAGCCGAGGAGGAACCTCAGGAAAAGGCCAGCAAGGCCGACCTGGAGGGACCGGAGACTCAGCCGGACTCCGCTACTGAGGCAGAGGTATGTACTTACTAAATGAAGTGAAAACATTTTTTATGCAACTTTGAATGGCAAGCAAGCTGACGGTACACCTGATGGAAATTAGTAACCGTCGACTATAGGCATGAGCAGTGCCATGGGCATAACAGAGTATACTGTTTCGCCCATGATACTCCCCATGCGTTGTTCCCGAGGACTCGGGTTTTATTCCTCTATACCCTGTAAATTCATTGCCATATCCCACCCTTCAAACCGAAACACAATTGCTTTACGGTTGAAACACGAATGGGATAGAGGTGCCCAAGCAAACGACTTTTGTACAAAGACTCCCTCTGATAAAAAAGATAAAGGCCAGATTGGTCTATTGTGACAAATTTACCAGTAATTAATCACAATGGGTTCCAAAGGGGGCCATGTGCCTACACTGTATTACAGCACATGCAGTAGTTTAAGTGTTGCTTACTTTTAAATTAAACACAACTGAGAATATTTCCTAGGCTATTATTTTTTATAATGGTCGCGTTCCTTATGACAGTTAACCATTGGAGGTTTTTGCCAATAGTTGCCATGTTTGGCAGGTGAGTTGGTAACTGCAGTTTGACTTTTAGTGATGTTTTAAGAGAGACGCTGCCGCCCATGCCTAGACTATTAAATTTTCATAGTCACATCTTACGACCATCACAGGAAAAGAAGGGGTAGCCCATTCTATGGCAGGACCACACGGCTACTGTTATTATGGATAAATTTTTATTCTTATTGTTAAATTGTTACAGACGACGCCTCTGGTGGACACAGAGGGCGCCGGCGACGGCCAGAGGAAACGGAAGCCCCGTAAAGAGTAGGCTCCCACGTATATAGTTGTATAGGGAGAGTGCGAAGTAGGTTCAAACCAGAGCAATCTCTTCAGTTGGTTACTCCCGTCCGTTGTATGTAACCATGCCTGGAGCTATTTCATATTTATTATAACACTGAATTGATGTTAAATTACCCCTGTATAGAAACTAGCGTCATCTAGTGTAAGTAATACTACTGTTCTAAGATTAAAGTTGGTCTGAAATGTTAACTCTTGCATTGAAAACGTTATAATTTTAAACTGATCTTTTTTCATTATAAAAAAGAACATTTTATTTGCATTCTTTTTATATGGGAAAAGCGTTTACGCTGATTATTTATGTGCAGTTTTTTTAACTGCACTTAGGCTTTGGTGATGTCTTAAGAGGGACGCTGCTTCTCATCCCTTGACCATTAAGTTTCCTTAGTCGCTCTTTACTAGAATCACGGAAAAAGGAAGAATTGACCCATTCTATGCCGGGATGATTTCCACCAAAGGACTCGCATTACATCGGATCGGATACGAATGGATGCGGCGACAGCCGATCGTGTCCGGCAGGATGTCAATGCATACGATCGACTCCGTATCGTCGCTTTTGGACATATCCGTTTCGGAGCCTAGTCAAACAGTTGTATTCCTACCGTGTTGACGGATTCTATTTTTTGAAAATGGTTGAAGTTGACGTAGTATTGTTGGTTCATTAACTAATTAATTAAAGAATCATAAAACACAAGAGGTAAAGAAAAAGAGTGATCCCGCCCGGCTACGGCTTTGAGCGTACGCAACGGCAGACGAATGGAGCCGATCGCGCGTCGCAGCATACTTTCAGTTACGATCGCGTGTTGTGGAAGACATCCGTGGTCGTGGTTTGGTAATATAGACTTTAAATACAGTGCACACGATTTAATATCGTTTAAAGATTAAAAATACGATCTGATGGTGGAAATAATCCCTAATATTTATCATAATGGGTTTTGTCCCTTATAATCAGTTTTAACAAGCATACATAGAGTCTTAGGTCAACAGTAGATAAGCGTCGTACAGGTTAACTATTAACAAACTAAACTGTATATAATAAGGACATTTATGATCGTGTACGGGGGTAATTTATCATAATATGAGTATAGTCAAGTTTAAGTTTCTTATTATTATTTTTAATTTAAATTTTATAATTATTTCACTGACCCCAAATAATTGGGATGAGGGCAGGAGGATTATTATTATTCAATTTGATTCAACATTTAAATACTTATAGATTGACAGTTACGTTTTGTTATTAAGATGTTAGTTATCTCCCTTTTGGTTCTTTATTGTAAAAGGCATGATGGCCATATAAATATATGCTTTCAGCAATGTGCAACAGGCATGGCACGTAATCGGCGAAGTAATGAACGCAGCACATTTTGGTTTGCATTTTCAAAGTATTTAGACGCGGTCTGCTTTAAAGTTCTTTTGTTTCATGCACATTGCATTCTGTAGGCTAGTTGTATCAGATTATTTATTACTATTACTCTTCTATTTGTTAGTATTATTTTATTTATATTGAATTGGATTGGTTTATATTGGTATGGGGTATATTGTAGATCCCATATTACTATCACAACAGCGCCATCTATTGTGTGATGCGTGGCAATTTAAATTTGTCAATTGATGTGGTTTTGTTAGCGAAAGTATGAGAAAGAAAGAGACAGCGCGTGCTGTTCCACCATTCTATCTCGTGCATATGGTAGCGATAAAGTTTCTATTGAGAGAATCGACTGCCACTTGTCTGGACGATATGTCCAGTAGTTACATCACTGCTATGGGATCTATTGATGTCTCCATACACATTATCCAGTGTTTATTATTTTGTATTACAGTTATGTTAAAATAATATTAAATTAATTATTGAATTTAATTTGCAAATTAGGAATTTGGCTGCAACACATCTAAGTCCATTATCGATTGAACTTAGGAAACTGCGTAAATTTGCTGCATTTTTTTTTTCCTTTATAATTAAATTTATACTTGGTTATTTTCTTACTTGTATTCTATATTTATTACTTTTTATTGGTAAAGTCTTATCAAACGTTTTTCTTTTCTGTTCCACCAAAGATTCTGTCCTGTTATGTTGTGAACAAATTGCGTTGTTTTTTATATTTTAAGTGTACGATTAAATATTTTGAAGCGTTGTAAGATATTTGATTGCGTCTTGAAATTTTAATCTTATAGCTGTTCTGATAAAAAAAAAAAAAAAAAAAAAACTAACCCGAATAGAGATTGCAGTTTAAGCTTTATTGTGCGGATTCTTATGTGTATATGTAGATATGCGTAAACGTAGCTTGTCTGTCTGTGTATGTGTGTTGATAATCTAGGCCCAGGGGGTGTACCATGAAATTCCGAATTGTCGAACTCAATTTTGTATTTTCGTTCATACCGAAATCGGTCCAGTAAACGGAGCTTAATAAAAAGTCAACGATATTTGAACATATTTAATATTTTTAAACGGTATGTAAAATGTAATTTTAATATGAAATTTGTGTTTCATTCGGCCCTGAAATTTGGGAAAACATTTCATGGTAGGCCCTCTGTTTACTGCGTTCGTATTACACGTCACTTCTCATAAACAAGCTCTGTAGACAAATTTCAATTGAAGTTATCGGTAGATACAGTTTCGCTATTGTATACTGAATAAAACTGCAAAAACTAGAAATAACTACATTCGTCTACACGAAGCATGTAAATGTATTTTTTAACACTCTTTCAAAGACCGGCAATGTATTGGCGACTGCCCCGGTACTATCAGGTTAACTGCATGCTTGGTTGTCGCCCTCTCACATAAAAGAAGTATTGTAAATGAAACTAATTGGTTTTATTATTATATATATATATATATATATATATATATATATATATATATATATATATATATATATATATATATATATATATATATATATATATATATATATATATATATATATATATATATATGTAACGAAATTAATTAATTTCCTTTGTGTTGGTGGTTCCGACAATTGTTTCAACTTCATCCGAAAGTCTTCTTCAGGGAGCGCTCAGCGTTTTGCATCACAGCGTCTCGCCTCACATTAAGGGTCACAGCTCACATGGTCCATGATGGAAATAGTTGACAGAAATAATAGATATAATGGATAATAGCAAATTATCTTTTGCCACCCTCACATCTAGCTTCTAATTATGGCTTTTTTTTTTTATACGCAACGCAACGCAACATATAACGCATGGGGGGTATCATGGACGAAAAAATATACTCTGTTATGTCCATGGTACTGCTCATGTCTACGGGCGACGGTTACTACTTTACATCAGGTGGGCCGTCAGCTTGTTTGCCATTCTAAGTTGTATTAAAAAATACCACCGAGGCAAACAAGCATACGGCCCATCTGATGGTAAACGGTTATCGAAGCCTACAAACGCCTGCAATACCAGGGGTATTACGCGCGTTGTCGACCCCGAGGAAACCTTTTTACCCCCCCCCCCCCCCCCCTTTTGAAGAGCCCCATGCTGTAGTCTCTTGGAAAAATCCCTTGGCTTCACGTTGCAATCTCAATTTGGTTTAAGGCTTTTCATTTCGCATATTGTTTATAGATAGAGCGCTAATATCGTTTGCGGATGCTTCAATGTAATCTCGTCGAATGTTGACGATGAAAGATTTGTATAGATAACTAAATGTATGGAGTTCATATGTACGGTTGGCATTCTTTGGAATCACATATTAAAAAAAAATTATGGGATCGAGGGCCAACGTAATTGTAAAGTCCTCATTATCGATACGTTGCCATAATCCAGGCTTTGTAATAAAAATTCCCATGGTATCCCAATATTTTTTTGTCAACTGTACAAGAGCCGGTATTTCGTACAGTCGGCGCAATTATATTTTGTATATTTCATTATATGCGTTACGGTAACTAGTATACTCGAATAGGATCGGTTCAATGTGGTTATTATGGGACATCTGTGCCCATCAGTGGAATGATGTGGGATTGTTATGATGATGATGGTGAAACTGTATTTATTTACTTAGCTGTTCTAATTGGTATGGTTGTCAGATTGTTTGAAATACCGGCCCATTCAGTTTAGTGTTTAAATTATATTAAATAGATATAAATAATATACATGTTTGTATGATCATACGGTTTATTTCTATTCCTATTACGTATATAGGGTCATGCTTCGTTTAATAAGTACTTTATTACTTAAAGCATATAGTTTTTTAACCGATTTCAAAAAAGGTGGAGGTTCTTAGTGTCATTGTATTTTTTTTATGTTTGTATATTTCATAACTCCAATATTTGCCTCACGGAATGGCAACGCATGGGCGGCGCAGAAACATCATGGGCGAAACATAATACTCTGTTTGTCCATGATACTGCTCATGTCTATAAAACGGTGACCACTTTCCATCTGGTGGGCCGTCAGCTTGTTTGCCATTGTAAGTTGTATAAAAAAAAATTGTAAATTTATTTAATTTTTTTTTCCAAAATATTGTACTTTCAGATTGGACCAATAAAATCAATTCAGTATAGTTTTAAATCAATTGTAGTCGGTTTTTATGGGACTATTTAAAATTAATTGCAATATTATTCAGTTGTAAAAACAAATGTCTTAGTACTGTTTAGGTATAAATCATAATGATATGTTTCTATATAATGTGTCATATATCAGTAACAATTATTTTTCATTATATCGTCACAGTCGTAGAATACTGACGGATCTGACGAAGATTACATATAAAGATCCGCCAGTATTTTACGACTATGACGATATTACGTATTAGTAATAAGGTGGAGGAGGCATGACCCCCGTCATTTGGACGTGGCATCACGGCTGGTCCAGTAGGTTAAATATTATAGTATTCGATGCATTTTGTTCTCGCAACGTATGTGCGTATATGTGTGTGAATAGGTACAAGTTAATGGACTGTAATTTACATGAATAAAAAACTATTTCTACTACATGAGTTAGTTTTATTTTGTATTATATTTTATTATGATTTTGTATGAATGAATGAATGAATGAAACCTATTGTTCCCTTTAAAGAATGATACAGGTTATAGAGATTGGCAATATGTACACAAAAGTCGTTTGCTTGGGCACCTCTGTCCCATTCGTGTTTCTACCGTGAAGCGGTTGTTTCGGTTTAAAGGTTTTTTTTAATGAGTTATAATGGAATGGTAACTCCACCCGCGCTATCGGCATACACCCAGCGGGGCACCAGTGAAGGATGACAGGTGAGGATGAAGCAGGTCAGTTAGCCCACCGTGACGAATTCAACAATTGTTCACGATGGTATACAGGGAGAACCACGTGGAGGTCGACCTAATAGGGCATATTGATAGCAATGGGGCTCAAAACCATTGCTAACAATCCCTTTTCCCCGGTTTTAAGAATAGGATATGGCAGTGAATTTACAGGGTACATAGGAATAACACCTGAGTCCTTAGGAATGGCAACGCATGGTAGGTATCATGGGCGAAACAGTATACCCTGTTATGTCCATGGTACTGCTCGTGTCTATAGGCGACGGTTGCCACTTTCCATCAGGTGGGCCGTCAGCTTGTTTGACATTCTATTTAAGTTGCATAAAAAAAAGATAATGAATACTTAATTACATAAACTTCATCACATAAATGCAATATAAAGAGGCAACAATGAGGTATATGTATGTAATGAAATTTAATGGAACTCGACTAACAATAAGCACGGGGCGATTACGTCCCCGGCTGTCGAGTTGACGTGACCCCTTACAATGTTTACAAGTCAACATTGAATGAATCACGTAATAGGTACCTACATACATATATTTATTTCTCTGTTCATTTACGTATACCCGTTTGAATAATTTATACTAATATGTGAAAGTGGCTTTGTCACCTACCTCGTGTCGCCGTAATGCTCATGAAATATCATAGGTATATTTGATTCCGTGCCCATCTCAGAACTGTCTAGTGGTCAACCTGGGATGCGAGAGAGGAAGGGTTTGTTAGTAATGGAGAGGCTAGTCCCCATTGCTATCAATATACCTTTTTGAAGAATCCCATTTTCTTCGACAGTAAATTCCTATATAATTCACAAACGGAGCGTTAACTGATCTGAGTTAGGGGGGAAAGGGATTGTTAGTAATGGAGACTGAGAATCCCATTGCTAGCAATATACCCAACCACCTGATGAATTTATCATGATGGGCTAACTAGCCTGTTTTCATTCTCATCTATCACCCTTCACTGGTGCTCCGCCAGCGTATCTCGTAAGCGCAGGCGGGGTTACCATACCATTTTCACCCATCAAAAAATGATGCCAGATATTAATATCAAGTCAACCACCACGTGATTCCCCCTGGAAACCATCGTGAACAATTCTTGTTGAATTCATTACGATGGGCTAACTGACCTACTTCATCCTCACCTATCATCCTTCACTGGTGCCCCGCCGGTGTATACCAATAGCGCGGGTGGGGTACTATCTCATTATCACCTATAAAAAAAAAACAATGGAGACACTCACCCTTTTGAACAGTTAAAATAACTATATGTAAACATGAGGAAATCTCATAAGAGATCATGGAGAGTTAGTTACCAACTTCTATTTACAAAACATTTCATCATGCTGATAGATAAACTTTTTTTTTATACAACTTAAAATGGCAAACAAGCTGACGGCCAACCTGATGGAAAGTGGTAACCGTCGCCTATAGACATGAGCAGTACCATGGACATAACAGAGTATACTGTTTCGCCCATGATACCCCCATGCGTTGCCATTCCTGAGGACTCAGATGTTATTCCTCTGTACCCTGTAAATTCACGCCATATCCCATCCTTCAAACCGAAACACAGCTATGCAAACACAACTGCTTCACAGTTGAAACACGAATGGGTCAGAGATACCCAAGCAATCGACTTTTGGACAAAGTCTCCCTCTGGTACAACAAACAAACAAACTACGAGTATTTAACGATTCGAAATCCTGTATTTACTTCTCTCCACTTATTTAGCTACCTATTCCATGGAACGGGCAATTCAAAATAATGAAGTCATAACCGTAAGTAAATCTATTAATAGCCAATACAAACTTTGCTAAGCTACACAAATTAATGTGTCTGCTACATAATTCTCGTAAGTTGAATAGTTAATCTCATATGGTCGTTGGCCAACGACCGCGCGTGTTCATTGCCTACTAATAAGCCACAGATAACCTACACGAGACACGACTCACCGTTGGACCGACACCGGTCCCCAGTGCTTACAATATTTTTAAACATAGCAGCGTCATGTTGTTCCTGTGCTCAATTTTATTTGTCGTTACTTGTAATGCCGATGATTATGCACAAAGACCGAATATAATATTATTCCTTGCTGATGATTTGGTAAGTAGCGTTTTTATTATATTTAGGTAAGTACATATTTCACATACATATTTATTATTTTTCAATATCGGGACTTAAGGTGATGAAAAATTACAAATAAATAGTACCTACATACATATTTTAAAATTAACTAAGTAGGTACATAATTGTTTCTTATAATCTTTTTAAGATAAATACGTGATTGAAGTTAGATTACGAAGTACGTAGACTGTATGTAGTTAATATGTTATATATGTTAATGTAAGAGAGAGAACCGTTTCGTTTAAAAAAAAAAATCAACAAGATCGGTCAGCAAATCTTTATTTTGTTACTAATATTAAATATGAAATGAAACTGTTTGTTATTTGAGATAAAGAAGGATATATATATATATATATATATATATGTATAAATGTTTTTAGACAGGAATGTAGGTGCCTACTTGTATATTTATTATTTAATAGGTGAAAATGTAATGATAACCCCGCCTGCGCTATCTGTATACGCTGGCGGGGCACCAGTGAAGGGTGACAGGTGAGGATGAAGACAGAACAGTTGCCCCCTAGTAACCAAATGAACAAGAATTAATCAGTATGGTTTCCAAAGAGATCCGCGTGGAGATCGACCTGACAGAGTGTACTGCCAACAATGGGGCTGTTAAATCTCATTACTAACAATTCCTCTCCCCCCTCCCTCCGATCCTTATTCGTATATTACCTATATTACCACTTACATTACAATATAATAATTTTAAATTTTGCTTTGCAAAAATAAAAAAAGATAACAAATTTAAAACATTCGAAATTTAAATATATGGAATTAAAACGAAAGTAAACCTTATTTATTGCAAAATCTTTCGCCTTTATGATGTTAATAGGATAAAATTGGTCAGGCACGAGTAACGCGTCGAGGGTTCCGTAGGTATGTATGTACATAGATAAAATGATCTTAACTATATATGTGTTTATTGTCTTTCATATTTAATATAAATTAAACATAAATAAAATAATAATATAAATTTTATATAAATTATTGAAATTCGGATTTTTTTATTTTGGGACTTTATTTTGAGCGCATTAAGTTTGTTTTTTGAAATTTTTAAATGTGCTAGTTATAAACTATCTAGTTTTGATATAAATTATAATTATTTTCGGTTATTCACCATACTAACATCAGCGACAAGAAAAAGATGGGGAAATCAAAAACTTCACGATATGTAAATAATTGTAAAACGGTTGTAAAATGTCAGATGAAGCCACTTTATATGATACCTTAATACAAATATTAGGACCATTCTAAGAAAATTAATACCACTTTCGGACCGATTAACAAAGTAAATAAAATATAATTTTAATCATTTCCTTTAAAATACGTGTGATACATTGATGCTTAAGACTATTTTAAATTTCAAATCCACTGCAACTGTAGGTAGTTACCGAGTTAAAGCATTCATGTATGATAATGGATGGTAACTCCGCCTGCCCTAATGGTATACGCTGGCGGAGCACCAGTGATGGATGATAGGTGAGAATGAAAAGGCAGATCAGTTAGTCCATTGTGATTAATACACCATGATGTATAGAAATTCAGCATGATAGTTTCCAGGCGGGACCACGTGGAGGTCGACCTGACAGGCTATATTGATAGCAATGGGATTGTCTAGTAGACTGATTAATCTGCATTACTAACAATCCCTTCACTCCCTGAGTTAAATAAATGTGACAATAAACAGATGGCCGTACCTACAGAGTGGCACCGTAAGGGTTCCTTTGTACTGTTTTGATGTGGAACCCTAAAAATACTTATAATAATTTTGTGAAACCTGTATTGATAACACTTACGCCTATAACTTGTAATAATCAATTATGCAAAGTTACCGTCGTATGGCAACCGTTAATTAATCAAATGACGTGAGTACTTACCTAAATATTATATATTTGCATAGTTAGGTATGTTTTTTTTATACAACTTAAAATGGCAAACAAGCTGACGGCCCACCTGATGGAAAGTGGTACGTACCATGGATATAACAGAGTATACTGTTTCGTCCATGATACCCCCGATGCGTCGCCATTCCTGAGGACTCAGATGTTATTCCTCTATACCCTGTAAATTCACGCCATATCCCACCCTTCAAACCGAAACACAGCCATGTAAACACAACTGCTTCACGGTAGAAACACGAATGGAACAGAGGTGCCCAAGCAAACGACTTTTGTACAAAGTCTCCATCTGGTCATAGCAAGATGTCTATAGATAAACAGACAAAAATCCTGAAATTTATTATTTATTTATTATCATTACAAGAACCCCAAAATCTACCAAAAACATCTACCAAAATTACTAAGATGTAGTAATTTTGGTAGATGTCGTCAAGTCGTGACAGTGTATTCTTGTACACCATACTCTTCATGTAAAGGTGGTAGTTACCACTTCCCACCACGTGTACCATCAGCTTGTTTTCCATTCTGAGTATTACAAAACGAATACTTTGAAGATAAATTATTGTTGAAGGGATGGAACGATGTGGGCTACCACGGATCGAACCAGATACCGACGCCGAACATTGATGCACTGGCGTACTCCGGAGTGGCGCTACACAATTACTACGTGCTGCCAATATGCACCCCGTCCAGGGCAGCGCTCATGACCGGCAAATATCCTATACACACAGGTATTCCTTCTGCACATCAAATGAAACCGATGAGGAAGAAAGGTGTATTGCAAGGAGTTTCGACCTCAAATGTATTGCAAGGAGTCAATGAATGTAGGTGACTGAGGGCCGTTCCTTATGGCAGTCTATGGGGGAGGCCTGTGTCCAGCAGTAGACGGATAATGGCTGAAATGATGGTAATAATGAGAAAGAAAGAAAGAAAGAAAAAAACATTTTATTCAAGTAAACTTATATTGAAATGTATAGTCATACGAAGAGAGCTTATAACACACTGCGTGTGCAATACGATAACGCATTCCGAGTGATGCTCAACTTGCCATGGCGGTGTAGTGCGTCTGGCATGTTTGCAGAGAACAGGGTTAATGAATTTTTTTGCTATTTTACGTAATTATAAGGCAAAATTTCATCAAAGATTAATGACAACAAGTAATCATATTGTAGAGACTGTAATCCTCACTGCATACCTGACGACGAAAGATTTTATAATGAAATAATTTAAATTAGTATTTTATAATTAATGTGTATTTTTTAAAAAGAATAATAGTTTGTATAATTAATAATGTAATTGTAAACTATGGGTATATACCTGAAAATAAAGAGATTTATTTATTTATTATTATTATTTAACTATTTTCAATGTCGTTTTATAATTTTGTCTTCCATAGGGAATACAATTTCAATTAAGAAGAACGGGCTAAAATCAGCTTTTGCGTTTTTCAAATGTCAAATTTTATAAGTCATGAATTTGTGTGTATACCATGTACCAAGCAGTACCACAAAAATTAGGGTATTAGCTTACAATTAAACAATACGACCAAAAACAATAGCTTTATACTAAGAAACAGAATAAATCAGTTGCAGTGACCAGAGTTTCTACAAGCAGTATCCGTTCACGAGTATGACGAACCGCTTTTATCAACAGTCCAACAGTATATTACTTGTATATTAACTGCGTTCCAATTAAGCAGCGCTAACAGTAAAACGCTTTCTTTTATATTTATATTTTATTGTACACAAAATTTGCATTGTTATAATATATATTAAATAAAGATGTACAACAAACGAGCTTAACTCTGTAAGAGTTCTCTTCCAACAAACCCTGGATGGAAAGGAGCGTTAATTACCAGCAGACAGCGTAAATATAATATAAAGTGAAAACAATTTAGTACTTTTCCTATTTCTTCCAATTTATTCGCTCATTTCTAACTAGTTTTTCACCATAATTTTCTAGGAATGCAGCATGGGGTCATTTACGGGGCGGAACCCAGGGGATTACCACTATCAGAGAAAATACTTCCCCAGTACTTGAAGGAGCTGGGGTACGCGACGCATTTAATTGGTAAATGGCACTTGGGCAGCTATAAGAAAGAGTACCTGCCGTATAATAGAGGGTATGTATCATTGTTTGAATATTGGTTTTAATATTAATTTGGCAAGGGATGGGCAGCTGCGTCCCTCTTAAAACATCTTTTTTTTTGTTATACAACTTAAAATGGCAAACAAGCTGACGGCCCACCTGATGGAAAGTGGTAATCGTCGCCTATAAACATGAGTAGTACCATGGACATAACATAGTATACTGTCTCGCCCATGATACCCCCCATGCGTTGCCGTTCCTGAGGACTCAGACGTTATTCCTCTGTACCCAGTAAATTCACGACATATCCCACCCTTCAAACCTAACACAGCCATGCAAACACAACTGCTTCACGGTTGAAACACGAATGGGACAGTGGTACCCAAGCAATCGACTTTTGCACAAAATCTCCCTCTGGTAACTGCGGTTGCCAACCCGCCTGCCAAGCGTGGCAACTACTGGCAAAACTACCCTTCTGATGAAAGCTTATGTCCAGCAGTGGGCAGTTAACGGCTGAAATAATAAAATAATTGGTTTTAAATTAGATTGCCTAGTTCACGAGAAAGATAGATAGAAAGCAGCTCACCTCACGGCAAGTGCTACCTTACGTGCCTTGCGCTTGTATAAAATAACTTCCTTTTATTTTTCTTCATAGAGTTAGGTTTTCTTCATAGGTTTTGGCATTGACTATGCCAAAACCCATAGTTGGTACTTAAAACTAGTTTAGTTCTTCCCATAGACGTAGTATAACGTCATCACAGTAGGCATGGATAATATGGATCCCGGGAGGGGGGGGGGGGGGGGGGGGGATTTTTAGTAATGGAGACTGAGAATCCCATTGCTAGCAATATACCCAACCAGGTCGACCTCCTCGCAGTTCCTCCTGGAAACTATCATAGTTAATTCCTGATGAATTCATCATGATGGGTTAACTGACCTGTTTTCATTCTCATCTATCACCCTTCACTGGTGCTCGGCCAGAGTATCCCGTTAGCGCAGGCGGGGTTACCATACCATTTACACCCATAAAAAAAATGGATCCCGGGGAGGGAAAAGATTGTTAGTAATGCGAACTACCATTCCCATTGCTAGCAATATAGCCTGTCAGGTTACCTCCACGTGAACTAGAACCTATCGTACTGAAGTTTTGGTGTATTCATCACGATGGACAAACTGATCTGCCTTTTCTATCCATCGCCATCTCACCTATTATCACTCACTGGTGACCTGACAGCGTATACCGTTAGCGCAGGCGGGTTCACCACTCCATTGTACCACAAAAAAATATGAATACCGATCCGATATTTATATATTGGGTTCTTCTGAACATTTTTTTTATACCACTGAGGTGGCAAACAAGCATACAGCCCACCTGATGGTAAGTGGTTACCGTAGCTCCCCTACTCCACAGTTCTTCCGGCTTACAAAGACAATATAACATCTTACAGGTTCGATTCCCACACTGGCTTCATCACGGGTAAAATAGACATGTATGATCACACAAACGTGGAGCGTGGATCCTGGGGTTTCGATTTTAAAAGAGGTAAGCAAGAGAAATTGGTCATGTGTGCCCCGGCATAGAATGGGCCACCCCTTCCTCTCCCGTAGGTATCGTAAGTGGCGACTAAGGAAAGGCGAAGGATGGACAGCAGCGTCCCTCTTAAACATCTCTAAAAACCTGACTGCGGCTGCCAACCCACCTGCCAAGTGTGGCAATTACTGGTAAAACTCTCCTTATGGAGAAGGCTTATGTCTAGCAGTGGACAGTTAACGGCAGAAATAATAAAGCAAAAGACAATGAATACATAAAAGCAAAATAAATTTTGTAACACCGAAAAGCATATATTACGCATGCATAGTAAGTACATACCTACGCCGTGAGACCCATCTAAACGTACAGCGCAGGCGCGTCGACCGACCAATAGGAGCGCGCCTCTCGCGCTTCGAGAAATTTCGCGACTAACGAACGAGAGAGTAGATAGGCGATGAGTGTCCTAGTGATATGATATAATACTGTTTTGTTGTTAAATATTGTAATACATATAATTTTCGAATAAATAACGTGTTCACCCGTTACAATTTTTATTTTATGTTTATTTATTTTTCATGTACTCGCCTAAGTTATGGTTAAAATAACATAAGAAAGAACAGCTATTAAATTTAAATATCTGTTAAATGTCTCAGTTCCCAGGTTTAAGATCTAGTGTTCTGCATCTAACTCGTTAAAGTGGGTTCCAAAATTTTTTTTAATTCGCTCTGATTCACTGACCTTGACTAATAAGACTGGACTTGAATTTAATCTTAGCCTATTTAAAAGGTTCTTCAAAAGGGGGGTTAAGAGGTTTCTTCAGGGTCGACAACGCGCACTTAATACACCTGGTATGGTTCAAAGGCTACGGTAACCACTCACCATCAGATGGGCCGTATGCTTCTTTGCCACCTCAGTGGTATAAAAAAAAAAAAAAAAAATTTTTTCGAAGAGTAATGATTGTGATGGTAGGATAGGATGGCAGGATGATTCTACCTACATGGTATATACAATCGAACGTGTGAGCTACTGCGTTTCTACTGCATTATAGGTATTATTTTAAAAACTTATGTTATTTTTTTATTCGATGTCTATATAAATACGGAAGATTAATGAACTCGCTGTGCTTTTGTTTACTATTGCGTTATATTTGAACAATCGCGACTGCAAATATTTCCACCGTGAAACCTGATGTTTTTTTGTCTTACAGATTCAGACGCGTTGGTATCTCATGACCTATTCGGGGTGTATGCAACAGATATTTATACAGATGAGGCAACTAAGGTACGTGGTTTTTTTTTTTTTTTAATGGATGACAATGGAATGGTAACCCCGCCTGCGCTAACGGTATACGCTGGCGGGGCACCAGTGATAGATGATAGGTGAGGATGAAAAGGCAGGTCAGTTAGCCCATCGTGATGAATACATTTGGAATTCAGCACGATGGTTTCCAGGAGAGACCACGGGGAGGTCGACACCAGTTACGTGGTACCAAACATAAAACGTATTCATTATCGATATACTGATAATAACTTGAATAAATAGATCAGATACCTCTATACTCTCAGATGACAATGACCATAATATTACATATCGTTTCATGTATTTTTTTTAATGGGTGATAATGGAGTGGTAACCCCATCCACGCTAACGGTATACACCGGGGGGAAAGGGATTGTTAGTAATGGAGACTGAGAATCCCATTGCTAGCTATTGCTAGCAATGAGATTCTCAGTCTCTATTTATCAGTATATTTACCCAACCATGTCGACCTCCTCGCGGTTCCCCCTGAAAACTATCATGGTTAATTCCTGATGAATTCATCATGATGGGCTAGCTGGCTTGTTTTCATTCATATCTATCACCCTTCACTAGTGCTCCGCCAGCGCATCCCTTTAGCACAGGCGGGGTTACCATACCATTATCACCCATGTAGAACAAAACGATAGTATTTTGTATGATTAATTTTGTCTACTTATATCACAAAAAGCGACTAAATGATATGGCAAACAGCACAGCACACCAATGTAAAAAATAATGCTGCTATATGCTTGCATAGAACATTTCACTAGAATATTCACTTGGATTTTACTATGAACAGATAATAAAGGCCCACAATCGAAGCCAGCCTCTGTTCCTCATGGTGGCACACTCGGCTGTTCACAGCGGCAACCCTTACGAGCCGATACGAGCGCCAGAGAGCGTCATAGAAAAGTTCTCGTATATCAAGGACCGGCAGAGGCAAAAGTTCGCTGGTATGAAATATTGAAGATATTCTTATAGATGCTAACTTTACGCATTTCCAACGTTCCCTTTCTTTTTTCCACAATCTTTTTCTCCAAAACATAGATGGCGAAAACCACCAACAAATGCATTCCCAAAGAGGGATGACATTAGGCAGGCGGCCGGTCATAAAACTATAAGCCAAACCCTTTAGTAATATGGATAAAACCATATTACGCCGACCCCAAATAATAATTGGGATAAGGGTAGGAAAATGATAATGCTAACATAGGCATAATATTGGGATTTTCGTTAGAAAACATTTTACTACTCTTGTGACTGTCTTGTGAGAAAACCTATTCTTAATTAACTTCAAATGTACTTAATACAAATAACGAATACTTCTGAGGAATCATGTATAAACACCACCATATGGTCCCGATTTAAAATGAGCCACCCCATCCTTTCCCATGGGTGTCGTAAAAGGAGACTAAAAGAACTTAATGGTTGAGGGATGAGCAGCAAAGTCTCTCTTAAAACACCACCAAAGACAAAACTTCGATTGCCAACTCGCCTGCCAAGCATGGCAATTACTGGCAAAACTCCCCTTATGGGGAAAACTTATGTTCAGCAGCGGACAGTTAATGAGTGATATAAATAAAATAGTATAAATAAAGTCAATATTTTTTTTAAACCATCCTGGTCTAATTAATGATCTTCTTCGTACACAATGACGAATTTAACCCATTGAGGAAGGGGGGAAAGGGATTGTTAGTAATGGAGACTGAGAATCCCATTGCTAGCAATATACCCAACCATGTCGACCTCCTTGCGGTTCTCCCTGGAAACTATCATGGTTAATTCCTGACGAATTCATCATGATGGGCTAACTGGCCTGTTTTCATTCTCATCTATCACCCTTCACTGGTGCTCCGCAAGCGTATCCCGTTAGCGCAGGCGGAGTTACCACACCATTTTTACCCATCAAAAAAACCCATTGAGGAATTTCATTCAGTCTACCTCTAAATTTACAAATAATTACTTCACAAAGAATTTAAATTTCTAAAACATTTCTTTTTCGAACGTTGCAGGAGTCCTCACTAAACTAGACGAGTCAATAGGCGAGGTGGTATCCTCACTGCAGTCCAACGGTCTACTGCAGAATTCCATAATCATATTCAGTACAGATAACGGCGGCGCCGCTGCAGGATTTAACAGTAACGCAGCTTCTAACTTCCCATTGAGAGGGGTAATAATTTTTTATTTATATTTTTTTCGTACTATGATAAGACCAGAGAGGTGGCCCATTCTTTGCCAGGCCACACAGGAATACGCTTCAATTGTCTTTTTTTATACAACTTATAATGGCAAACAAGCTGATGGCCCAACTGATGGAAAGTGGTAACCGTCGCCTATAGACGTGAGCAGTGCCATGGACATAACAGAGTATACTGTTTCGCCCATGATACCCCCCATGCGTTGCCATTCCTGAGGACTCAGGTGTTATTCCTCTGTACCCTGTAAATTCACGCCATATCCCACCCTTCAAACCGAAGCACAGCCATGCAAACACAACTGCTTCACAGTTGAAACACGAATAGGACAGAGGTACCTAAGCAAACGACTTTTGTACAATGTCTCCCTCTGGTAAAAAGTATTTCATATCAAATACTGGTTTACTTACCAGATTAATATTAAAATTATCAAACACGTCTATTTTACTTATGTAAGGGTTGATTTAGCCCTCTATGTCGAGGCTGTTTCGACGCCGAAGAAACGGCTGCTCACGTAATCCTGGAATGTGAGGCTGTGGCCCATCAACGTTTAGAAATCCTCGGAACGGTGAGGTCGCTCCGTGAGGCCTGTGAAGAACCCAGGAAGCTTCTGCGCTTCTGGGCAGAGCTAGGTTGGCTGCACTAGCCACGACTCATATGCACAACGGCCCAAATGAGAGGCTAAGCGCGGAAAATGGAGTCCTTTTCACATTCACATTCACATTCACAAGGGTTGATTTATACTACAGGTGAAAAATACATTATGGGAGGGTGGACTGCGGGGAGCGGGTGCTCTATGGAGTCCGTTGCTGACGCACAAGAATCGAGTGGCAACACAACTCCTACACATTTCTGATTGGCTGCCCACCCTGTACAGTGCAGCGGGAGGGAACACCAGGTAATATAGTTAAATAGTTAACCAGCTAAATAGTTAGTAACCTGCTAAATAGTTTTAAATAGAAAAAATCTACTGAAAATAGGCCTCCCCTTGGGGGGTTTTTTAGTAGTTTGTAGTAGTTGCCACACTTGGCAGGCAACAAAACGAACTTTTTATTCGTTTAGTTCTAGTATTTGCAGCATGATTTTAATAGAACTAAACAAACAGAATGGCGAGCGATAGACGAGGGATGGGCAGCAGTGTCCCTCTTAAAACATCTAAAGCCTAACTGCGATTGCCAATCCGTTTGCCAAGCGTGACAACTACTGGCAAACCCCCCAAGGGAGACCGCTTATGTTTATCAGTGGACCGTTAAAGGCTGATATGATGAAACAAACAGAAAGTTCATTTATTTCCTTGTTTAGTTTTATTTTACATGTATGAAAATAAATTTAATCGTACAATTTTAACAGAACTACGTCGCCAAAAATGTTCAGATCCAAAACAGATATACAAAGTAGGGGAGAGTTGGGTATATTGTACTGCCGGATAATTTGTACCATGTCAAAATTTCCTACTAAACATTACTATTTTTCTTTTCTGATAAAACGAAACTAAGCACTGACAGTGCCCTCAACTTCTTTTCGTTTTGTAATGACGTCTGACAATTGCATTGTATTTAAGAAAAAAAAAATACGATTTGGTTAGTGTTTGATGTAAATTTTGACGCGTGTTTCTAAGCATATAACTCAATGATGAAAGGTAAGTTATAATTTTGCTGTATTTTTTATTGAATATATCTACAATTACCTTTCAAACTATAAAGTTATGAACGCGTTAGATTTTGAGATTATTTTGCAATAAATACATATTATTTAAATCTTTTGGTTTTATAAATCGTACTACTAGTAGTTATCTAAATTGTACTGGTACAATTTACCCGACGAGTTGTTTTTTTAGATTGACGGTGATCGAAGAAAATATTATAAATGGAATAAAGTGGACTTGGAAAAGGCATTGTCGACTTTATATAAAAAGGAAATTAGTTTGAACCAGATTTCTGCAAGATATTCTGTTCTAAAGCCTACTATTTTACGTCATGTCAAAAAATAAGATTCCCTATAGTTTAACTGTGCATAAAGCGAGACCCACTACATTCGATTTAGAATTAGAACATATGCTAGTCAAACAGACTGTTTTGACTGACAGAGAAAAAAAATTGTTTGAATTAACTATCAGTGACGTCCGAAAATTTGCATTTGATATAACAGAAAAACATAACATTTCTTACAAATTTAACAAAAACAGAAAAATAGCTGGAAAAGCTTGGTTTTACGCTTTTAAAGACCTTTACCTGCATAGCACATTCATAAATACAGTAAAAGGCTTTAATAAACAAAATGTTTACAGCTTCTATGATCTTCTAGAAAAGATAATTGATGTAAATGGCCTAACAGCTGTTAATATATTTAATGTCGATGAAAGCAGATTTTCGACAGGTCAAAGAAACCATAAAAAGTAATAAGTTTTAGAATAGCACAAAATAAGTAAAATATAATTGCAGAGAAAAAGATTAGAAAAACAGAAAATACAAAGATCTCTTCTACGTCAATCTGCGACAGCTTTTGGGGATGTAGTTCCAGAGCTGGCAGACGACTACGACGATGATGATAAGGGAAATATTTGTTCTATTTATTAGGGTCATTACTTCAACAAAACTGGGCTTCAAATCCAGATATTTGTGACAATTGTTTAAATTAAATCAGGGTAAAATTGAGCAAAGACTTTGATACAAAATAATTAGTGATTGACCAAATTTTAAGTTAAAACTGTCTTTTTTTTCTTCGTTTTCATAAAAGAAATCATTTAATTTTATAAATAAGAAGGTATTTTAATTTTAAGGTAGTTTGATGATTGTTTAAACTTGTTTTGTTTTTGATATTTCTGTTTAATTTTTTTTTTTTAAGTTATAAATGTTACTTAGTAACATTCATTCATTTAGTAATTTATTTGTTGATACTACTTTTTTATAATAAATAAAATATTATCATGAATAATATTGTGTACTATTAATAATATTTTATACAATAATTAAACATTTAACATGGTTGAATGTCCCTTACCTATTAGTGGTACAATTTACCTCACCTATGGTACATTTAAACCGACTAGTCGGGTAAATTGTTCCAAACGGAAGCCTTTACAAAAACGCATATTTTGAGAAATCGGTTAAGAGTATGGGGTCGACTTTGTGATATATGATAAACAAGATTCTAAACAATTTGGCATTGGATAAATAGTTTGACTCAATTAATAGCGAAACGAGATATTTTGCTGATACTGAAAAATGGTACAATATATCCGACTCTCCCCTATTACTGTTTGTTTTTGATGGGTTCTTTTTTAAGTTTTTTTTTTTTTTTTTTATGTCTATGATACGTGAATCGAGGCACCAATTCATACAGCTTTATGTAGTTTCATTCTAATAATTTGGTTGGATGGTTTTTCGATATATCATTTGTCTACCGCAGAATATATAATAGTACTTATTTGCAGTGTATTTAAAAATATCGATGGCATTGACCAGTGGGAGGCACTGTCTAAAGATTCCAAGTCGGAGCGGACTACATTGTTGCATAATATTGATGATATTTGGAAAAATGGAGCAATTACTGTCGACCAGTGGAAGGTTGTTACAGGTAAATGAAAGTAAATGTACCTACAATTTACTTATATATATAATGTATATTTATGTTTCTTTTAAAACGAACTAACTATAAAAAAAACTTTCTGGAAGATGCAAAATGTATTGCATTAATTAAGTATTATTTACTTCTGCTTCTTATACGAGGTCTGTCCGGATTCGTATAAAAGTGTTTAAAGGACCCCTTCCTTATGTCCCTAACAATGCTTCAGTTCTGGTCTGACCGCCGTGCGGTGCGAACTGGCTTGTCAAAAGTTACCTCTTAACGAAACCCCGTCGGCATGGAGCCCGCTTCCGTTGAAGAGCAGCGCGTCGTAATCAAGTTTCTCTCGAAACTCGGCAAGAATGGCCGTGAAATTTTTGCCGATCTCAGAACAGTTTATGGGGATGATGCTGTGAAGGAACCAACCGTCCACAAGTGGCTAAAAAGATTCAGAGAGGGCCGAGACAATATTGATTGTTTTTTTCGATGTTCGGGGGATTGTCCATCAAGAATTCGTCCCTCCAGGCCAGACAGTTGATGGAAAATTCTACGTCGATGTGCTCAGACGCCTCAAAGCTCGTGTGGCACGAGTTCGTCCAGAATTGGCGCGAGAGGGGCGTTGGATTCTTCACCACGACAATGCCCCTGCCCACACCTCTCTTGTTGTCCGTGAGTTTTTGAGTAAAAATTCCATTACGGTGACCGAACACCCCCCCTATTCGCCGGATTTGGCCCCGTGTGACTTCTTCTTGTTCCCAAAAACCAAATTGGTACTTCGAGGGCGGCATTTGGGGGACATAAATGAGATAAAAAAAGCTACGACGGGGCAGCTGAGAAACCTACCACCAGTGGTCTTTCAAGTAGCCTTCTAACAGTGGAAACGGCGTTGGTACAAGTGCATTATGTCACAGGGGGAGTACTTTGAAGGGGATAAAATTGATTTACCTGAATAATTGTAAAATAAAATTTTTAAAAAACTTTTATACGTACTTTCCGGACAAACCTCGTACGCAAACCAGAAGGAGATTTCGTACAAAAGTCGTTTGAGTCGTTTGCTTGGATGCCTCTGTCCCATTTGTATTTTTACCGTGAAGCAGTTGTGTTTGCATGGCTGTGTTTCGGTTTGTAGGGTGGGATGTGGCAATGAATTTACAGGGCACGAAGGAATAACACCTGAGTCCTCAGGAATGGCAACGCATGGGGGGTTTCATGGACAAAACAGTATACTATGTTATGTGCATGGTACTGTTCCATCAGTTGGACTGTCAGCTTGTTTGTTACTCTGAGTAAGCATAAAAAAGAAGATATTGATTATTGCGTAATATAATTCAGGTACAAATTACGACGGTAAGTGGGACTCGTGGTACGGTCCAGACGGTAGGGAAGGCAATTATGACGTCGAGCTCGTATACAACGGGCTAGCCGGCCGAGCAATACAAGAATTAGGTCTTATGCCGGATAAAGAAAAAATTAAAGAATTGCGGTAAGTTTTATTGACATTTTCATTCATCATTCATATCAGACGTAAATTGTCCACTACTGGACAAAGGCCTCCTCTTAAGAAGATTTTCGCCAGTAGTTGCCACGCTTAGCAAGCGGGTTAGCAACCGTAGTTAGACCATAATAATAGATAGATAGATACTCTTTATTGTTTCCTCCAAAAGGTTACAATAGTAAACTTATTATAAATATAAACAATTACAAGAAATAATTACAATGAGAAAATAATAGGAAAATTTGATCAAATAAATTTGAATAATTAAATAAATCATAGTAAGCAAGGCTATATTTGGCCTGCGTCCTCACGCCCCTCTCTTTTTATATGTATCTGTGTCCTTCATGAGTCCGACAATTGTTCCGACTTGAACTGGGAACAAGTCTGTAACTAGACCTAAGTTTAAAGTAGGGCAAAAGAACTTTTTGGTAGTCGAAAAAGCGAATGCACCTCATTTTCTTGGAGCCTTTCATTTTAAGGTAGAGCATTGGGCCTTTTAAGGTAGGGCATTGCCCTTCAATGCTACCCACTACAACTACGGACATGTCCAGAAATCTTCTGGTGTCATAGGGCGCTTTGCGTCACAGTATTCCGTCTCATGCGAGACATATATATATATATATATATATATATATATATATATATATATATATATATATATATATATATATATAAAATTAAAAAATAAACAAGTTTTAAAAACAATGCCATAAGAGTAAACAATCTGAGTAGAAGTGACTCCTAATAGGCTTTCAAACTCCATATAAGACGAGATCTACTATTATGACATATTTGTACGTCAATCGATTGTTACAATCCTAGCATTGGTGCTGGATGTCTATCCCCTATGCTAATGTTATAGAGAAGCAGCGACTGTAAAATGTAAGGAGCCCGCCTCACCAATAGAATGCAAGCCCTTGGAAGCGCCATGTCTCTTCAATATAGAGGAAGATCCATGTGAGCAAAGAAATTTGGCTGATAAGTAAGATCCTTTATCTCATTATACGCTTGTTTGCCACTACTGTAGTATAAAAAAAAAACTTTTTTTATATTACTCTGTTAAAATTTCAAATTTATGTATTATTTTAGACCTGTACTAAAGTATCTTGGGTAAATGTTTCCAATACTTGACAAGTAAACGCGCTGTAGATCTGCCCCCAAAAAATAGCAAAAATATCATCGTCAAAAATAATATCTACCTACATACTACATTGAATGGATGGAAATGACTTAAATGGAAATGACAAAAATCGATATGAATAATCTGAATTGATGATAATGATAATGAATGATGCCTATTATTGTTTCTTTATCATATTTACAATATTTAATGTCGTAGGATACCAGTGTAATATGGAAAAATCAGTACTCGGTACCCACTCTTACCCGGCGACGTGATCCTAAAATAAGTACCTTCATAAATATTTCTATTGCGAAGTATTAATTATAGTATACATAGGACATTGTGTTTCAATCAGGAGTATTGTTTTATTGGATGATAATGAAATGGTAACCCCGCCTGCGCTAACGATAAACGCTGGCGGATCACCAGCGAGGGGAAATAGGTAAAGATGAAACGGGTCAGTTAGCCCATTGTGGTGAATTAACTACAATGGTTTCCAAGGGCAACCGCGTGGAAGACGACCTATTACGGTGTATTACTAGTAAGGGATTGTTAGATCTCATTACTAACAATCCTTATCTCCCCTTTTAATTAAGAGTGTATTATAAACTCGAAGGCAAAAAACAAAATTAAATCCTGTTGTAAATAGTGGACATCTGTAAAAAATTATATGAGAGGTCTTAATAAGAACAGTACTCTTAGAAGCCAAAACAAAAATTTTTAGAATTGTTGTTTGTTTGTTTCGACGTTACGCAAAAATTTTTACACCAAATTGGATGCTGTTTTCCTGCAGGTATGACTTTAAAAGTGATGTATGTTTTGTTTTGATACGCCATGTGTTATTATTATTTCAGCCGTTAACTGTCCACTGCTGGACATAAGCCTTCTTCATAAGGTGCGGCGTTTGGCAGGAGGGTTGGCAACCGCAGTTAGGTTTTAGAGATGTTTTAATAGGGACGTTGCTGTCCATCCCTCGCCCTCCCTTAGTCGGGTCTTACGATACCCACGGGAAAGAAAGGGGTGGCCTATTCTATGCTGAGGCTGTTCTTATTTCCAGACTACTACTAAAAATAGACGAAAATAACTTCCCTACCAACAATAACCTGGTTTCTTTCTTTCAACAGACATCCAGAAGTACTTCAAAGGCTACTCAAAGAGCTAAACCGGTTGAACGCCACAGCGGTACCACCGAATAACAAACCTTTAGACTTAAACGGAGATCCCAAGTTTTGGAGTAGAATATTTGTAAACTTTGGTGATTATGAACGATCTCGCACTATCGAATTGTAAAAATAGTACAAATACGACAGTCATAATAATAAATTTGTAAAAACTGCGTTCAGGTTCTTCTTTTACTCATAAACCATCTAGACGTCCCAGTCTACTATAACAGCTTTGGTCTACTAAAGTACTCTAAAATTCCGCCTGACTTGCTTTGTACCAACAGAAGGCAAAACAATTATTATTGTGAGTTTACTTTCTTTTGCATTAACGTAATATTCTGGTACAGTCAAGAGATTCGTCATCAACGTCGTCATCATACCAGCCGTTATCTGTCCACTGCTGAACATAGGCCTCCCCCATAAACTGCCATAAGGTACGTTTCAAGAGATTATAAAAAAAATAAACAGTTGAAACGCAAATTTGAAATAAAATCCTACACCAAATCGCCTAGCTAGTATAATAAAAGACTCGCTGGGTGCTTCTAAGAAATCCTTGGCTTACTCAGTTGTCTCCAATAGATGTTGATATGATTACATGCAATCTGCCATTCATCCTTCCAATATGTGTAATCTTTCCTTGAAAATAATAAGTTTAATATTGTAATAAAGAATATCTAGCTAGGCCAATTATATTTAGCAAACAGAACTTTTTGTTCTTCTCGCGAGCTCTTCGCACGAGTCCAAGCAAAGTTGTGATTTTGAAATGGAGAAGTTTATCCTCGACAGACCAAGAGAAGAGATGATGACAATGAGACAATAAGAGAACAATAATTTAATTAATTATAAGCTTTTATAATTGGCGAGCACTTAGATTGATAATTGTAAAAATGAAATAGGTATTGAATCTTTGATCGGACTGGAACACGTTGTAAAGTTAGAAGTAGATGTACTCGTGTGTAGGTATTTTAAAAGGAAATAATGCTACAATAATATTATTATTTTATTATTATTTACCTACTATAGTTAGTATAATAGGTCAGTAAAATACATTTACATTTTGAAATGGATAATAAACAGTAGTTATCAAATGTCCTTATAAGGAGAACAATACAAACAACAAATAACAAAGTGAATTATTTAGGGAAAACAAGCTCTCAGTTAACATTCATCCTCTATTCTTGGCTTTCTTTGTTCTAACACCCGATTTGAGCTTAGGTTTTTCTTCGTTTTCATTCAATTTTCTCTTATAAGTCTTTTTCCCAAGACTTTCGACATCTTTTATTGGGTTATGGGAGCCGCTCAGAGGTAGTTCTTTGTCTCTTTCGTAATTCGATATGAGAGCTTCTTTGTATTGCAGCAAGGTTGAATTTTCCACGGCTTTTGGCTGTGAATCAATAGGATTGTCTATAACCCTGCCGAGTTTAGAGGCATTCTGTAGACTCACCTTCTCTAAAGGGCCAAGAACCTCCCCAACTGGATCCGGTTGACTTTCCTGAGAACCGAAAGTTTCGGCTAGAAGTCGATCCACGATGTTACCTTGGCTGTCGAAGAATTTCTCCATTGTTAATTTCAGTTGATCCTGGTTTATTTGCCTCGGTGTAGAAATGCTGTAAATGCAGTAGTAGTTTTTATGAAAATCAAAAATTTCAGTTAAGACATAAAAATCGAAATACGACACTATTAATTTGGGATCAAGTTGAGAGTAAATATTATCAAATATCAAAAATCTCACTAAAATAACATAAATCCAAAAATATACTATGAACCTTTTCCTTATTAAACTCCGTCGAAATATGCCCAGAGCAATATAATTAAACTTAGCATAAATGAGATCCAAGATTCAATTCCCGGTCGGGATTTTTAGGAAACAAACTTTTCTGCATAGCTCTGGTATGAGTGTGCTAGTTATGTCTCCAGATATTCATTACTTAGATTCTCATTAAACAGAGCATCTTAGTTTGAGGATGATTGGTGTTATTGTGTAGCTCTTATACATACTCTAATTCGGGCTGATGTGCAAGGATTCCGTAGGAGGCGAATAGCTTCAGGAGTTTGGGACCGTATAGCGGTCTCAGGGCCAACTGAGACGTCAATGTAGACGCGCTCACAGAGACCAGGCCGCCTGCATCCGCCACCAACTCATTGCACCATGCCAGCGCTCGACGGAACATGCACATACTCTGAAGCAAGATAATATTTAAAAAAAAAATACACGACTTCTGTATCATAATTTATAGCCAGTGTCACAACGGGATAAGGATGCTAGCTGACAGTACCATATACATCGGTATCTGTCCAAGCACTTAGAACTTATTTTGGTAAAATAATGAAACTAATATTATCATACGCTACGGCAACCCCCTTTACCATCAGACGCGCCGTATGCTTATTTGGCAATATAGTAATATATAAAAAATATACATGAACCCTGAAAATATATTCCTTCTTGGGCAACTCTGCACTGAGAGATTACTACATTGGAACAGTATTTTTTTATGTCTGTATCTCTTGTTGTCCATTGTGGTATAAAAATAGTACGTGATCTGCAGGTCTACCGTGAAATGAAATTCCGAAATTTCGGAGTCAATTTCGTGATTTTGTTTATACCAAAATCTAACCAATAAATGGAGTTTAACATTTCGTTTATCATACATTCTATCATAAAAGTCCAAAGAAACAATATTTTTACATATTTAATATCTCCAAACGGCATAAATTATGTAATTCTAACATCAAATTTCTGTTTCGTTTGTCTCCGAAATTTCGGAAAACACTTCATGGTAGGTCCTCAGACATTTTAGATTATGTTTCGCAAAAAAAAAGGTTAGTTGATTAAAATTATTTTGTTCAATTAGACTATCATTGCTATGGGTATAGCGAACCATTATTCGATACTGAAGATTGACTACTATTAATGGAAGCTCTATGACCTTCGCTATTAGTCATTAATCTCGATCCATTATTCAATCTACATTCATGTTGACGCGGGTCGCAATTTCAATCGAGACAGTAGGAAATCAACAATTGCTTAACTATTATTAAGATTTAGTCCGAGATACCTGTTCAGGATAAATAAGTTGCCATTCCTGAGTCTTCAGAAATAGCAACGCATGGGGGGTATCATGGGCGAAACAGTATACTCTGTTATGTCCATGGTACTGCTCATGTCTATAGGCGACGGTTACCACTTTTCATCAGGTGGGCCGGCAGCTTGTTTGCCATTCTAAGTTGTATAAAAAAATAACAACTAGCTTTATTTATTTACATTATATTATATACAGAAGGTTTACAAAATAAATATACAGCAAATAATATAGGAAAACAGAAATTTGGAGTGCGGGAGGCGAACGATCGAGATAGAGAGAGGATGACAGCGAAAATAAATGTAACAGGAAAACGTCGCTGTCATATTTGTTTGGCCAATCCGAAAGAAAGAGACGTAATATTTATGTACAATTTAATTAAACTACTTGATGGAAAAGGAAATAACAAGTGGCTATGAGAATATTATTATTTCAGTCATTAACAGTCCACTGCTGGACATAAGCCTTCCTCATAATGGAAGTTTTACTAGTAGTGGCAACCGCAGTTAGGCTTTTTTTTATACAACTTAGAATGGCAAACAAGCTGCCGGCCCACCTGATGGAAAGTGGTAACCGTCGCCTGTAGACATGAGCAGTACCATGGACATAACAGAGTATACTGTTTCGCCCATAATACCCACATGCGTTGCCATTCCTGAGGACTCTGGCTTTTAGTAATATGTATTTTAAGAGGGACGGCGCTGCCCATCTCTCGCCCTCCCTTAGTCGCCTCTTACGACACCCATGAGAAGGAAGGGATGGCTTATTCTATGCCGGGACACACACGGCGATGACATGAATATGTACAATATTTATTTACAGACGCTACACACCCATGGTGTCTCTTATGAGATACCATTAAGGTATTATGTCACTGCAATCAATGATACCTACCTATGTGTCATTATCAGGTTTTTATTAAAAAAACTGTTAACTAAAACCGCAATTACTGTACCTTTTTAAAACTTATTATAGTTTAATATTAGTTAAGAAACTACAGTTAAGTTTTTTACGAATAAAATCTCATCTTATCTCTATTGATAAATTCCATTACCTCCCTCTTCACCCTGGAGAGATGGACGAGTTTAGGATCTGTGGGCGTGCGTGCGCGGTCGTCGTCTGCGCAGGCGCAGCAGCAGTGCCGACGGAATCGCGCCACCTCCCCGCCCAGTATACCGAAACACACCGCGTGCTGTTGCGTGTTGCAGTAACTGTGTTCATTTACACAGAAACAACGGAATAGTAATAAGTATACTTAGGAGAGATTTTGCCTCACTCTGCGTATTCTACCGCTTGTACAATGGATTGTGCTCAGAGAAATTGTTCAATATGATGCCCACGGCCACTTCCTACTATCTTACGGCTCCCCATCGACAGGGAGTTCACTCTCATATCCTACAGCCTAAATAGTCGCGTACAATGCGGTTTCAGAGATGTTTATATTTAAATGAGAATCAAGCTGTTGGCCCACTTGATAGAAGTACTAACCGGCGTCACGAAAGCATTATGAAGTTTTCAAAATACGCAATGATGGCTACGATACCCCTCATACATTGCCACACCCAGGGATCAAAGCGTTATGCTCACGTACCCGGTCATTTCCCTGCCATATCTCGCCTTTCAAACTAAAACAGCCATACAAGTACAGCTGCTTCACAGAGAAAACATAAGGAAACAGGAATTTGTGACTCTTAGATGGCTTTTGGAGTGATGACGTTGCGACCAAGGCGTTATGCTCACGTACCCGGTAATTTCCCTGCCATATCTCGCCTTTCAAACTATAACGGCCATACAAGTACAGCTGCTTCACAGAGAAAACATAAGGAAACAGGAATTTGTGTCTCGTAGATGATTTTTGGAATGATGACTTTATAAGAATGACATGGTAAAGTTTCTACAGGATCGTGAAAAACCCATGATCTTGCATAGTTAATATGGATACCGATCCAACATTTATATATTAGATTCCTCTGGACATTGATGGCGGAAAAAAGGTCATCATCCATTTCGATATCGCCCATATCGATCGGATATCTATTTTGGAATATGTTAAAAGTCTGTTATGCATCGTTATTTTTTGGATAACAGACTTTTAACATATACGTTATTGGACTAGTGTATATGTATTGTAACTAAAATATATACATAGATATTGCTATACACGAGTATTTTTTTAATGGGTGATAATGAAATGGTAACCCCACCTGCGCTAACGGTATACACCGTCAGTTAGCCCATCGTGACGAATTCAACAAAAATTGTTCACGACGGTTTCCAGGGGGAACCACGTGGAGGTCGACCTAATAGGGCTTATTGCTGTCAAACTTCATTGCTAACAATCCCTTTCCTCCTTATATACTCGTGTACCGAGTATTTTTTTATTGGATGAAAATGGAGTGGTAACCCCGCCTGCGCTAATGGAATACGCTAACGGGGCATCAGTGAAGGGTGATCGATGAGAATAAAAACAGGCCACTTAGCCCATCATGATTAATTCATCAGGAATTAATCATGATAGTTTCCAGGGGAAACCGCGAGGAGGTCGACCTGGTTGGGTATATTGCTAGCAATGGGATTCTTAGTCTCCATTACTAACAATCCCTTTTCCCCCTACGAGTATTACCCATCCCTACCTTTCACCATTCGTACATGCATGTTTCATTCCTATATAAAAAGCTTCACTTACACACAGGTGAGTAGCGGTGTGTCGTGTACATCGAGCCCGTCGTAATTGTTACACGAACACCGCAGTAAAGTCTCGCTGGTGTCCGACAGCAATACAGTCGTCTCACTCTGCATTACATCTATAATAAATTTGTTTTTTAATTATTTATTTTGTTAAAGACAAGAATTGTACATATTTCAAAGCACTTTCCTCCACGCACAAACACTTTTTGGAATCAACTTCCAGCAGCAGTGTTTCCGAACCGATACAACAACATAACCTTCAAGAAAAGAGCATATTTGTTTTTAAAAGGCCGGCAGCACACCTGCATTGCCGTTGGTGTTGTGGGTGACCATGGGCGGCGGTAGTACCATCAGGTGAGCTGCATGCTCATTTACCCCCTGTTGTAAAAAAATGAAACCAAATTAATACGAGTGGCTGCAGCAGAGACACACTTTGTCGTATTAAATTCTAACATGCTCGACGACGATAAAGCGAACATATCACTCCAAAATTACTCAAAGCTTCACAAAGACGTGTCTGAGAGTAACTTACCAGACAGAGGGAGACTTTGTACAAAAGTCGTTTGCTTGGACACCTCTGTCCCATTCGTGTTTCTACCGTGAAGCAGTTGTGTTTGCATGGCTGGGTTTCGGTTTGAAGGGTGGGATATGGCAGGATATAACTCGCTTGAGCAATATTCAGCAATAACGTAGCTAAGTGACCACAAACCCGGAACTCATATGCAAGATACTACAACCTACTTGAACAACAATTAGTCCATTACCCTAAGGTTGTCTTGAAAAGATTGCTCTCAGCAATAAGATCGCCTTACTGTACTCATACAACTGTATCGTTACATTTGTTAATTGTCTTGCTTATTCACTGTATTGTATAATGCAAATAAAATATACTCATTCATTCATTCATTCGAACAGACGAAACTTCTAAAAAATAGCGTTTTAGCATATATTGGTCTTATTAAGAGACCTCATATTGATTTTCACAAATGTCTCCCATGCTTAGACATCATTTATATACAGTTTCATTACATTAGTAAGATTTCATTTAGAGAGTAATTTCTGTAACATGGTTACTTATTCATTGAAGCAGACTATAATTGCACTGGTGTTTATTACTGGCTTCTAATCTTCTTCTCGGGAAGCACGGTATGTTAATATAATAGACTCCTATTGCCGTCATTATTTAGTCATTTGGCGACCTTACAATGACCATAGAATGACGCATATTGAGTCACATACGTCACCCTGTTGCATATTTTTTTTATCTTTCACAAATGGAATAGGCGATAGTATTAATTTGGATAGAACTTTAAAAATTGTTCAATACCTATTGTATAAAGCAAATAAAGTACACTCATTCATTCATTCAAAGTAAAAACAAGCAACTTATTGTTGGAGAAACATACGCTTACCATTAATATCGTACGGAGTCTGGGTCATCACCGGCGGGTTAGGTGAAGGCTGGAAAAGGTTCATAGGTATGTTTATTTCTGATTTGTATATTTTTATGTTTAGAGTACTAAGAATAATACTTGACATTTTTTATTCCTCCACATTAAATAAAAATCTATACATATAATAAAACTGTACAGATAGAATGTCTGTACATGGAAAAAAACGCTATAGACCGAGTCATGGGAATATTAGAAGTGAAATAGAAGATATCCAGTTTTTTAATTTTTTTTTTTATTTTCTGTATGTTTGTACGGGCTATAATCTCCGAAACTGTTTACTGGACCGATTTAAATGAAGTTTTGTATGATGGTACCTTATATCGCCAGACAAAATTTTAGATATTTTTAATAACGGAAAATTAAATAATTCCCATAGGATAGTTAAGAACTATAGTAACTTATACAACTTAGTACACAACCTATTTAAGTAAAGTCTTTTTGATTTAAGACAAAGAGTGAGAACGACACGTCATTTGTTAATTTTGGTCCAGTATTCTCAGACATAATAAATAGGTAAGTACATACATCGATATATACTAAACAGAAATAACAAATACCACGCGAACAAAGTCGCGGGCATCAGCTAGTACGCAATAAAATATAATTAAATAAAATTATTTTAATTACAGTCGGTCAATTGATAATTTTTACTATTTTTTTTTTATGAAGCTACAAAGTAAGAAATCTGCTCACAATAGCTTCATGGCTGGCGCGGATGTTGTCTCTGAAGAATGAACTGGCTGTGAGGCTGTGAAACGGCGTCTCCACACAACCTAGCTGGATAATCTCCCCGAGGCTCGCAGAGGATTGCAAGTGGTCTTCCCCTTCGGCGACGTAGCCTGGCGCTTGGTAGCCTTCTGGGGCATCTAATTGGCAAGAATTGTGATATGACTGCGAGAATCATACCATACGGCGCAGGGGGAAGGGATTGTTAGTAATGCTGACTACCAGTTCCATTGCTAGCAATATACCATGTCAGGTCGACCTCCACGTGGTCCCCCCTGAATACCATCGCGCTGAATTCCAGGTGTATTCATCAGAATGGGCTTTCTTTTTTTTATACAACTTAAAATGGCAAACAAGCTGACGGCCCACCTGATGGAAAGTGGTAACCATCGCCTATAGACATGAGCAGCACCATGGACCTAACAGAGTATACTGTTTCGCCCATGACACCCCCCATGCATTGCTATTCCTGAGGACTCAGATGTTATTCCTCTGTACCCTGTAAATTCACGCCATATCCCACCCTTCAAACCGAAACACAGCCATGCAAATACAACTGCTTCACAGTAGAAACACGAATGAGATGGGCTAACTGATCTGCCTTTTGTTTCTCACCTGTCATCCCCTACTGGTACCCCGCCAGTACCACTGGTTGCCATTCCATTATCATCCATTAAAAAAGCCATACGACGTATGACCATTTCGGTTTACAATAGTAGGATGTCCAACATATTTTCAGTGAGCAAAGGACAAATAATACTTAAATACAAATACAAATGACTTTATTGTGGATCATAGGTCAAATTAAGGTATTACATCAATTAAATAGTATCTCTATGTCCTGCTATATATAGCGTACAATATATGGAACAGTTAACAGTATATAAAACATAACGTTTAAAGTTATACAGTGAAACAAAATATATTTATATGAGACATTATTTTTTACAAATGATGACTATTTATCTTTATCATTGATATAATCGTTTAGGCTATAATAACATTTATTTATTAACATATCATGAAGGTTCTTTTTAAACTTTTTATCATATAATATAAATAGAAGTAAGTTCCTGTTTAAATACAAGTATAGTGTCGGTAGTGGTGGACACCACGCCGAGACTTCGGTCACGTGAGAAGGCAAAAAAATCCTATATGTTAATCTAGGACGTGATTCATCTGTAGGTATAGCAAATATCGTTCGAATCATTACAAAAAAACTTATAGTCGAACTAGAGATCCGGCCCGACTTGGCACAGATAGAATTTTTGAAATTATTATGTAGCCTATATTACTTACTGATAATATGGCTTTCTATATATATATGAAAGAATTTTTAAAATCTGCTAGGTGATGCTTGAGTTTTTTTTTTTTTTTTATGGGTGAAAATGGTATGGTAACCCCGCCTTCGCTAGCGGGATACGTTGGCGGAGCACCAGTGCAGGGTGATAGATGAGAATGAAAACAGGCCAGTTAGCCCATCATGATGAATTCATCAGGAATTAACCATGATAGTTTCCAGGGGGAACCGCGAGGAGGTCGACCTGGTTGGGTATATTGCTAGCAATGGAATTCTCAGTCTCCATTACTAACAATCCCTTTCCCCCCAGTAGTGCTTGAGTTTATCCATTACAAATGAATTAATAAATTATTATATTATGATATTATATTAGGTATAGATTACAGAGAAATCTATTAATAGACGAAAGTTCAGTTTTTATACAACATGTCTTTTTTTATATAACTTATTTGTTTCGCTATTATTTTTTTCTTCTGTTCTTGGCGTACACTTGTGTTTATTTGCTGATACAAATTTGTATTGCGATTGGATACAGCAAAAGTTTGTTGTAAAATTAAAAAAACAAGGTTTAAATAAATAATAAGAAATTTTATATAAAAATATATTAAAATTTACAATTACGTACCATCATTATAATAAAGTCGCAGGCTGACATCATAATCACTGGTGAGATCCTGCTGACTCGTCTGCATTAACACCACGCACGCCCTTATCAAGTGGACAGTCCTCTCTCGTATGTTGTCCAAAGTGTACTTTGTGGTACGTTTCGCGCTGTCCCGACATTTTGAGTGTACATTCATGCTCACCCCATCATTGTGATACAAGTACTCGAATATGTGGTATTCTATTAAATTATCGCTTTTACATTCCCCTTCGTAGAAGCAAAGTGCTAATTGATGCAACTGTAATTAGACATATAGAACACAAATGCATATATCTATAACTAGAGATTGTGTCCCACAAATAAAAAAAAAAACAACTTTAATTGTAGCAAAATCAAGCATTTCAATTTTAAAACTAAACCACTTAAAATATAAAAAATCTAAATTATAGTCTATGAAACCAATCTGTAACTATATCCTTTCAGATAAATAAAGAATTTTCCAAATCGGTTTAGAAATAACAAAGCTATGAGGTAACAAACATAAAAGAAACTAAGTACTGAATTAAGAAAAGTCGATTGCTTGGGTACCTCTGTTCCATTTATGTTTCTACCGTGAAGCAGCTGTGTTTGCATTGCTGTGTTTCGGTTTGAAGGGTGGGATATGGCGTGAATTTACTGGGTACAGAGAAATAACATCTGAGTTCTAAGTCATAAGGAATGGCAACGCATGGGGGGTATAATGGGCGAAACAGTATACTCTGTTATGTCTGTGGTACTGCTCATGTCTATAGGCGACGGTTACCACTTTCCATTAGGTGGGCCGTCAGCTTGCTTGCCATTCTGCGTTGTATAAAAAAAATATATATATTCTTCTATTCAACATAACATCAAATTAATGTTGGCTTCCGAGAACTAATGGAAGGTAAATTCTCATTTCTGCGCTGAACATGTGAAATCTAGAATACGAACCCTTCGTAACCATTCACAGGGAAAGGTTTTTCATTTAAATAGGTACTAATTTAATAAATTTAAGATTTTCTTTAAAAAAAAACGAGTTTAATTAATATTGCTGAACCAATTTTAACAATATTTCTATGAGACCAGTCTGAAAATATGCCTTTTCAGATAAATAAAAATAATCTGGAAAAATTTACAAATGACAGAGTTAGAAGGTAATAAATATACAAAAAAATTACAACCGAATTAAGAAACTTCTATTTTTTGAAGTCGGTAGAAAAAAAATAAAGCAATGATAGACATAAATGATGTTATAAAATATTTGGAAACATACATATTTCTTATCAAATGCCTCAAAGCCTTGTGTGAGTGCCGTAGTCAAGAAATGAGCGAGCTCATTTCTACATTTTTTCTTCAATATTCTTAATTTGAGACCTCCGAAATGTTCCAACGTATAGCTGTCTTCAGGAAATGCATTTTTCAAATAAGTTATTGTACTGATAGCCACCACGGTCAGCTGTTTCATAAATGTGACGGAACTAGTATAATTTTCAGTTACTTGCTTTGGAAATACCTTGGTCCACTCTAATAGAGCCTGAAAAGAATTAAATCCGTAATAGATATTACGGATTTCCATAACTCGTATATATAGATAGATAGATACTCTTTATTGTTTCCTCCAAAAGATTACAATAGTAAACTTATTATAAATATAAATAATTACAAGAAATAATCACAATGAGAAAACAATGGGCAATATATATATTTTAATTTTAAGTACATTTGTACTTATTACACAAATGGTATGTTGACATGAAATAGATATCGTATTGTTTTGATATAAGTGGTATGTTATAGGTCAGTGGGATCGATTCTGAACGCCTTCTTTATATATAGGTACCCACTACGAAAACTAAAATTCAGTTAGGTATTACAGTGAAATTATACTTTAAACTGGTTATACCACATAATACTTTTACTAAAATTATCAATTTTAATTTTAGTGAAATGAATTTATTAAAAGACACTACAGAAACGAGCTCAGAGATTATAGGCCTTTGCATTGTTTATTAAAATAAAACCTACTTGTGATACCGAAGTCATTGCCGCGGTCATCTTACCATAAAATATTAGTATCACTTTAGATACCTACTAATTTAAAAAAAATACTTTTAAATTAATTAAAGTAAAATAATAAATAAATTTAAATATTGCTGCAAACTATGTGACTACCTAGTTTTTATTTTCCCGCGCTTTTGCAGTAGTGTTGCCTTTGTAAAAAATATTAATAATTAATCTTACTAGTTCCATGTATTTTTTTTCCTCGACTTTTTTTTTACTTCATTTACATTTTGGCATTTACCTTATAATTATGAAAGTAACGTTTTGAAAGTTTTAAGAGGGCCATAATTTCAGTAATATTATATAAGTATTATTACTTTAAAAATAATTTACATTAAATTCTTACATAGCGAGATAATTTCATTTATGATGAGTAAATCTCACAAAATATGTGATACGGGTCTACAACTAGATTAATAAAACCTAAATGTATTTGTCCATTATAAAATAAAAATAAATAGCCATAGCTCTAAATTCAAACTTGACATCTGGAACAAATGCTGGCTATGGTTGTAATAAATAATACATTGGATAACTTTAAAACATTTTGAACTCTTTATGTAAAAACTTTATGAATAGTACTTACTAGAATATTAAAATGTTGTGCCCGGATGGCGAGTTACCAGTTAAAGAAAATGTCACTAAAGATGAAGAGATATGTCGCAAGAAAAATCGAAAACATCACGTGGAAGGTGCTGGTAGCTTGGAATTAAATTCGTATAAAAATCCAAAAACATGGAAAAAATCCATTTCTAACTTCTTTCGTAATCAACTTCGTTCAACTAAATCAAACGATGTAAGAATAATAATTTTGTTATATACCTTATTTATATTTTATTATATAGGTGTGGGTGAAATGGGATGGTTTAACAGCCCTATTATTAGTAATATACCATATAAGGTATATTACTAATAATAGGTCTCCACGCGGTTACCCCTAATTAGTTCTTGTGAAATTCGTCACGATGTTCTAATAGATCTGCTTTCACCTCACCCATTCTCTCACTGTGCCTAGCCAGCGTTTATCAATAGTACTTACGTATGTGTCTTCCACATTCGGAGGGGGGAAAAGATTATTAACAATGGAGATGCCCTATCAAGCTGACAAGACAAGACATTCACACTGTTCTATTTAAAAACCATCGTTGTTAATTTCTGTAAAATTTATCACAATGGATCAGTATAACTTTCCTTTCATCCTGATCTAACGCCTTTCTCTGTCTGTTACCATTTCATAAAGAAAACAGCATTGCATGTGTCTCAACAAAATTAACTTTCGGTTGTTCTAGAAAAATATATTTTAAAAAAGTATTAATTTTAGGGAGATGTTCCTTCTGGCAGCAAAGAAAATTTCGAAGATAAAGATGTCACTCCGGAGCAAAAATGGCAGTCCTTGGGAAAAATTTTTCGACGGCAAAGTTTTGCTGAACATTGGAATAAATCAGGAAATGCACAGGGCGAAAGTTCAAGTGGCCAAAACAAAAGGATTGTAGTCAGAAAAGTTTTGTCAAATTACTTTGGAAAATCTCAAAAATCTTTATCTCCTGAAGAAAATAAATAATATTTAACATGTATATGTTCTTAATTTATTATTATTATATTAAATAAATAAAAGGATTTGTTATTATATTATTATTATATTAAAAATAAAAGCAAGTATTATTAACAGCCTTTTTTTATACTTAGTTATGAAGTATTACTATGTAATACGTTACACTATACTATCATAATAATATATTGTGTGTGGTTGAGATCGGTTTAGCATAGTGCGCTTCTTTATTATGTCTGTCTATTCAGAAATTTTAATATTCTGTACGTACAAAGCTGTCAAACTGACAGCACGAATAGTTTGACAGAAATGACAGTCGACGGCAGGCAAATGGAAATAAGTTTGTGACATTACCGCAGGCACTTAGGGACCGTGTTAATTTTTCACCTTTTTGTGCAAAAATAATTTAGTTTTTCAAATTATTTTGATTAATCACTACATTACATTATTAAATCTTGTGTTGGACCCTTACCTCTAACTAAAAGTATATGTGTATCTGAATAGTAAAGAATACGCCCTTGAAAACCGTGTTTCAAAAAAAATCTTAAGTCAGCATAGCAACAGCACTTCGATCCATATAATTCCTATTTTAGAGAGTAAGAAGTACAGTCCGCAGTACGGGTGCCTTTATGAGGTAAGTTTTGAGTGTCATTAGTAAAGTAATCAACATTATTTTACTTTATTTTATCCCAGAGTTATGCTTGATAGGCCCTTTGTGCGTTTCACGCGAGTGCATAGATATACCTATCCATACATATTGTTGTAGTAACTATTGTATACAATTATTTTAAATACAAACTTTTGTGTTGAGTTTTTGTATTTAAGTATCATTGTTTATACATATTTTTAATTATAGTGTAATTGTTGTAAATTTTTCACATAATACTTGTTAAAATTGTTTTTTAAAGTAAGTTTAATCATATTTTATACTCAAGTAAATTTAAGATAAAGTGAAAGTCTGACTAAGTGTATTTTTAATAGATAGGTAATATTCAATAAATATGACATTAATATACCATAACTTAATTGTCATCACATAAAGTCCCAAACAAATTATTTATACAATTTACTTTTCTATGTAATTCAGAATGGCAAATAAACTAATAGCCCATGTCATTGAAAGTGATAACTGTCACCTATATACCTAGAATCACACACATCACAATATCACGTAATGAAGCCTTCATCCTTGGCCTTTTTTTAAGGTTTTGTGTTATGCCTCACTTTCCAGTTATTTTACTACCATACCCTTCAAATAGAAAGAGCTATGCAAGCACAGCATCCCCTTAAGATAAACAACATGATGCCATACTCGTTTAAATGGGAATACTATATTTTCATGTTTAACCATTAATAGATTTGCTGTTGTTCCAAAATTATCATTGCCATAATTTCAGCCATTCATTTTCCATAGCTGGATATAGGCCTTCCCTCTTCTGGAAAATCTTCTTTTCATTTAAGAGTTTCCTCTTGTCGGTGCAACCAATTCATGCATCTTCCTCCAGCCAGCTCTATTCCTGCAAAATCATAATAATAAAATTGGTCCATTCTCAATTATCCAAACACTTGACAACATATTTCCTATATTTCCCATACTCATCTTCATATTCCTATATGTTTTTTTGTTTTTTATACTGTGTGTGTGTGTTTTTTTTTTCTACTTCTCTTGTTTGGTAAATATCCTGGTATAACTTTTTGCCAAAATAACAATTAATTATTATTTTTTATATCAAGATGGGTTATTTATTCTTATTAATTTATTACTTATGTATGTATATTGTAAGTGGTCCAATATTCAAAATGACAAAATGAGCCAGCTATGTTTTTAATACCCAGCTGGTATATATTATTTTTGTCCTTAGCTACAAAATTATTATATCATACTTCATCACTATGAAATTCTAATTGCTTATTGTAAATTCCAATTCAATTCACTACTAATTGATGCATATTTATGTGATGATAATTTTGATTAATTCAGAAATCGAAATACTCTTTATATTTTTCACACAATTGTTATAATAAATACCTAGCTTCACCATTTAAGGAATTTTTGAAGGTTTATTTACATTTGTTTGCAATCAATTGAAGAATGACTTTATTCTTTACTGTTTTTAGCACAACATTTGTTATCTTGAAAGCATTTTTTTACATACTTTCACCTTTTTGTGTTGTATGTCAAAATCACCATTTTTTACTGTTCAGTATAGGCATTCATGACAGTCTTTTGAGGGAGGCCTAAATCCAGCAGTGGACTGATGATGGCTAAAATCCCCTTCAGCCCAGTCTTAAATTAAGTTCAAAGCAGGATTTAAACCATTATAAGTTTCATTATAATTTTGTCTTCAAGATAGAAATATATAAAAAAAAACTACAATATTTTCTGTTAAACTGCATCTAGCATCAATGGCCAGAAAATGTGTAGTGAAAATATTTATTTTTTCTGTTACATTCTAAAGATCATTAGTTAGATGTAGTGGATATTGTTGAGTTTAACAGTAGCAGGAGCCCAGAACCACCAACAGAGCCCACAACTTTATTATTATGTTTTCATATATACAAATTAATAATTTATTAATAATATTATAATTATGAATGGAAGCCACCATAGTTTGCAGAGAAGAGAGAGAGCGGGTGGCACAGATAAGAAAGGACAGTGTTGAATACAGATTAAATATTGTATAGGATATATGATAGATTATTTATTCTAACAGATATTTTTTTTATCTTGTGTCTGAGGTTACACTAGGAAACATTGCACTTCCCACTAGCACTGTTACCAATGACTATTGGCTCGCTTGGTATAACGCGACAGTGTGACGCGCCCTAATAAAAAAGTATATCAGTATCTTTGCATTGACATGTAGATAACGCGATCCTTTTGTCTTGTCGACTCACAATCCTCTATACAGAGTGCGCAATCCTTGGCTTCGTTTAAAGGACAAGTCAAATCACATTTTCTTTCACTGTAGTTACTCTTTTCCACTCCTTTGTAATTTTTGGACTAGATTTGTCATATTTCCTTGTGTGTGCTATGTATGTATTTATATGTGTATGTTTATGTATTTTGTATGTATTTTGTATGTATGTTATATGTGTATATGTATGTATATATATATATATATATATGTATGTGTATGTGTATGTATGTATGTATATATATTGTTATAGTAAGTAGTTTAATAAATTATATGTATTTGATATTTTTGTGCATTACATGTTTTTGTATTTTATGCACGAAAATTGTTGATTCACTCTTGCGCCACCTGCCCTTTTCTATCTGTTCTCCCTTAACTAAAGGTTGTCTGTAAGAGATTGCCCTAGCGATAAGACCGCCTTTTGTACCTTTATGTGTATATTTCAATCTGTATTTATGTTACTGTATTTCATTTGAATTATTCACTTGTCATTGTATATTTTTATTTATGGTGCAATAAAGAGTTAAATAAATAAATAAATATCCTGGTTATGCAATGCAAGCATTACTTGCTCTCCCAGCAAATACATGGAAAGTAGTGACTACAGAACAGTACTTCTCAAACTGTCTACCGGACAATAAGTATGCTTAATAAATTGTGTAGGTTTTGTAATAAATATGAATAATATGCATGTAACACACAAGCTACGTTTTGTCTGTAAATTTTCTGTTTGTGCCTCTTTAAATCCGACAACGAACAATCTTGGCCATAAATTTTAGTCCGGCCATAATAAAACCTCTAAAATTGTATTCTACAAATCATTCGTAATTTTGCTCACACTATGAGAATTTTTTCCCGCAGACAAAAGTCCATCGTATGTGCAGGCCTTTATAATTTCTCTGTGTGTTTGTGTGTGTGTGTTAAATATCTATACTACAAAATACAGATAATCGTAAGAATTGAGAGTTAATTTGCTGAATCTCTGAATTCTCAAAATTATTATGAAGTAGGGAACAGTATAAAAAAGTCGGTCAAGTGCGAGTCGGACTCGCGCAACGAGGTTTCCGTACAAAATCATCAATTTTTTTGTGTGAAATAACTGCACAAATTTACTTTTTTTCCTTTTCTTTATTCCTTTACTTTTGCTATATGACATTGCTTCTTCCTAAATTTTATGATTCTAGGTCAACGTGAAGTACCCTATAGATTTTGATTTTCCTTCCGAATATCATAATATACGATATAAATAGAACAAACAAATCCTATAAAGGTTCCGTTTTCCATTCGAGGTACGAAACCTCTAAAATGAATCATATTTATCATTTTAACCTGTCTATTGTTTACTATTGGATTAACCTTTCGTATTTCACCATAAAGACTTTTTTTTTGTTAAATAAAAAAAAATTAAATAACATCCATAAAATCACTGCTCTGCAAACTTGACGTCACTAATGGATTTTGACAACAAATAAATACAGAAAATTTAATAGAATTTTATTGTCAACTTACCTATTCAGTGACACGTTTAGTAATTAAAATCTACGTACTTTTGTTACATAGTAGTTCCACATCATTGAATGACTAAATGATATATGATACAATGCAAGGCTTCGAATGACTACCGTGTGCAGTCGATGGAATAGGATGAATCTCTAACAAATGTACTTTGCAATGCAAAAACAAAAACTATTTCTTAATAAACGAGTAATTAAACATATACTTTAGTGGCATAATAAAAGCCCTTAGACAAAATAAAAAAAAAATATTTAGACTTATTGGATTGAAAATATTTGAATTTAGAACACTGAATCGTATGTCTGCAGTATGTTGCTCCGCGAAGCAAAAAAATTGTTTTATACTCCGCAAAAACTGACTTGAATAATGATAAAATGTGAATCTAACATTGGAGAACGCTATTAATTAAAAAAAAAAAAAGAATTCCAGCCAAATTCAAGTCAGATTCGCACACCAAAGGTTCCTTATTACAAATTTATAAAATATTTTGTATTTTTTTTATGTAACTACAAAATTACGGGTTTTAAACTTTTCCCTTTATTTGTAATTTACTACTTCTGACCAAAATGTATGATTCTTGGTATCTTCGCACCGCGTTATTAAAGCGTTATTCCACGCTAGCCAGGCAGTTTACAATAGGGTTTTATTTTGCTTTAATCTGGTTTAATTTTCCTCTTGCACTGATGTATCTTTGTGCATTCCCTTAGTTACCTCATCGATGTTGTAACCGACATTCTGAGGATGAGAACTGGTGACACGTTTTATTCTGTTATCACATGGTATTTATATTTATATTGTTAAATATTAAATATTATTTCTTTTATTCTTTTTACCTATAATGTTTTACTTTCCTCACTCATTTCGCACTTCGCCCCCTTTCGATCTACTTGGCCAGTCGAGTATTTTAATCTTTAGGTACCTTGTGAAAATAAAACAAAAATTCCTATGAATCTTCATTAACACAATAACAAATTCAACGAAATTACCATAATGTTAATTAGAAACATAAGATGATAATATTATTAAACCTACATACATAAAGCCACAAACTTTTCCTGGTGCTATGAATAGAATATCTTTATTGTTTGAAACAATAGCCACTTAGAACTCATATGTTGTACAGCGTAATAAATGTCAAAATAAGATAATAAACAAATTGTCTAAAACCTTATGTACTATTATGTGGGAGGTCGTGGGCAGAAATTCGTAAGATATTTAATTTTTAAACTATTTTTTTTACTCCTAACACTTTCAGTAAAATCAAGTTCAAATCATTCATGAACCAATTTACACTTGTGTCTTACATCTCTTTTATTCATCACACTTATTATTATTACTGAAAGATGAACTTTATCCAGGAAGAAAAACCTGTGACACTGTGACCTTTCTATGATCTTTAGTGCTCGCCCTTTTTTTAAAGTTCGCTGCTAATTTCTGTCAGTGATAGGAGTTTTAAGATGTTTTTTGTAGCAATGATTTTTATTTCCCTAGGATATAAAGTATATTTTTTCAAAGGAGATATATCGTTTATGTATGAGTGAACTACAGCCACAAATTGAATGCTGCGACGTTTCTTCCTCATTGTGACAAAATCTGCAAAAATTTTTTGGGTATAAGCCTAGTTGAGCCATGTGCTTGTTTAGTTTGCAGTATCCAGGGAGAGCGCTTGTATTCACACATACAAATATTTCATCACACGTATTCTCATTTCTATTCCTTTTACTCGTCTAGAGTCTTATTCCCATATATATTTTCATTGTGTTGTACAATCTAATAACTTATTTTTTTTTCCATTATTTTCAGATGAGTGGAGAGGATGTATGGAGTGTTGAGAACCAAGACGGAAGAACATTAATCTGATAGATACTTAAGGTATTGTAACAACTTGGTGCTTTTTGTTAGTGTAAGATGATCACCCGAAGATGGTTTCACCCCTCGCTGAACGGTATGGACGCGGAGAAGCTGTTGATGGAGTGCGGTCGCGATGGATACTTTTTAGCGAGGCCTAGCATGAGTAACAAGGGTGACTTCACTCTATCCGTGCGAAGAGGAAACGAGGTAACTCACATTAAAATTCAAAATAATGGCGAGTTCCTCGACCTTTACGGCGGCGAGAAGTTTGCAACTCTATCTGAACTGGTGCAGTATTATATGGACAATCAAGGACAACTCCGCGAGAAAAACGGAAATATTATAAGGCTAAAAACTCCACTGAACTGCGCCGACCCCACCACCGAGCGCTGGTACCACGGACAACTGACCGCCAAAGAAGCGGAGAGAATAATGTTAGAGAATGGAAAGAACGGCTCATTTCTGGTCAGAGAGTCGCAGCGACAACCCGGCGACTTCGTTTTGTCTGTACGCACAAGAGATCGTGTTACACATGTGATAATACGCCGACATGATAATAAGTACGATGTAGGTGGAGGTCAGCAGTTTGATAATTTAGTAAGCCTCATAGAGCATTATCGGAACTATCCCATGGTGGAAACTACCGGGGAAGTGTTGCGACTTATCCAGCCTTTCAACGCTACACGAATTCAAGTTCGCCATTTCCATACACGCGTGAAACAACTTCAAAAAGAAAACGAGGGTCCAATTGAGAGCATGGCATACAAACAAGGTTTCTGGGAAGAGTTTGAAACATTACAAATGATGGAGAACTTACAACTGTTTGACAGAATGGAAGGTTCAAAACCTGAGAATATTAGAAAAAACAGATATAAGAACATCATACCGTTTGACCATACTCGGGTTGTACTAAAAGATATACCGAGTGACGGACCACCGGGTTCTGACTATATCAACGCAAACTACATTCGATGTGACATACCCGATTCGAGTTCCGATTGCCAGGATTCCAATAACGGTAGCAACGAAAACGGCTCACCGCCTGGACGAGATAGCACGCCATGTAGAAGTAAAGATAAAACATTATCTCAAATCTATTCGAGCGTAGTAGTAACGGAGGAGAAAATGAAGGATGGCTCTAAAACTCACGGGAACGGGATCCAAAAACATATTCCGCCTTTTGAACCGATCCTGCAAACAAATCCGAATTATGTTAATACTACGATTCCAAAGTCGCCAGTCGAAGCTGAAAGTCTCATTGCTGAAAACGTTTACAATAAAATTTATATAGCAACACAAGGCTGCCTATCGACTACTATTTACCAATTCTGGTCCATGATATGGCAGGAGGATGTTCGAATCATTATAATGACAACAAAAGAGATCGAGCGCGGTAAAGTGAAGTGCGAGCGCTACTGGCCAGACTTGAACAAAACGGAGGTCATAAAAAAGTATACCATATTCAACGAGTCTGAGTCCTCGACCCAGGACTACACCTTGCGGCGTTTCGTGGTAACAAAGAAAGATGAGCCTAACACCAAGCGAACAATTTATCATTTCCATTTCACGGCCTGGCCTGATCACGGAGTGCCATCGGAACCGGATCGCGTTCTGAACATTTTGCTAGACGTGAACTGCAGGCTTAAGCAGATAATGACTGGGCCCGATCCTCCGGCACAGGCGGTCGTGTGCGTGCACTGTTCAGCGGGTATCGGAAGAACGGGAACCTTTATCGTCATCGACATGATTTTGGACCAAATTAGGAAAGAAGGGTTCGACTGTGAGATAGACATACACCGCACTGTGCAAATGGTAAGGGATCAACGTTCCGGTATGGTTCAAAACGAGGCGCAGTACAAATTTATATACATGGCGGTACTAGAATATATACAGACGGTGAAACAGAGGATTGGCCTGGGGCCAGAGCCGGCCCAGGATTCGACGCGGATCCGGGGCTCCCATATCGTGCCGTTTTTATGAATCGTGCTAAGAGCGAAAAGATATTTATATCAGAAGCTTTATTTAACGGGAATATGTAGGGTACGTTGATAGGGTTTTAAAAAATACCTGAATAGTGTAATATTAAAAATAACAAACAGATTTTGAAATTGCTATTATAAATCATTTAAAACGTAAATTATTTCTATGAATTGTTTATCAAACAAAAACCAAAATAAGTAATGAAATATTGTTTGCATAGAACAATACGCTCCTATATAGAATGAGTTATTTATTTTGCAAACGAAATTTATTGCCAGTCAATTTGTTAAATTTCAATAATCTCTGTTACTATTAATAATTAAATCATCAATTTATATATTTAATGAAATGAAATATATTTTCTATTTCATGGATAGGATGCAGGAGAGCGGTGATCTCTTGTTCTCCTATGCAAAACGAAAAAAGTGATTACATTGTATGAGGTGTTTTATCGTTGTATAGTATATTATGTATATGTAGTTATAATTTAATGAGGCCCTAATTAGATTAAGCGATCCATTCATAATGTGAATATTTTATTTCATATATTTTCAAAATATAAATTTTACATTATTTTATTGGAATATGCCACACTGGTAGTTTTTACAAAGTGAAAGAAAATTATATATGTTGTTAAAATGATAATAGTTGTTGATAGTTGAGAACTATTGTTTAAATTATTCTAACAAAATGGAGACCTGATATAATGTTTCAAATTATTGCTTTAAATTGGTACTACATGAGGTCAGGGGGGTGGCTTCGATGTGATCTCGTAATGGAGTTTGAATTTGACAGAATGTATTTTTTATTACTCAACAATTTTTAATGTGCTTGCAATGATAAAAAGGGTGTAATGGAAACGTTTAAGAATAGTGAAAAACTGTACACAAACGTTAAGAAACTTTAAAAAAATAACCAGAGTCAAAGAATAACCGAATCCCTGTCTGATTGTCAATTTACTAAAAATGTTTCCCTTATATCCTGTTTATTTTGGATTATTTAAATGGTGACAAAATGAAGTAAGAAAACTGCACAATAATATATACAAAAGGAATAATCTATCCACTCCATGCACATTTATATTTATCTTCTCGATAAAGTTTTTATAGAACTTTTTTTTAAATACCATAACAAAACTTGTAATATAATGTGTAAGTAACAATTACACTTCAGTGTACACATTAAATGTGTCAAATAATTGTTCGCTACTTACACATGGTTTGAATTTAAAACCTAACACAACTGAAGGGAACATAGATAGCCAAAACCAAATGAATATAGTAATGTATTAAAATGGAGACAAACGCTAACTGTAAATATTCTTTTTATCGACTGAAATAGCAGTTAGAAGGAAACGACAAAGTTCATGTATATTTTTAAATGTCTGTCTGAATAATACTACAATATCCATTTGGTTTTAAGCGTCTTGCAATATATTTTTCTTATCTATTTTGTGACATTGTACATGAAATAAGTGCATATAGGAGTGAAGCGAACAGTATTGGGAGTGCTAATAGTTGCTTTGGTCTAAATTGTCAAAATTAAAATGTATTTTGTGGTGCGTTCAGACATGTGTAATTCGTAGTGTGTGTTCTACGTGAACAGTACATGCAACGCTGGTACTGTTCCATTAGACGCCAGGTTTGCTCCAACACAAGGTCATTCACGATACTCTTCCATACTATTCGCGTTGCATTACCCTACAAATTACACTAGTTTGGTCGCAGCTTTACAATCAGCACTATCCGCCTATGCTTTCGCCTATCACTAGGTGTTGTCATCCTAATTAATTAAAAAAAAAATAACACCTGTTGGCACGAATGTGCGGAATAGATTAGCTCGGTTTTGTATTAAGGATATCATGTCATTTGTCATAGCTCGCCTATTCCCATACTGCATTATATTTTCAAATTTCAACCGAATACATATAAAAACCGGGACTTAAATTCTTTTAAATACATTTAGCCATTGCAGTACAGAGGTCGCTAGCAATCACATTAGACGTGGTATTTTTTTTACCTTAAATGGTGTAACCTGGCAACCGTATCTACTTAATATGCAGGGTGTAATATTCCAAATTCAAGCCATAGGTCATATTTGTGACACGGGAAAGTTTTCTTTAAGGAACATAGGTTGAAATAATATAAAAATAAATTTTCGTACTTTGTTAACTTTTGCACCCTGTATCTGTAAAAAATGTTAAATAGACAAAGACCAAACGATAATGTAATGCATATTTATTTTGAAGTAATTTAAAATCTATGAGCTTTGGCAGTGATTTATAATCATTTTTAGTAAAAAAAAAAAAATTGGTCAATGATTCCTTAAAATTAATTAAGATTCAGATAAATCTAATGTTAACACGCAATTATATCAAACGTATTATTGTACTTCTTTCCAGTGTCTTTTGTATTCTGTTAAAAAAAAATATTTCCATTTTACCTGCGAGTAATTATCTCTAGTTCTTTTTTTTTATTTTTTTTTTTATATTTAATATCTTTTATAATGAGATGTTTTTAGATTTTTCTATTCTTGTCAAAATGAAAAATGAGGTGCTTTATGTGGAGTATTTGGCCCGCTATCGTGGGCTATTTGGTGCGATATTTTATTGATTTTTTTTTTTTGTTTATATGCTTAGGAGATATATTGTGTACAGTCGCCAAAATTTCTGACCTAATGACTTAGTTTTATACTTTCATCTATATTGATACTTTTCACTAATAATGAAACAAATTTTAGATGACAGTACATTTGTACACAAGGTCTGTTTGAATAGTGACCATTACCCTTCACACGTTAGTGATATATTACATTTCTCTTATAAGTAAGTAGTATATTTGACAAATATTTATTTATATCACTAAAATATTATTTACGTCATGCATTCTCATCATGAATGGTAACAATGGAAATCTTTGCAAGTCCTATTAATTACATTTCATTTTTTGTTACTTTCACAGGTTCACACATACTTCCTTCCATTACTCCCTTCAAAGATTGAAATCTCACCTTTTAACTAATACATAATAATACTATGCACTTACTTATTATATGTGATATATATGTATATGTATTTATTAACAATATGTGTATGTTTATTTGTATTCTATTTACCTTGTATACCTTTTTACCTGTACCTTTCCTGCTCTAGATTGCCCGTTAATTATTTTCTCTAACTGCATTGAATTGTGTGAAAGAGATCTCTTTTAGAGATAACCCCACCCTTGCCAACAAGTTAAACTAATCGCTGTACCTTTTACTCAAGTGCAATAAAGAATATATAATATAATATATCGTTGAATATTGTCTTATAATTGACTTTTGACATTTTTAATATTTAATTTTCCACGTTAACTATAAACTGTATGTGATAATTGGAAGTTATACACAATGGTCACCGCTCAAACAGACAAACGTTATTACGTTACATTGTTGGCATTTTATTTTCACTGTATTCCAATTTGTAAAGCTGAGCTTAAATAATTGCATGACGAATAGAAGGAAGTTTTTATGTTATCTGCTGAAGATATATGTTGTGTTACAATATAATAATAAATAAAATGTGATATTTATTTGTATGTCTTTCTATTTTTCTATTTGATCATTGTCACAGTTGGAGACCAGGCAACCTGACGGTCTACCATGAAATGTTTTCTGAAATTTCGGAGCCCAACGAAATACAAATTTGATTTTAAAATTACATAATACTTACCGTTCTGAAAACATTAAGATTATTAAAATATTATTCCTTTGGACTTTTATGGTAAGATTTACGACGAACGAAACGTTAAACTCCATTTACTGGGCCGATTTAGGTGTGAACAAAAATACGAAATTGAGTCCGAAACTTCGGGATTTCATTTCATGGTAGGCCCTCTTGTGTGGCGATATCGAGGTTTCCTTCAAGCCAATACTCGATGTTATAATTTAGTAGCTTTTACCCGCGACTTTGTCCACCTGAACGGGATATGTTTACTGACTAAAATAAAAGACAGCCTATATTTCCCCGCCATCATATATAGTACCTACGTGTATACCAAATTTCATAGTGATCAAACAGTTAAGGAGCTATAAGGCAACAAACAAACTTTTGATAGTGTCATATTTATAATATTATCAAGGGCGGATGAAGAATTGAATATAACTGGCCTCTTTTCATTCTCATCTATCACCCTTCACTGGTGCCTCGTTAGCGTATTCCATTAGCGTAAGCGGGGTTACCATACCATTTTCACCCATCAAAACAGAATTCAATATATATATACATATATATAGAACAAGATATGCCGATATACAAAATGCGCCTTCGCCATAAATACTAAGGAACGTGAGGATTTTATAATACGAGTATACCTACTCAATTATTTAGCGCATAGTACTTACCTATGTCGTTGGATATATTAAAACACGCCTTTGTTCAAATACCTAAGTGATAAGATATATTTCCATTAGCCTTGTGGTTTATTTGATATTAGCGGACAGATACTGGAAACGATTCAGAGGGTTTTTTTTTTTTTATTTTAGTTCGATATTACAGGGAAAATGCTTATATGTATATGTAAAGGCTAAAGTAGGTAAGATAAATTTATAATAGGATTGAGTGAGATCTACTTTACATTTACTAGTGGTAATCAATATTTACACGCCCTTAGCTATGCTCATAGAACTATGCTGCTTTATAAATTTCATTTATTATCTATATAAATAAAATAAATGGTATTCTATTAGTGTCTTTATATTTTATTTTCAATGAAAACAAACGAAATTTCCATGCCAGGTTAGGCCTTTGTATTATATTTATCTATGAAGTCATTGTTTCATCATCGTTATATCAGATTTTCACTTTCACAAGTCGATTGCTTAGGTACCTCTGTCCCATTCATGTTTCAACCGTCCATGGTACTGCTCATGTCTATAGGCGACGGTTACCACTTTCCATCTAGGTGGGCCGTCAGCTTGTTTGCCATTCTAAGTTGTATAAAAAAAATTCTAATAAAATTTCTATGGGACCAATTTGTATGTGACCCATCTGTAAGTACATTTCCTTTCAATAAATAAATATTTTCCAAATTGGTTTAGAAATGACAGAATTATGAGTAACAAACATAAAAAAAATACTACCGAATTGAGAACCTTCGTTTTAGATTGAAAATTAATAAACTGAGATTTACTGAGGGCCCCTAAAAACTCAAAGAATAAAAAACATCTTTTCAATTTACCTTTCTTTTACTATAATTTTAAACAAAAACACAAAGGCCTCTGAATACCCCATTAGAGACTGTAGTCAATTTTTTTTTATCCTCAAATTGAACTGCTGATTTTTTTCTAAATGTTTGACCATATAGAAAATAACACTAATACCTACACAGTATGGATATATAACGATTTTTTACATATAAAACTGCCACTATACAAAATCATTTTCTATCAAAAAAAAAATAAACAATAATTAGATTTTGTTAGTTTGATATTTAAATTTTGTTTTCAAGTGAAACTTTTAACTTGGTCTTAAGTTAGACTTCAGGGTCTATTTTCATAACTTGAAGGATCCATAGTAACAATTCTGAATGTTACAACTTCGTTAATGTCAGTTCACTAACAAATATTAAACAAATAATTATAAACAGTGTTTTAAAAATCAATCATCATTATTGACTTGAATTTCTTCAATACCATCGCTTTCAATGACCAGAGCCCTTTCTAGAATAACACGGCCTTCTTTATATCTGAAAAAAGTTACATTATATATACTTTATTTTCTATACATACAATAAAAAATATCAAAGATAGAACCATTAATAAAATTATTATGATTTTTAACATTTTACTAATATTTTTTTTAATATTATTAAAACTAATTTAATTTTAATAAAATAACAATGAGACTATTTTAATGTACATTTTTTAATTGAAAAATAACATTAATTTTGGGTACAAAAATTGTATCAGCAAGATACCATCTAAGAAATAAAAAAAATACAATCAAATTGACATAAAAAGATTATAAATTAGAAAAAGTTTATGTTAATGTACATTGTACAATAATATGCATACATAAAAGTACAGTTGAATGACAATTATTTTACAAGTAAAAAATTTACAAACCTTTGATTCTCCTCTGTAGCAAACTCATAGACCCATCCAAGCTTTGTGCCACAGTTTTTGCAGGAAACATCACGCACCATGTGGCGGCCGGTCAGCATCACACGGTCCTGTACTTCCGAGTATACTAGGTTCACTACTTTGTGAAACAAGAAAGCACGCCCTGTCAACAAGCAATGTATAGTTAATACAAACAAATATATAAACCAGGTCGTCCAGTAAAATGAAAGTAATATTTGCAATAAAAATAAATAATCAATATTTTTTTAGTTCACTTGCTGGGTAGATAGAAAATCTCTTTTAAAATTTTTGTTATATGATTCATTTACAAGATATTTTATGTGGGATTTACATATTTTCTACATATTACAAGCTTACACATGTCGAGTGTACTAATACTGTGACCACATGTGAAACCTTGCTGTAATGTACAAAGTGTATAATTCTTATATTTTAATAGATACAGTATATTTTTTTTTATCTTGAATAAGCTATGATTGAAGTACACAGTGGCAGGGCATATGCTAGTACGATTATTATGATTTAAAATGCACGATTCAAGTATCCCATCTGAAATCCCAGATGGGGTACTTGGATACTGAGTCGATTGTTTTTAATAGTCATTAAAGTGAACATACCTTATTTCTATTATTTATAAAAAATATGAAGAATGTAGATAACAGAACAATCTATATATCTAGATATAATAAGTAATTTGGTATTGAATTCAAAGTAAATATAAGATTGCGTAGATCATGGCTCTAGAAAGGTCAATCAGACTGTACGTACCTGTAGCTCCAGTAAATCGTGTGCTAATCAGTTCAGCGCGATTAGTGAGATTAACTTCACACGCTGCACAGCAAAACAATCGAGTGCCACCAATGTGGTCAAGGAATATTTTGCCCATTTTGATTATATACGATTTCTTTGTTTTCAAAACACAAATATTTACAATATGAAAGTAAATTCACAACTGGCGCTTTGACAATTGACATTGGCGTTTGTAAGTGGCAATATCACAGAGTACATTATATATACGAGAATATCACATTTTGTGACGTGTGGCAGTAACATTAGCCTTTTGGTATGTTAAAAAAAAAAGGATTTTAACTTTTTTTTAATACGTGAATAGGAAAAAGAAACACCGCAATCAGCCAAAAAAATTGAATGTGATTATTGTTGTTAAAATTGGATTTATATTGTTTGGGCATTAAAAATAAGTACAATGCCTAATCACACAGTAGAGCTGCTGAAATTATATGTTACTTCAGCACTCAACAGTTGTTGAACTGCTGTTTATACGTTACTTAGGCAACAGCCATTAATTCACAATTTAAGTATGATTTCTCATAAAAAGTAAACATAGTCTCTCCTGTTACTTTATATTACAAAATTAAAATACATATCTTGTTAACTAGTTATTATGGAAGGAATAAAAGAAGAAGCCATACACCACACAGCTCTGAAATTAGCAGAAGAAATAAAAAATCTGTCCATATATAAATCATTTTATAGCGATATTCAGGTAAGTCGAGTGTAAGCATATATCATTAATGTGTCCACTTATGGTATTATTACATAACACCAAATGCTTTGTGCTCCTAGAAATTAGTTTCATCTCCAAACGTAAAAAAAGAAGATTTTAAGCAAACTTTACAACAAGCTATGAAAGAAAAAGGTTTAGATACGAAACTTAGAAACACTGTATTCCACTGGGTACGAACACAGAGCAAACAAGGTGTAAGTAACATAATTAATAATAATCAAAATATTTCGAAATACAATATGTAACTTGCTATAGTTCCCAGTTACAAAAATATATTTTTTTTTAGAAATTAGACCCACTAACATCGTTACTAAAAGCAAGTGCACAGTGGGAAAAAAGAATTCACAAATCTCTAAATTCAATGTGCTCAGATCTTGAGACTTCATTAGCAAAAATTAGAGTACAAAGTGAACAAGAAGAATTAGCTGAAAAATGGAATGAACTTAGTACTTGTAATCTAGGTAAGTCCTTAACTTTAAATGTTAAAAAATAGATAAAGTATTGAAGTCGCTGATATTCATTCTTGCATTATTACATAACTATGAATTTCAGATTTATCAAAATACAGACCAGTATATGCACCGAAAGATTTTTTGGAAGTATTGTTAACATTATCTGGATACGTACCTTATACAAGAGAGTAAGTTTTGAAGTAAATTCTATTTAGTGACTTACGGAGTTCATAAATCTTTTAACTGACATCATTTTTGACTTAAATGTTTCAGAGACGAACCCAAATGGGAGTTTGCGCATTTACCCTTACAAGTCAAAACATTAGATCAGTTGGTGAGCAATAATTAGTTATAAATATAATATACAGTTTTACACAATTCTGCTAAATAAGTCATTTTTCAGCTTTATATATTTTTTACACATGCTAAGCAAATTATGCTAAACATCAATTATCCGGCTCGAAGGATTATTGTCTTGAGTATGTCGTAAAAAAAAGAAAACCAATTATTCAGTCTATTATTAAATATAACAGACTCAATCATTACATTGAAAATGAAATGTTTATTTTGTCGTTTTAGCGTAAATTATATGTGGAATGGTCTAACGGCGAGCCGTTACTAGGCGTGAATCCAAATATGCCCAGTACTGTGCCAGGTTTTGCAACCCTGGAGGCGGAGCGTATAGGCCTGGGTGAAAGAGTAGCAGCACTCGGATACGCCCCAGTTATACAGGAATACCTAAAAAAGGGAAGTCCACAGTGTTTGCGAGCAAAACTTTGGTCACAAGTGCTCGGCGCCGATGTTAAATCACAGGTACACATTGCACATATATGTGCGTACGTGTCTATATGTAATATCTATATATCCAATTTGAAGCTGATTTCAAGAATTGTCAATTTGATCCCTTATGGTATAGTTTGAGTCATTTGTCGACTATTGCCATTATGGTGAACGTGACATTCGACATGCTTACATTCCATCGATTGGAATGTGACAAGTATAAAACCATTAGTTGGATGTAGCAGCAATCATTTGAATTAATTTGGCTTGTTAACAGTATTTCTAATTACCAAAGAGACGGATTTTTATAATTCTGATTTTCATAATTGTTTTAATTGTTCCCGTTTTTGGCCTCATATTTTTTTAAAATTTTGCGATGTTCGAACTATTTATATATAGTATTTTACTTTTTAGCAAATAACATACTTCAATCAACTGAAGAAAAGTGTATTGGAAGTTGATTTGATGATAGACAAATTAATATTCAAAGATGTACAGCTGACCGCCTCTAATGACGACCAATATTTTGTTTTTGAAGATATGCTCTATCAGGTGACTTCAAAATTAGAATGTGATTTGAAAAAAAGCTCTTAGCCTGCTTACACAGTCTCTACACAGGATAACGCGGCTAAATACCTATATAAGAAATAAAACAAACGTACCGAAGCTCTTAATTATAATCCCCAATCAGAGACATCTATTGACAACTACCGTCCTAAGGAACGTAATACAAAAGCCGCTTACATTATCCCGAGAACATTAGAATTCAACATGCAGTAGACAACACTAGAGCTGTTACTAGGATTGATTTGATTTGTTAACGGTATAAACGGTCCCTAATATCGGAGAGTTAATCAGAAATTTAAATTGGCAAACAGTTTTTGATGTCAGCCAGAATGGAACTTACGACAACAAATATCTCACGTTGTGGTATTACATCTATGATTAGTACATATAAAGCTAAGTGATATTGACTTCCGAACAATTAAACTATGTCTGGAAAACTAGCTGAATATCCTAATTAAATTTTATTACAACTAAAATACTGAACTATTACTAACTTAAGACTATTGAATACCTAGTGATTAACTAATTTATTTTATTTATTTAATCTTTAGTAATCTATCCTAATTTTTTTTTGTTGCAACAAAAACACTGCTGAAATTCGTACAAATATTTCCAGGTTTTTTTGATGGGTGAAAATGGTATGGTAACCCCGCCTGCGCTAACGGGATACGCTGGCGGAGCACCAGTGAAGGGTGATAGATGAGAATGAAAACAGGTCAGTTAGTCCATCATGATGAATTCGTCAGGAATTAACCATGATAGTTTCCAGGGGGAACCGTGAGGAGATCGACCTGGTTGGCTATATTGCTAGCAATGGGATTCTCAGTCTCCATTACTAACAATCCCTTTCCCCCCAATACTTCCAGGTTATGTTATGTTTCTCGAGGGACTGTGAAGTAATGCAAAGTCTGAAAGGGAGCATTGGCAATCCACTGACTGTCACGATAAAGGGCAAGCAGACGTCGGCGGACAGCGTTACTGTGTTCCCACCCAGTGGCATTATCCCCTTCCACGGCTTTACCATGTATGGTGAGTATTTACCTTCCGAAGTCGCGACGACTTCGATCTCCACACAATAGAAACATTTATATATTCCTGTATCGGTTTAAACTCATCATTTGTGAACAATTAACAGTTCATATAAGGATATATCCACTAATGAACATAGGCCTCCCCTATAGACTGCTCATTGAGGGGTTTTGCCAGTAGTTGCCATGCTTGGCAAGCGGATTGGCAACCGCAAATATGCTGATGGTGATGGTAACGTTTCAAAGGTCGCTGCTGCCCATCTTTCGTCCATTAAGTTCTCTTAGTCGCCTCTTACGACTCCCATGTAAAGGGAAGGGATCGCCCATTCTGTGCCGAAACCACACACACATAGTTTATTTACTTATTATGTTCATGGTACTGCTCATGTCTATGGGTGACGGTTACCACTATCCATCAGGTGGGCCGTCAGCTTGCTTGTCATTCTAAGTTACATAAAAAATAAAATGTGTTTACTATCAAATTTTTATTTATAACAAAAATTTAGTTAAAAGAGAATTTTTTATTGTCGTTCCACTATGTTACAGCAACACCCTTCTGCTACCTATATGACGACCCGGCTCAATTGTACTATACTTTCCGAGCGTTCTATATACGGTATTGGCACCGTCTACACTATATCTCCACACATCCACAGGTGCGTATGTAACACTCCATTATCGTACAATGGATATATATATATATATATATATATATATATATATATATATATATATATATATATATATATGATAGAGAAAAACTTATTATTAGGGGTTACCCTTTAAATGTTTTCAATATAGAAATATCCTGCACTGTCCACTAAATATGCAAGAGAAAACAAGACACCGAATGTTGCTGTCTCGTTCTAACGCATGGATATATTAAGGATAGATTTTAGTATACCTACAATAATAATATATAATCATATAGATTCATTTACCACTTTTACACTTGTTTAAATAAGTTGCAAAATCTAAATAAATATCTGAAACTATTATTCGTACATATACAGCGTCATGACTTCAGCGATTCATATTTTTCGCATATTTCAGGGTATCGTTTCTTTGTGTCTGCTGTATGAGAGACTATTAGAAGCGAACGAGCCTTTATTGTGGATTCACTTTAGAAACATTAATATCAATCCGTAAGTATATGAGCTATGTACCTAGTATGTGACATATAAGCTATGTAGCTAATATGTAAAATTTCGTTGTTTTAAAGTTTATTACTCAATTACATTTAAACGTTTCAACGGATTTTAATGAAATTTGTTAATTAATTAGATGATATTCTAGATAACACAATGAAGCTCTAATCTTTTTTTTTATACCACTGAGGTGGCAAACAAGTATACTCTTTTTTTATACCACCTGATGGTAAGCGGTTACGTCTGTACCTTACGGCCTATGAACGCCTGCAATACCAGAGGTATTACGCACGCGTTGCCGACTCTGAAGAAACCTCTAAAAGTCTAATGTGTTTTAGAATGTTTTATTTCAATTCAATACGCAGACGCAACTGGTATAGATATAACTGGTATATTTTGCTGGGTCAGCATCCATGTTTCCGCACCATAGGTGAGTATGGGCAGGACACATTGGTTAAATACCTTGGTTTTCAAAAACTGCAGTACATAGTTTTGATTTGAAGACATCTATCCAGTTTTTAAAGTCAACCCATGCCAACTGTATACCTCTCCATTTCTCGTATCTGAGACCCACGATTGTAATTAAAAAAAAATACTTTTTCAGTATTCGAGTAGTATTCAAATGGCTGATGAGGGCGTTCAGCGGACACCTACCTCCGGATCAGTTGCTGTTACTATGGGACGCGATCCTCGGTTACGATTGTCTAGAAATTCTACCACTATTGGCTCTGGCGATACTCAGCTTCAGAAAGGAGAATATCTTTCAAGTGAACACGCTGCAAAACGTGGACGCTGTTTTGGCGGACTTATCTACTATATCTGTTATACCGTTACTACAGTTGGCGTTAATGAAAGCATAGTTTAGCCTTGATATTAGATTCAGTTCTTAATACATCAATGGTACACAGAGATGGGTAATGATTGACAATACGTAGTTACTGTAGGTACGTAACTAAGTAAATATAATACAGTAGACAGAGTATGTAAAAAACCCCAAAGCTTTGTAGATTAATAGCTTGTATATTTCCCCAATAAAAATTGGATTGACACGTTCAGTAAAAAGTGAAATAATAATGTATAATTTCAAAAGTGAATCAACTAATTTCGTCGTCAACTGTACTTTTGGCGTGAATTTACAGGGTACAGAGGAATAACATCTGAGTCCTCAGGAATGGCAACGCATGGGGGGTATCATGGGCGAAACAGTATACTCTGTTATGTCCATATTACTGCTCATGTCTATAGGCGACGTTTACCACTTTCTATCAGGTGGACCGTCAGCTTGTTTGCCATTCTAAGTTGTATAAAAAAAAAACTTATTTTTTTTTTATTTTCATCATATCTGATTATAAACAAAGCAACAGTACTAATATTTAAGAACAAGGTACTAATTTATTAAATTATTGCTATATTTTGATACACGCAGAATAAATGTTTATTTTTACATATTATTATGTATTTTGTACCGATGTAAATATATAAATAAATAAGCAAAGATAATTGGACGCACAGATTTTGAGTCCGCCATATTGATTCACATTCACATGTAATATAACAGTTTAAAATCGACAAGAGCGCGAGTTTTGAAATATCCATTTATATCGCGTTTGTAAAACTCTGGTTGGACATTCAAATAACAAAATTACAGTCGTAGTTCAATGTGAACTTTATTGCATGATTAATATTTTAAATTGTCATAGAGTAATATTTATATTGTTAAATTATATCTGTATTTTAGCAGGCGGAACTATAGTTCCGCATAGTGGCAGTATACTGCCACTTTTCCGGTATAAACCCTTTTAAAAATAGAGATGTGCTTACCAAGATGATTCTGTTGCCTCCATAACAACCAAATTGATAAATAGAAAAAAAAAACATATTTATAGATATTTCACAATGACAACCGAGTTATTATTTAGTACTAGCACAATATTGTGTGGCTGTAGATATGAAAAGTTGAATATCAATTATGAACTTTAGCACAAGGCTGTAAAGACCAAAATTACCTCGCTAACAGCGATTGCGCACAATTACATTCTATTTTGCATGCGTGTGTGAGCGTCTATACAGCATCCACGCAGATTATTATAGCGACAATTGTTATACACATTGTTCTGTATAGTGTTTTTAGAGACCGTTTTATTTTTTAATTTTGTAGATCAATTGTATTTTTAAATTAAAAAAAAATAAAGTACAATGTTATATTTAAATTGTTATATTTTTTTCACATACAACACACCAGTTGCCTTCTTCATAAAAACTACTAATCACATACAAGCCTGGTACTTCTTTGCATAAGTTACTTAACTCGTCTTCTTCGAAAACGTGATAATATCTTAACAATGTGCTTTCCGGCTTGTCCGAAAGTTTATTTCCACTAATATTCCTAAGTTTCCACGGTACTAGTAAGTCGTTATGTTGGAATTGGGTTCTGTTTTCGTGGATGGGCAAGTCTAAACCACCAACTGTTATGAGGTGCTCGTTTTCTGTTTGGCTCTGTTTGGACTTGCAAAGGTAATTTGACCTAGTTTGATCCTTCGCCCAGACGGTGATAAGCGCGCGTCCGCCTGGCCGTAACAGATTGGATATTGCACAAATCGCTTGTAATCTTCTCGCCTGAAAAGAAATAGAAATAGGTATCATATTAAAATTATACATAATGAAGGTATTGCAGTATCTTGAACATTTATTTCTCAATCATGCATATAAGGCCAAGTATGCATGCAATGCATGTATGCAATGAAATATGACATAGAGCCTGATCATACTTTAGACTATTAGATACAAATAATTGACGAAAAGCCAATATACAGCTAAAGTCAATGATGATGATGAAAAATTATTATGGTCCTTCGAGTCGGATAATTATAAACAATAAATAATTTTATTTTAGTAAATTGCACACTTACCTTGCTACTAAAATGGTGAATAACAGCGATACATATGACGACATCCGCGCATGAATGCTTTAACCCGGGGTATAACAAATCGAGACGCAAACAGTCTGCACCAGGGATGCTTTGCGTATACTGTTTGCATTCATTAAGAAGACCACTGCTACGCTCGCCGGCTATCTATAATAAAGATTTATTTTTAATTCCCAAATTTATTTCCAAGACTCAATGTATCGCGATTACAAGCAAATAGTACCAAATTCTAAAAGTATATTAAATATATGTAAAATACATGAAAAATATACCAATGCACGTAAGCAAAATCGCGTAAAAAATAGCTAATAACTGATATCAATATTAATCGTATTCTACCTGTAAAATATCATTTCTCCGCAATATATTCTTCCCGTTGCCAGCGCCAAGGTCCAGCAACACAGCTCCCGGGGGCAAACCCTCTAGAAACTCCACTACTTTCGGCCATGGCTTATGCCGCGTCGTGCTAAAGTGGCCCGCTATTTGTTCGTAGACCTGTGAAGTGAATGAGCTCTTTTGTAGGCTACTCAAATAAATGATTGAACACTATTCACTAAGCAAACATTTTTTTCTTGTAAATAATACCAATAATATATATATTTTTTTAATTTATTTCTTATTGCATTATAATACCAGTGTAGTCGAAAATATAACATTTTAATATCATTAAGCGCAGGTAAAATAAGGCTCATTGGCATTACTGTCTGAGTGGTCTAACGACCCACGAGTTTCTTTTTAGAATTTTTTTTTAAATTACCTTTTTACGGCTTCAAAGAATTTTCACATAAGCTATCGTATAGAGGCCGTTTTCAGTAAGTTCTATTTTTTTTTTGATGGGTGAAAATGGTATGACGATACGCTGGCGGAGCACCAGTGAAGGGTGATTGATGAGAATGAAAACAGGCCAGTTAGCCCATCATGATGAATTCATCAGGAATTAACCATGATAGTTTCCAGGGGGAACCGCGAGGAGGTCGACCTGGTTGGGTATATTGCTAGCAATGGGATTCTCAGTCTCCATTACTAACAATCCCTTTTCCCCCAATAAGTTCTATTATGACCTCGTTTAAGACTATACATATTCTACAATAGCGGTAATAGTACACAGCCTTATCAACAGTCTCTAATGACAGGGGCGACGATCATACTTGCAAAATATGTTTTATTGAAGTTTTGTTTACCCTGCTACTATGATTTTTTTTAATGGTCGATAATTGAATGGTAACCCCACCTGCGCTGACGGTATACGCTGGCGGGGCACTAGTGAGGGATGATAAGCGAGATGAAAAGACAGGTCAGTTAGCCCATCGTAATCATCAGGAATTCAGCACGATTTCCAGGCGGGACTACGTGGTCTGACTTGCCAAGGTATATTGCTAGCAATTGCCAGGGAAGAGCTTGAGTCGGGCCCTCCCTGAAGTAAAAAAAGCTTACATACACGCAATGAAAAGAAAGATGTTACAGTACCCTAGTCATAGCGGCAGGGAGGTAAGAAATTGTGGTTGATTTAATACTGCTGACTGTACAACGAAACTACTACTTTCGGTTTGAAGGGTGGGATATGGCGTGAATTAACAGGGTACAGAGGAATAACACCTGAGTCCTCAGGAATGGCAACGCATGGGGGGTATCATGGGCGAAACAGTATACTCTGTTATGTCCATGGTACTGCTCATGTCTATAGGCGACGGTTACCACTTTCCATCAGGTGGGCCGTCAGCTCGTTTGCCATTCTAAGTTGTATAAAAAAAACTAGAGTTAACAGTTTGACTCAGTCAAATAGAAAAAAAAAATTACCATACTATTATACATACCTTATGTACATGCAATTCCTCCAAATTTGACGCTAATTCATCTTCTATATCATTAGAATTGCCTTTTTCCACACTGTCACATAATGTTTTAAAGTTACACTGGCATGGACCCGATCTAGTCCATCGGAACGTTAAGGATATCCTAGTTTCTCTCGCCACCGTATCACTAGTGACCACTTTGATGAGTTTGTCATTATTTCCCATTTGTACTGATCGTGTTTCGATGATGGGATCCCATGTGCGTGGTTGTATACCATGCTGCCAGTCATACCTGTAAAAAAACATTATATACTAACTTTTACCCGCAACTTGGTTCTCGTGATCGGGATATGTTCACTAACTCTTTTTTTAACAACACAGGGGGCAAACGAGCATGCGGCTCACCTGATGGTAAGTGACTACCGCCGCCCATGATCACCCACAACATCAAAGGCCTTGCAGGTGTGCTGCCGGCCTTTTAAAAAGGAATATACTCTTTTCTTGAAGGTTATGTTGTCGTATCGGTTCGGAAATACTGCTGCTGGAAGTTGATTCCAAAGAATGTTTGTGCGTGGAAGAAAGTGCCTTGAAAAACGCACTCGAGATAAAATGTAGCCTATACCCTTCTCCGTCCTATATACTACGTGTATACTTAATTTCATAGTTATTGGTTAAGCCGTTAAGCCGCTATAAGGTAACAAACAATTCACTTTCGCATTTATAATTATTAAGGATTTTATAATGAACTAGGTGAACTAAGGAACTAAGAGTGGGATATGGCAGTGAATTTACAGGGTACAGAGGAATAACATCTAATTCCTCAGGAATGGCAACGCATTGGGGGGTATAATGGACGAATTAGTGTACTCTGTTATGTCCATGGTAGTGCTTATGTCTATAGGCGACGGGTACCACTTTCCATCAGGTGGGCCGTCAGCTTGTTTGTTATTCTAAATTGAATAAAAAAATCTATCTATAATTTTACGATTGTATACATATTTTCTTACAACTGTAAATTTTTTTGGTTTCTTAATTGATTGTACCAACACTATACTTCCATATAATTAGTTCTATTTATTTATATGGCTCTCTCTCCTCTCTCTCTCTCTTTCTCTCTTTGTCTCTATGAATATCAATTATTACTAGTACTGCATTCAAGTATTCTAACAATTCCCTAAAAATGACTGACAGAGAATATTTTTAACATTCAGTCCACCTTGTATACACACATATACTAATGAATAAATAAATAAGTTATAATTAATTTAAATAAATTTATATAATAATATAAAAAAACTATCAACCATTATTACCTGGCTTCATCCTTCATGATCAATAAACATCTCCGCTCCACCAAAACAGGCACAGTTTTGCCGCTGTGATGTCTCCAATCCATCACCACTGCAGAGCCGAGGGAGAGCGACAATATTGTATCGCCAAATGGACTGTGACGATCCACATGTGACGGTATACCTGTATAATTATAAATTATGCATTTGTTTTTATTTCTGATGATAAGTTCTACTTAGAAATAACAATTAATTTATGTACTGAGCATCACAGCAATTTGTGTATGACAATGATTATTTATTTTTACTGTAAAACAACTGTACCGAGTATTTAACTTGTTAAGTTAATCCAATACTCATAACTTAATACATTTTCAGGCTCCAATATTTCTTTGAATCTGTAAGCTGCAATTTAGTAAATTTTTATTGGTTTTAGTGACCCACCAATTCACTCCATACTATTATATGCAAAGTATATATGAGCTTTCTAGACAATATTAGCATGTAAACTTAATGAAAAAGTAAATCATATGGTTAGAACAGGACACTTTCACAAACATATATACAGACACCACTGTTATATTATTTTATATTTTTATAAAATCATGTGAATAAATAAAAAAAAATAGTTACTTTTTAAAGATCCTACCTTGTCCAGGCTTGTATTTATTGACTGTTAACTGATCAGGTACACCAACATCGAACCCATGCTCCTTTAATCTCGTCCAGAGCACATCGCATACATCTGGTATTTTCTCTGCTAGAGGACAGTTGAGATCGACATCATTAGTGCCATATCTGAACTCATATCCATAATGCTTCACTTGGCGGTTCTTCAGATTGCTAGACACTATATCCTCATCCCAATCAAAGTATTTTATCAAATGCTCTTCTTCTTCTATTGAAATAAAGTTGTCCAATAGAAACAACCCTTGAGGGTTATCATGCTGACATATAAATTCGTTATTTGGTACTGGAATGTTTAATGAAAAAATTAATGATAACATATTTAATAATCTAAATAAACATAAATATATTTTTGCATTATAAAATTTCAGGTTTTATTAATTATCAATATTTTCAGAGCAATATAATCAAGAGACCTTAGTCCTCAGAAGTTGTAATTTAAGAGTAGTGTTATATATTGAGGCTATAAGTCTAATTTTTCTTTATTCAACTTAGAATAGCAAACAAGCTGACGGCCCACCTGATGGAAAGTGGTAACTGTCGCCTGGGCATGGGCAGTACCATGGACATAACAGAGTATACTGTTTCGCCCATGATACCCCCTATGTGTTGCCATTCCTGAGGACTCAGGAATGGCAACGCATTCCTCTGTACCCAGTAAATTCATACCATATCCCACCCTTCAAACCGAAACACAGCCATGCAAACACAACTGCTTCACGGTTGAAACACGAATGGGACAGAGGTACCCAAGCAATCAACTTATGTACAAAATCTCCATCAGGAGGGCCACCAACTTGTGTCATTTTTATTATAAAATTAATTCATAAGACTTTATGAAGCTTGGCACTCTTACAAAATTTTAATTAAGAAGAGAGGTTATGGTGGAGGGTCAATAGATAATAATTATTTATTTATGTGATATTTTTATAATAACATTTGCATCCTTCCAATTCAATCTATTACAGTAAATACTGGACCAGTTTGACAACAATTAATCATGGAAGAGTACAAGTCATCATCATCATATCAGCCATTAACTGTCCACTGCTGACCACAAGCCTCCCCCATAAGGATTTTGCCAGTAGTTGCAACACTTGGTAGGCGCTTTGGCCACCACAGTTAGGATTTGGTAATATTTTAAGATCCCTCTTAAATCTGCTGATGCCCATCCCTTAATCATTAAGTTCCTTTAGTCCCATCTTCTAACACCCATGGGAAAGAAAGGAATGGCCCATTCTATGCTGAAACCACACAATGATAGCAGAAGAGTAGAGGTGTTTCACGATATCAATGTATGTTCAAATTTCCACCAAGTGCCAATAATCATTAGTATAACCACAACAATCTTACCTCTTTCAACAAAGCTCATATAGAGAGGTGTACCATTTTCATCAATTTTGGCTTTGCCATTAAAAGTGTTATAGAATAAAATAGCATTTTTAGTTGTGCTGAACAGTAAATATGAGTGTGACTCTCCTTTCTCAGCTATGAACTTAGGAACTTGTATATCAGATGACAAACTCTTGATGAGTTTAACTATAAATGATTTTTCCAAGCCGGTGGCTTGACCGGAATTACATAATACTATGTTCTGAAAATAAATTAATAATAGCATAAAATAATCCTGTTTAAGAAGTAGTACATTTCTACCATAAACAGCTTAATTAATTTAATTTTATTAATAAAAATTTTATAATAAAATAAATAATAAAAAATTAATAAAATAAGTTATACCCACTATATACACCGCCTTCTGACCTTAGTTATAGACAAATATACTACATTTCAAAATATTAGACTATAATAGATATGATAAAAATAAGATAAAAAAAATATTAACAGATTGAAATAATAACTTTCTACTTAGTAAATCAATAATATTTGTATTATATAATATTATTGAATGAAGGGTTACATACTAAAAATAATTTCAAAAATAAAAAAATCTTACAGGGCCGGGTGTATCAGTGCATATAATCCCTTTTGAGCTTTTCAGGCGTGCAGAAAACCGTTTTCTCTTTCGTTCAACTTTCTTTTCTTCATTCATAATCTATACTTTATCTATTCTATTATAATACACCAGAGAATGTAGAAGCTGAAAAAGACAAAACAATATGAATTAATATCTAAAAATAAATAATTGCCAATCTACATATCAATTTTAATACATAGGTTTTGTTGAAATATATATATAAATTAAAATTAATATTTTGACAAACATTTTAAATGTTCCCAAAATTACAAAATATGTTATATAAATTTCATTCTCTGAAAACCTTATTAAGTATTAATCTGAAAAAGATTTTTTTTTAGAAATAATAAGTTGAGGAAATTTTAATTTTACTTTTACAAAGTATAATTAATTGGATCTAAGACTTAAAAGAATGCCTTACAACAGAATACTCTTTTTGAAACAAATACAAATTTTAAATAACCAAGATACAATTAATGGAAAACTATGTATGTATGTAGGCACTGTTAATTTAATGTGGTATAGTTAAGCAGATTCGTTATTTTTATTTTTATTAATAAATCTTAATTTACCTATTTTATACAAAAAATTAAGGAAAAAATACTAAAAAGCAAACAAAACATATAAAGATAAAAAAAAATTAACCACTTTTGACATCTACTTTTTTTTTTTTTTTTTCTTCTTTTGTGGCGTTCACCCCGATATTAGGGTATTTTGCCAAGAACAAAACGGGGAAACGATAATAGTAATAAAAATACCTAACACAAACGAATTTAGAAAGGATAAGGATTAGGTCTAGGATATTTATAGGATATGAAGGATATACTTGTACATATGAGAATATACTTATAAATATATAGGAAAAGCAATTGATGCAACTATAAATGTATTCATGTAATATAACTAAATCTTAATATTGTTATCATATATATATGAAGATAGTATTTTATAGATAATAGGATCATTGGAAGAAAGTAGAGTAAGAATAGAAGTTGGGAATGGAACACGGATGGATCGGAGATGATTAAAAAGGGAGGTGTGGTCAAATTTAGAACATGAGAAGAATATATGATTCAAGTCCGCCACTTCAGCACCGCAATTACACGACGAACTTTGTACAATACCAAGCTTGTATAAATGAGAAGGTGTGCATACGTGACCTAGACGCATACGAGTTATAATAGTTGTTGCGGTCTTTCCAAGCTTAATTTACAAAACCATGGTTTGAAAGGAATATCGGGTTGTATAAGGCGATAAAATCTTCCTTTTATTGTACTTGTTTTTTCCCAATATTCCTTCCAGGCATACCTTAAATATATTTTTGGGAGACAAGCTAGGTCACTACAGTAATTATGATACGGATACATATCACCACAAGTTACAGCCTCTCTTGCAATAAGGTCAGCTTTGTCATTGCCGCTAATACCACTGTGTCCTGGTAACCAGGCAAAAGAAACGGAATACCCTCTCAACATGCAAAGATAAAGACTTTGTCTTATGTCACAAATAATGGGATAAACTGGTTTTGATTTAAACGGATATTTGGCTAGAGCTTGCAAAGAGCTCATAGAGTCAGTGAAAACTATTGCCTTATGTAATTTCATTAAAAGTATATATTCTACAGCTTTTAAAATACCATAGCATTCCCCGGTAAAAACTGAAGATTCCGGTGGAAGTTTAATTTTTTGAACGATATTAAATTGTGAATGAAACACACCCACACCTACACAACCGCTATTGTCTGGTTTTGATGCATCAGTAAAGATGTAGTGCCATTCATTCCATTCAATGTCAGTTATAAACATAAATTTGGCATTCAATTCTGAATCATTTTTTGATAACCCAAAATCATATTTAATATTAGGAGATAAAACTAAAGATTGATATGAGCATTTATAAATGGGAAAACAGGACGATGTAAAAGTGGGAGATTCTATGGATTTATATTTTTCATAACTTTGTATTAAACATGGAGGTTTTTTATGTTTCCAATAAGATGAAGACGAAATAAAGATATATAGTTGAGATAACTTTTGAATAAGCGGATGATCAGATAATTGTAAACAACGAAAAAAGAAGCGATCAGATAAATATTGCCTTCTTAAAACCAAAGGTGGATCACCGATTTCGAGCTGTAAAGCATTGATTGGACTTGATTTCATTGCTCCAGAGATAATCCTCAAGGCCTTTGATTGAATTAAATCCAATTTCTTAAAAGCAAATGAACTTCCTGGAGCTAACAAAAAAAGTTCCATAATCAATGACACTCCTTATAAGACCATTATAAGCAAGTTTTAGTGAAACGGGATGTGCTCCCCACCAAACTCCAGCAAGGCACCTAAGAATGTTGAGGTTACGCTCACATTTCGTGGAAATATAATTACAGTGGGACAGACCTGTTAATTTATTATCTAGCACGATACCTAAAAATTTAATTTCAGTCTTTATAGGAATGTATGAGTTATCATAAAGCACCTTAATTTGTTGCGGTGATCTCATTCTTGAAAACAAAACTACACTACTCTTGGTTACAGAAAGATTAAGACCATTTGCATCTAACCACGTTTTTAACAAATCTAATGAATCAGATAATTTGGCAGAAGCAGATTCTATGGACTTCGCAATAAAATATAATAAGAGATCATCAGCATATTGTAAAATTTTGACGGATTTATCAAGGAATGATTCTAGATCGTATGTGTATATGTTGAATAAAATTGGACTGAGAACAGATCCTTGTGGAAGGCCTTTCCATACTGTTCTAGATAATTTGGTATCTTCATCTAGATCCATATGTATTGTTCTTTCTGATAAAATATTAATAATGAAATTAGAAAGCATTACCGGTACATTTAAAGCTTGTAATTTAGTTTTTAAAATAGAAATTATTACATTATCATAGGCAGAATTTATGAGTATATCTAAAAAGGCTGAGAGGATTGACAAATTTTGTGAGAAAGCTATATGAATATCTGAAATAAGAATGCTCACATTATCTAAGGTGCTCTTACCTTTCCTAAAACCAAACTGGTTCGGGGATAGTAAGTTATTACTTTCTAAAAACCATTCTAGACGGTTCTTCACTAAATGTTCAGCTAGCTTTAGTAAGACAGAGGAAAGTGCAACAGGACGGTATGAAGACGGTTCAGAAGGTGGTTTATGAGGCTTTAGAAATGGTATAATAATCTGAGACTTCCATGAAGTAGGTATATTTCCCGAAATAATTATGGAATTAATTATATTTAAAAAGTAAATTAATTTCGCATCGCTAGCATTTTTAAAAAAGGAATACGGTATACCGTCTTCTCCCGGTGCAGAGTCTTTAATACAAGCTAGAACACCTTTAAGTTCTACAAGAGTAAAAGGAGACTCAAGTTCGGATAATTCGTCAGAGACGGATAGAGAAATATTGTAAAGGCATTCCGGCACATAACTAGGAGCAAGGCGATCTAAAAATTTATTCGCTAAAGTTAAATCGAGTGCAGAACGTGATGTATGATCACTAAAGGCAGATCTGAATCTTTTAATATTATTCCAAACGACTGATGAATTAATTTCTGGACAGATAGAAGAACAAAATCTTCTCCAACCTTCCAATTTCTTTTTTTTCAGTAGTTTTCGAGTAGAACGTAAAACTGCGGTGTAAATTTCAAAATTTTCTGATGTCATGTAATTATTATAATTTTTTTCAGCCTCTTTACGATTTTTAATTGCTTCCGTACAATCTTTGTCCCACCAAGGTGGGGAGGGAATTTTCCCTGAAGCACTATTTTTAACAGGAAATAATAAATCAGCAACCTCCTTCATATTAATTATCAAGTCATTACAACATTGATGTTCATTTCCATGATAAACAATAGGTAACTCCGATATTTTATTATCTAAATATTGTTTGTAAATATTCCAGTCTACATTTGATAAATTATATTTAAGTCGAGGACCACTCTTTCGACTTGAGGGAATGGAAATTGGAAAAGAAAGAATGAGGGGAAAGTGATCGCTTCCGAAGGTAGAGGAATGAGGATACCACGACAGTGAAGAAGCTAAATCAGAAGAACATATTGAAATATCAGGAGCACTAAACCCTTCATTCGGTGCAGTTCTACGTGTCGGTACATCTGAGTTAATAATACATAAATTGTAAGTGTCAATTATCGTCAGGAGTTTTCCACCATAAAAATTAGAAGTAGAACTGCCCCACGATTGGTGCTGAGCATTAAAATCGCCCATTACGAGAAAAGGTTTAGGTAAAATTGAAAATAATTGTTCTAGTTGTGAATATATTTGGCATGTAGGATCAGGAATATATAAAGTAACAAAACAGATACCATTTATAATTATAGCAGCTGCATTAATGCCGCTATATACAGGAAGCGAAAAAGAAGAAAAAAGAAGGGAGTTTTTGACCAATATGGCAACACCGCCATATCCGTCAGCTCTATCATCACGGAGACTTGTAAAGCCTGAAATCCTAAAAGGATATCCTGGCTTTAACCAAGTCTCTTGTAGAGCTATTATAAAAGGATTATATTTATTAATCAAATAAAATAAGTCTGATTTCTTATTTGTTATGCTACGACAGTTCCACTGAATTATTTGGACTTTGTAATCCATTGTGAGAAGTTAATAATTGAGAAAATACATTGTACATGGCATCGTTGGACGGTGGTAAAGTTGTTTGTATCATTTTTGATTGCGATAACACTTTAATAAGCATGAGAATAATATCAATGATGGATTGATTATTGTCAATATTATTTGATGATAATGCACAACCATTAGAGGGAGCAGGAATATTATATTCCTTAACTATGGCTTCATGGGCAGAACGATCATATCCTTGTTGTATTTTTTGAGGAGAGCGTGGTTTAAGTGTAACTGTTTTTTTATATGATGATTGTATATGTGGTAATGATGATTTCTCTTTAAGGAAAGAAGATTGAAAATGAGATTTATTGGAAGGAGATGATGATGTTAATACATCTGAATATAGTTTAGAAGTTGGAGGATGAAATTTTGATGCTTCAGCATAAGAAACACAACTATGGGCCATTGTTTCTTTAATGGCTTTCTGACGTGCATATTCAGGACATTTTTTACTAATTGCTGAATGAGAACCATTACACAAGATACAAGAAACATTTTCCTCATCTACTTCACATTTATCACCTGTATGATTTTGCCTGCATTTATAACACAGAGGATTTGAACGACACTGCATCTTGACATGTCCGAACCTACAGCAGTTATAGCATTGGATAGTAGGGTAAATGTACAAATCTACAGTTAATGATGTGTAAAACATAAATACTCTTTTTGGCAATATTTGTCCATCAAAAGTAATAACAATGGTTTCAGTATTAATAAAACTTGGTTGTCCTTCATTAATTGTCTTTTTCTTTATTCTTCTGGTTTTTAGAATTTTCCCACAACCTATCGGTACTGATATATTTTGGATTACTTCCTCTTCTGTCCAATCTTTAGGAATACCCCTCACAATTCCCATACGGGTTACATGGAAAGAAGGTATAAATGCCTTAAAATTATGTGTCACTAAGTTACTATTATTTAAAAATGCATTTGCATTTTCAAAATTTGAGAAAGAAAGCGATAAACGGTTTCTTCCTATTCTTTTGAGGCTACCATTCACTATATTATTTATCTTATTAGTGTGTAAAAAGCGACCAAATGCAATAGGATGTAATGTAGTGTTATCATTAGGATGTGTTTCATTTTTTTGTACATGAACGACATAAGGTGCTATATCCTCGGCATTGTACAAAGTTCTGCTTAAAGTACTGGGTGGAGAAGCAGGTTTAACAGACTCGGTATTGTTTACAACTGGTATTGATACTTGATTTTGATTCTCATCTTCAATACATTGACAATCACTATCTTTAATTTTAGATTCAAGACCCTTGGTGTGCCTCCTTCGTTTTTTATTGCAATGTTTGCAAATGCGACGTTCACCACGTACTCGCTTACGTTTAGAACTTGCAACGCTAGAACCATCTGTGTCCATACTAGATTCACCCAATATATCAAAACTATTATTGAATGGAATAGTTATATTTGCAGACACCTGGGGGTTGTCCCCCCAGGGTCTATAGGTGGATCCATAATGTTAATATAGGTAATTTACTTACCAATATTTACAGCAACAAACACTATTACTACAAAATATACAATTAAATATACAATCTAATACACAATATATAAAAAAGACTAATCCTTATATAAATAAAAATAAAATTAATTTAAAGAAGATCAAAAAACACTCCCGCTTTTTTAAACGTTTCCCGCGCTTTTTTTCCGAGGTGACCGACATCTACTTTCTTATTTATTTTTAAGTTTTCGAGGTGAATGTATTCAAATGAAAATATCTACAGCCATTAGCAAAGATAACGAATTCGTTACTTACATTCAATGCGAATAAAATGTAAGAAAACTCATTATGTAAGTATTAAAATTCTACTTTAATGGTTTTAATTTTATATTTATGGTACAAACAAACACTACAAGCCTCTAAATTGGTTTAAAAATTTATGAATCAGCGTCACTGCACTTGTGTAAGAAGTGTTTAATATCGACTAAATAGACTCTAGAATCTTAAATTGATCTGTGATGTGGACTTGTCATTCCCATAGAGTAAATAGTACATTTTCTACGTCATTCTGAGATCTGTTCGCTTGCTTGTTTGATTTCATTCTCATCACTTTAATTTAATTTTTACTTTCATAATTGCAGTTCGTGCATTATTAAATATATAATAAAATGGATGATTTCGGCGATAACTTTGTACAGCCCGAAGTAGACCCAGCAGCAGAGTTCTTAGCTCGCGAGCAAAACCAATTAGCAGGTCTTGAAGATGAGTTGGAAACTAGTGCTCCGCCCCCAATAGTTTCATCCACTACTAATGGACTGGATGATTTTGTAGGTTTGTACGATTAGTAAATTATATTCTGAAGAATTTCTTTAAAAACGGTAAAAACATTCTTTAAAAACGGTAAAAACAATAAACCGATGCGTCATTAATCAATACCTGCATTATAGTAATATATAAGATCGTGATTATTTATTATTTAAACAGAAGTGCCCAGTGCTGCAGCATTCGATTCAAACGGTCTGTTGGAAGAAGAACCTACACCAACCCCAGTATTCAGGCAAGAAAGAGAAGAGCCAGAAAAAATCAGAATTTGGCGAGAGGAACAGAAAAAGAGATTAGAAGAGAAGGGTATGCGTTAATTAAAATTTGTACATAATTAATGTAATATGATATAGCCCTTATAAAATTTACAATGCCCACTTTAATGTTAATCTAACTTCAGAATATATATGAAACTACTTTTTTGGAAATGATGTAATATATTGTTCAATATACTTAAATAGAAACTTTATTTCTATCTCTTAATTATAATAGGATATCCAATCAAGTAATGATTGCATAACTGTTCCTTTATAAAGATGCTGAAGAAGAAAAGAAGAAGGAAGAAATGTTGAAGGTGGCAAAGAAAGAACTAGAAGATTGGTACAAGACACATGAAGAGCAGATAGCAAAGACAAAGGCAGCTAATAGGTAATATGAATTTTATATATTTTTTAATATATGTACATAGGCTTTTATACAACTGATTTGTAAAATATAAGTATTTATAAACCAATTTAAAATAGAGGCAGTTTTGACTTTATTATTTTGTATTTGTTTTCTATTCTGTACCTTTTTTATGATTATTTAAATAGTTAAGATTGATCTACTCATATATAGGTCACTACACTTAATTATGTCAAATTATTATTATGGGTCATGATACTTTTCACAATTTAAATTCTTTAATTGATAAATTATATGTATGCACTGTATCAATTTTTAAATATTAGTTTTTTTCCTGATATTTACTATCATGAGATACACTTTTAAACGGGTCCAATGTAAATGGGTATCATAGTTACAACACATACAAAATCACATATCGTCATAGTCGTAGAATTCTGACGGATCTGACGAAGATTACATATAAAGATCCGTCACTATTCTACGACTATGACGATATTACAGTTAAGTTGGAGGAGCAATAAAAATTTCAATTTGATGCCACACCAAAATCTTTATTCTAAGAACCAATATGAATTAAATTTCTAGTAGATTTAAGTGAAAATTATTTTAATTTCATCTATGATGGCCCAAAAAATGGTAATTTCACAAAATTGTCAAATTAAAATTAAATTAAAAGGTTTAGATAGGTTTAGAGAACTGGCAATTCAGAATCTAATCAATTGAGCAATATTTATTGTACTGATCTTCTAAAATACTGTCAATGATCTTTTTGTACATATATTTTGTATATTTCTTACATCCTCCAGTGTACAATATAAATTAATCTTTCTCTATTTTCTTTTCAAACTCTCAGGGAATCTGCTAAGTGAGTATTTAATAAAATGGTGTTTTTAAACTATGGTTGGTGAGGGATGTTGTGTTGATTTTCTATTGTGATTTTTTTTTTAAAAAACAAGAATATATAATTTTGTTCTGATAGGTGATGGGAATTACAATATACATATATCTTTATTTTATATTGTTCACATTACCAGTTTTTATTTCGTCAACTTCCCTTTCTGTCCCTTATCTAATATCTATTTAATATAATTTTTAAGTCTTCCAATCATCTATATTTCTGGTCATTTCAGCATTCACACTTTTTCTGACAATGTCATACCTCCATTCATATTCATACTTAATACTTTTCTCACTATTACCACGACCAAAGACAAAAATTGTCCTTGGTCCTCATATGGTTATACCAAGGCAAATGATTACTTCTTATTCCTATTGCTTGTTCTACTTTCAGAATACCAAATTTTTTCAACCCCAGTGCAAGCATTGTTCTCACATGGAACATAGCCATTTTCATCTATTCATTGGGATTTTCAATATCATTGCATTATTTATATGGTAAAAAATTTCATTTAACAAATTCAATATTTCATTGCTAACATCATTGACTATATAGGAATGCTGAGAGAGCCCTAGCTCGCGGTTCAGAGGGGAATGTCGAAGACGGCAACGAGTGGACCCGTGTGGCGGAACTGTGCGACTTCGGGCCTAGGCGAGGTCGCGACGTCGCGCGCCTACGCTCCATCGTCCTGCAACTGAAACAGTCTGGCGTCAGACCCAAACACCCCCCACGTACTACTAAAGTGTAAGTTTCCTACTATAGTTAACCTCCATAATGCAGCAATAGACACATTGCTTTTTGTAATGAGCTCCCGGTTTTGATTCTCAATCGGGGAAATTTAGGCTACTAACTTTTGTTGTACCCTCAATTTTGTTCCCTAGTTCAACCAAGGTTGCTTAATTAAAAAAAAACCTTATTACACCCTTTTTATGGTCAAATATATTTTAAAAAATTCAATAAAAGATCATTTGTTTATATTATATTTGTGTATTTTTCTTTTCAGAGCTTGAATGGAGAGTTGATGATGGTAATATTATAAATATCAGTCTTAGAGAAAATCACATAGAAAAATATATACTTATTGTGTACTCTCTAATAAAAATATAATTTATAAAATAATCTTATTATTATAATCTGCAATATTGGAATGTAACTGCTGTTTATTACATAAATATTGTTTTCTATTTTATTAAAGTTAAAAATATGGCTAACATTAAGACTAGCTGGAGTAAATTGTTTTTATTTTGATCATAGTATCTAATAAACATTCCAAAAAAGAATATTGAATGTGTATTTTTTATCTTTGGTTTATTATAATTGCAAATCCCTTGCTATATCAATATGTTTCCTTTTGTATATTTTTTCTGCAAGTTGTAGCAGTAAATACATTAAACTTATAAGTAAGATAAATGGCCAAACACCACTTGTTAAGTAACTTCGCAATTGATATCCTAATGGGTTGTTTTTATTTCGTGATATCTTATTATACACTATTTCAGTTCTCCTTGTCACATCCATCCAGTTGTACATTGTTCTGACCATATTGTTACATTTATATGGGCATAAGATTTTGCCCTCTCTTATATCTTCCATAGCATTTTCAATTCCTTCAATCAAACTGCTCACATTAGGTTCTGTCAAATAAATCATACTCTCTGGTAATACTTCAGGAATTCCCCCAACTTTAGTTGACACAACTTTCAAACCACAAGCAGCTGCTTCAACTATGGCCATGCAGTAAGCTTCCGTTAGAGACGTGTTCAAAAAAATATCCCCCTTTACAAGAACATCTCTAACTTCAGAATGTTTCAGACTTCCCAGTAATGTCACACTATCTTGCAATCCCATTTTCTCTCTCACTTCCTGTAAAAGCCACATTTTAGGTCCATCTCCCCCAATAATAAATCTTACTTTAGGATATTTTGGGCACATTTCTGCTATTATTGCTGCCATCAAATCTACACCTTTCCTGTACACTAATCTTGAAACAATAACTATGGTAATAAAATTAGGATCCCTTTGACTTGGGTCAGGTATAAAATTATATGCATCAACAGCATTAGGAATGACAGAAACTTTGTGATTCTTAACTTTCGCCCTCAATACTGTATTTTCTTTGCCAGTGTGTGAAACACATATGCAATGGTCACACTCACATAAACACATTTGCAGGTACTTGTTGGTTAGTACGGCAGATGTGTCAGCAAAACCAAACAGGCTATGGTCAGTGAATACTGTTTTTAAGCCCATTAATTTGCCTATTATTGATACTTCATGGCCCAAAACACTAAAAGCAGAGTGACCGTGAACTATTTCTATGCACTCTCGTATTAAAATGTATCGAATAAGAGCTATATTGCATATCATAGTAGGCAGGGCACATTGTGCATACATTACAAGTAGAGGTAAATGGTATACTTTTAGCCCACCAGTCAAATATCGGATACCACCTCTCTGACCATAGGAATGTGTGATGACGACGACTTTATGTCCTCGCTTCATAAGGCATTGTGATAAGTTATAAATGTGCTCTTCCACACCCCCAGTGTTTGGATAAAAGAAATCTGATGCCATGCATATAACGTGCCGCTTTTCTGGCGGTTCCTAAAAAAGATAAATGATGTATTTATTACGTCTCGATTTTTTAAATGAACTTAGTGAACGAATTTTATGATAATTTCATAAAATTCGTTCTTTAATCGAAATAAACGAGTAGACACTTGATTTTGTAGTCTGTTTTTACGAAAATATGTAAGTACTTAATTATGAAACTCACAGTTCTTGTAGGCATCTTTTTAAATTGCCCTAACTTTAAATATACAAAATACGTGATATCACTGATGTTAACATTAATGTAAGAAAGTAATAAAAGAATAAATTTAAAAAATAATTATAATAATAAAATGTATAAATTATCATCAAATATTACAATGAATAATCATAAGTCTAAGGATTGTAAGGATAATAACTTTTTTTTTTTTTTTTTAGTACGTTTGTTCCGTTTGTCAAATGTCAGTCTTCAAGAAGATAATTTGTCTGGAATGGATAATAACTCTGTCAAATGTCAATCTGACATTTTTTAATTCTTAGATGCAGCAGCTGTGCCACAGCCTGAGTAGTGGAGCAAGTGAAGAGGTGGCACTATGTTTATATTGACGAAATTAGATAATGAATCCACCTAGACAACGCAAAATAAATTAATATTCGCAAAATTGTTCGACTATACTTATTTTATATAGTGACACATGAGACTCGGTCTCTGCTTATATTCATAACTCCCGTAATATTTCTCTAAGGTCACTTCTAACAAAAAAACCATGTCTCAGAAAAATAATTTCAGTTCTTGGTAACTTTAATTCTATTTTTAATTTTTCTATTTTTATGATCCATATTGATATTTTGAGCAGAGGTATATCATAAATAGTTTTAGAACACTTTGTTTATTCATTTTATTGTATTAAACGGTGGTTGCATAGATTCATTTGCTAATTTTGTCAGTATAAAAATACTGATGTCTCCTAAAATACGTAAGTGATTACTTATTTTGTAGCATTGGTTGGTACACTGATAGATCCATAAATGTCAAAATAATTAAATAACCTAAAAATATTTTTCCATAAAGTAGTTGCAAATAATTAACAATGAATTTGTGTGTAACAACGAAATTTATAAGAGCCAATTTGGTTAATAGTTTGCGCCGTTTTTCTACAACTTCTGAAGTTATTGAACAAAATGATCAAGTGTTCTTAGACGATAGCGACGATGTGCAAGCTAGGGAGGCCGAGATTGAGAAAAAAAGAAATATCTCTCGGCTGTCTAGTGCTCACTATAACCTTGTAAATGGCCGTCGACCATACGAAACCCCTAAAAGTTTAGCACACTTGACTCTGAAATACAATAGAAAAGTATATGGAAAGTATGGAAGCGCTAGTGGCGTCAATCCAAGTAAGTTTGTTTTCAATAAACTTAAATTGCTTCAACTAACTAATCGGTGATTACCAAAAAGTAGGTAGCGTAAAAAACTATATACTTTGTACCTATTATAAAAGTACAAAATTGATTCCCTATCAAAATTGTATTAACATGCTCTCTTGTGTGTACTTTTTATAATAACACATTGTGATTTGTTAATCTTTGTCGGGTGCCCACGATACAGGTTCGCCTAGTGTGGGGCCCATTGTATTTTGTATTTGTAACTTTGTGTTTTTGTCAAATAATAATAAAAATAAAAAAAAATGAGGTTTGTTTCTCTAATTTACAGGTCTATGTTGGCCTACAAAGAATGAGATACAAGAAAAACTAGAATATGAATCCGTAGCCTTCCCGTACACAATCAAAGAGATGATAGAAACTGCCACACAAAAGAGAAAAGAAGAACAGTTGAAAATAGAACAGAGGGAGAAAGAATTAGCCATCAAGTATGAGAAGTTGGATCAGTGGAAGAAAGAGCTTAAAGATAAGTTAGCAAAGAAGGTTGCTGAAGCACAAGCAGCCAAGGTTAGTTGTTGTAATAAAAACTTTTTAATTTTTTTTTTTTTTTGTAGTAAAAAACGATCTGAAGATTCACCTGATTCTAAGTAAATTATGAAATATAGATTATGATTCTCATAATGTTGCCATTCCTTAGAATTAATGTGTACTTATAATAAATATTAACAATTAATTAACTATAACATCATATCTCAAACAAAAACAATTATGCAAGTACAGCATTATTTACAAACATATCAATGTGGTAATAAAAAGAATCATTTTTATTCAGAAAGTAATTTTAGCTAAGAAGAATGTGTAAACAAACTCAACTATTTTTTTTTTCAAACAAAAGTTGGTTTTATAATTATAAATTTGTGTCAATACTAACTACAAAACAGCACAAAATTTCTATTAAGTTATTAGTTAAATGTTTATTTTATTTGTTGTATTTATTATTTTAGAAATAAGGCATAAAAGCATAAACAAAACTATCTATCATTTAGCATATGGTCTAGGTTACTAGTGTTCATTATCTGTATTAAAATACCTATTTCTAAATTATATTCTATGTATGTATACCATAAATTTGTTATATCTTCTTCTTAATATTTCTTTGATGGTTTTCATACAAAAATTTATGTTTGGTATTTAACAGGAAAAGAAAGAGCGTCTTGTGGAAGAGGTTCGAAGGCACTTTGGATTTAAACTTGACCCTCGTGATGAGAGGTTCCAGGAAATGTTGGCCAAGAGGGAGAAAGAACAGAGGAAACTTGAGAAGCAAGCCCGTAAAGAAGCTAAAGATAAAATGTTGCTTGCAAAATTACAACAGAAAAATGCTGAAATACAAACAAATAAGTAGTAATTAATTGTATAATTTATATAATTGTTAGATAATATAGTGTATAAATAAAGATGTTAATACTTTTTACTTGTGTATTAAAAAACTAATTTTGGTATATGTCAAATCCAAAGTTCAATATCTCGAGTGATGTGCAGCTATCACAAACATTATTCATTCATTTACAAACAATAGAAAAACCAAACTGACTACCGTGAATTAATTAATTTAAATTAATATAACCGACTAGTTGGTTCAACATAATTTTATCAAAAATTTTATTTAGTGCGGGAAGAATGGAAATGGGCCTATAATTTACGGGATCACTTTTAATTCCATCTTTAAAAAGCGGTTTAATTTTATTAAATTTTTTTAGATTAGGAAACTTATCGTCATCTATACAATTATTAACCCTTCTTTGCATGATTTTTTTTATTGGTGAAATAAATCAAGGTGATATAATTCATGTTCAAAATTAAAGAAAAATGGTTAAAACAATAAATTTGACAGCTATGTTTTGTTTTTTGCAATGGAGATTAAAAAGGTATCCAGACACGATCAACGTAAAGTGAAATTGGTCTTTTATATAATTTTTGGGCATTCAATGTTATGATGGAAATTTCCACTATTATCAAAGAAGGGTTAAAAATAAAAGTAACACGTGTTGGGCATTTCAAAAACAAAGTCGTCCGTACAAACAATTTGTTTACTACATAAAGTTGTTTATAAATAAACATGTACAAAAGATCAGGAGCTATCGTCGTCGCTGGAGGAGTAGAGCACGTCGCGCGGGTTGACATCAGGCTGGCGCCGCGGCGAGCACACTAGCGTCGCCGACGAGTCGCTCACTGTGCTACTGCACGGGCTGCTCTTGTCTATGCAACTCTGTTAAAAAAGTTACGAATATTTGGCGGGAAATCATAATTTATAAAATTTTTAAACCCATCCTTTTTCTGTATTGCATTTTAACTGTGAATCGCTATATTAAAAATGTTTTAAATCAACTATAAATACAGTATTTAATGCAAATAATATTATGCGAATGAGTGTATTGATGTTTCAATTTTATAACGATTAATGAAGTAATCTTACTTTCTTTGACTTTATTTGGGCCATCATTTCTTCGATCACACTTCGTTCTTCAATATGAGAATTTTGTGTATCACCTATTTGCCTCTCAAACATTTCTGGTTTCTGAAAAAAACATTTGTATACAAGCTTTAAAAATATTAATATATATGTGAACAAAATTAGTTTGCTTAGAAGCAATAATAAGCAATAGTAATAGCAATATGCAATCGTAGTCGTAATCGTGTCCTGTTTTACTAAAATCAAACTGTATTAGGTATAAAATTATTGTACAATTAAATTTACTTAGGTCTAAATCCAAAAACACTGTTTTATTATAAAGGTCAAACTCTGAAGCAAATTTTTACCAAAGTATAGCTTTCTTTGTTTTTTGTACAAAAATATACCATTACCATCTACTGATGAATACGTACCATCTTTAGATTATCTACACCATGCTGCGAGTCGCCAAGTAAATGTGCACTCTTCGTTGATTTGTTCATCTTTACGTTCTCCAATATCTTCATGTGGGCGCTCTGTGCCTTCTTCGGCACGATGTTGATGCGGAGTTTACTTGCCAAGTCTTCCGTCGCTGTCACTTCTTTTTCCCCTGTCAGATCGGTCGTGTCTAGTTGCTCTTCTTCTGTTTCTTTTCTCTTTACTTCATGGAGGCATTGGCTGGGATCAGACACGTATATTTATTTATTTTCATATATTGAATGTTTTTTTATATAGTCAGACTATTTGTCAATTCTAAAACTAGGAACTAGCTCTAGCTCTATTGACACTTAAATACTAGCTGCCTATTATGCTTCTAGTCAAAGATACAATGTTGAACCTTCAAACAATACACCTATGACAAAAATAGATGACAGAATGTAATATGAATGAATTCCAGGTGTATTACATTACGATGTAAGAACGACTTGTTAAGATACGGTATGGGGCCAACGAGAGAGAAAACCTTTTTTATTAAAGAAAGTATCATTCTATTATTATAGTATAAAGTATTTACCAGAGGGAGACTTTGTACAAAAGTCGATTACTTGGGTACCTCTGTCCCATTCGTGTTTCAACCGTGAAGCAGCTGTGTTTCGGCTTGAAGGGTGGGATATGGCGTGAATTTACTGGGTACAGAGGAATAACACCTGAGTTCTCAGGAATGGCAACGAATAGGGAGGAGGTATCATGGGCGAAACAGTATACTCTGTTATGTCCATGGTACTGCTCATGTCTATAGGCGACAGTAACCACTTTCCATCAGGTGGGCCGTCAGCTTATTTGCCATTCTAAGTTGTATAAAAAAAATATTCTCTTGATACATGTGTAAAATATTAAACAGACAAACGAATCCAGCCCTTAAAAAAGGTTGTGGTCATAATCACCCGAAAATCGGTCAAGTGCGAGTCGAAGTTTGAACTCGTCCATGATTGATATAGCGCATTCCTACAAACGTGTGTACCCCGGCATAGAATGGGTCACCCCTTCTTTTCCCGTTGGTGTCATAAAAGGCGACTAAGAGAAGGCGAAGGATGGGCAGCAACATCCCTCTTAAAACATCTCTAAAAACCTAACTGCGGTTGCCTGAGGGAAAGGGATTGCTAGTAATGGAAACTGAGAATCCCATTACTAGCAATATACCCAACCAGGTCGACCTTCTCGCGGTTCTCCCTGGAAACTATCATGGTTAATTCCTGATGAATTCATCATGATGGGCTGACTGGCCTGTTTTCATTCTCATCTATCACCCTTCACTGGTGCTCCGCCAGCGTATCCCGTTAGCGCAGGCAGGGTTACCATACCATTTTCACTCATTAAAAAAACTGCTATTGCCTAGCTGCCTGTCAAGAGTGGCACCTACTACTACTAGTGGCAAAACTCCCCTTATGGGGCAGGCTTATGTCCAGCAGTGGACACTTAAAATGGCTGAAATAATAATAATAAAAAACAACCTACAAAGGAGATGTTTACAAAATATATGACGCCCTGACCAAGATTTTATATAGTGTTTGAACTAATTAATAGCACCGCAGCTGCCTCCGCCTTCCATTGACGTAATGTGACCGAATTTATTTAAATTGCCTTCACTAATAACTTCGTTTGAATTATGTCGTGATATCATCGATATTGCACACTGAAAAAATATATGATGCCCAGACCAAGATTTTGTACGGTGTATAATTCCACTTGGGCAAAATCTTGAAGCGAACACTAATCAATTATTAAATCTGTAGATATTAAAAATATACATTGGATACAAATATACAGTCTATCAACCTGAAAAAATCGTGAAAGTGTGATATTACGAGTCTATTAGGGTAGTGGGCATGACTGTCCTGCTCAAAACGAACTTGATATTCCAGGAATTATTTATTACACCAACCTATATTCCACAAAAATTAATAAGTAAAATATTTACTAACCCATGGCATTGATTATTCTTAATGAACATGTAAATATCTTTGAAAGCTTGTTGTATATACGAAAGGGTATTCTGGTCGATGGGCACTGAGCTGGTCGAGCCCGAACTGCTAGATATACCCCCGGACCTGGAACTCGCTTCGAATGATTGCTCTGATCCTGCAGAAATACGACTCATTATTTTCGACATATGAAAATTTAAAACAATTTCGGACACTCGATTACGTGCTACAATCCAACAACACCAAAATATACCTAAATATGACATTTGCTTCAGATAGACATTTTTTACCCGATATAAGGCAAATCAGTTACATTGTATGTTTTTCATTTATAAAAACCGCTTGGAATTCTTACTTTCCGCTAAGACTTCCTCGTTTGACACTGGAAACTTACTATTATTATAGGGATTTCTGTGAATTCTTATTTTAAGATTTTTCTACACAATTACTTTAGCACTATTATTTATACTGTGATATAATTTAAGTAAGTTAGTAATTTAAATTTTAGGTATTAAACAGTCGTTTGCCAGATTTTGTTGATCAAAAAATATAGTCAAAGCTTTTTACTATATTTAGTAAAGTTGGCTATGCAACAATTCGATTTTGCAATATATACCAGAAGAGGTAGCACCGTTTGCCCACAGCCGTATCTGTTGCTGTTTCAACTGCTTCATTTGGTCTACCAGCTGCAAATTCAGCTCCTCCAACTGCTGCCGATGCGACATTTCCTCCTGAAGTTGTTCTTCCAACACTTCCATGTAGTCTCTAGTGCAGGTAGGTAATTAGTATCCAATTTTAAGAGGTTTCCAAAAAAAAAGGAGCTACTCAGTTCGTCTGAATATTATTGTGACTATGTAACACGATTATATCGCCAATTCCTTTTGCTATAGATAAGGTTTGCTCCCGTATTAGTCCAATTTTAATTTTATAACAATTGAAACTGCCATTTTTTTTATTTATTTAAATTTTAATGCACATTGAAACTATGTACATATGGCGAACTTAACACCAAACGGTGCTCTCTACCAGTCATTGGGCAAACCGAGAAATAAGTAGGTGGTGCATTCTTGAATTAAGGAGCTTTTATCTTTGTGGAGCAATAAAAGTTCTCGTTACGAAGAAAAATGTTTATGTTTCAAATCGCTTTTGTGCGGAATTAGTTACCTTTCTTTCTTAACGCTGCTTGATTTGTTCGTATATTTAACGGATGTATTTTTAGATATGGACGGTATCCTATCCTTCATACCATTCCTGTACAGGTAAAAGATATAAGTCAGTTTCATGGTGCTATATATTTATTTATGTTTTAAATATATTATGCCCCTTACTTGCATACGAAAGTCTTTACCGTTCTGCCATCGCTTGAAATCCCACTAACATTACCAAGCCACGAGTACTGCAATATGCCATAACTTTTATTAGTAACATTGCTTTTCATATCAGTATTAGGTATTAAAAATATTATTTAAATAATTTTTAATAATAAATTTCATAATATTACGCCAACTAACTGCTCCAAAACTAAATCCTGTTTCGTGATATATCCAAAACTTAAATCAGACTTTCCCTCATTTGGGGGCACAACTCGGGACCGAGCTAATATAAAACAGTTTTTTTTTTATACAACAAAAGTGGCATAAAAAGTGTCACTAGCATACAGCCGATGTCATGGTAAACGTACTTTGCCATAACTTACGAGTATTCCTCTAATCATTCGTTCTGAACTTAGAAAAAAGTAACCACAATGTAAAATAACCGCATTACCAACTCTTTATTACAATAAATCTGCGATACCAACCTGCCCACTCAGTCCCCTCTCGTTTTGCCTTAATGCTGATCTCACTTTTGACAGCGATTCGTTTGATATATCAGCATTATGTCTTAAGTCCAAAACGACGAGTGTCGTATTAGATCGCATCATTGCCAGCGCATCTATGGCTGACTGCTCTCGGAGACCACAGTTTTGTACGTCCAATGCTAAGGTAAGTACAATGTATCAAAATCAGTTTTTCCTTATAAAAAATTGGATATGTTAGGAAATACCGATGTGTCTTTTAAGATTTTCATAAAAACTATTGTCATAATGATCATATCAGCCGTTCCATCGTTCGTCTCAATAAGAGGAATTTTGCTACAGGCGGGTTGGCAATTGTAGTTCTTTAATCTTTTAGTGATATCATAGAAATAATATTTTATTCGAAGAGCTTTTATACCAGAGGGAGACTTTGTACAAAAGTCAATTGCTTGGGTACCTCTGACCCATTCGTGTTTCTACCGTAAAGCAGTTGTGTTTGCATGGCTGTGTTTCGGTTTGAAAGGTGGGATATGGCGTGAATTTACTGGGTACGGAGGAATAACACCTGTGTCCTCAGGAATGGAAACGCATGGGGGGTATTATGGGCGAAACAGTATACTCTGTTATGGCCATGGTACTGCTCATGTCTATAGGCGACGGTTACCACTTTTCATCAGATGGGCCGTCAGCTTGTTTGCCATTCTAAGTTGTATAAAAAAAAGCTTTACATTTTAAACAAGAACATTATCTAAAAAGCTCCACCCTATCAATCAGTATAGACAAGCAGTCTCGAATTTTCATAACATTTTCGGGATATGTTGGAGGCATCGGACTGGTTGTTTTCATTATACTTATAGCATACTCTTATTTAGTATACGAGTACTCATATATGCAAAGTTTATATCGAAACTCAAAAAAAATCCATCTAATAACGATAGCACAATTGTATGCAATATGTTGATAGTCTATGATATACACCTTTGATCCACAAGTCATCAGCTAGCACATCAAATAGCCTACTGACTCCCACGTCACCGAGCTGACAGTTACCGCAGAGAGTGATCCGACGAAGGCCCGCCATCGCATCCAATTCGGGAAGTCGATAGCGTAGCGTGTGCGCCCAGTTCTCACTATAACGGTGAATCTTTTGATACTGAAAATATTTGTCGATTGTTTTTTTTTATATTATTTTTTTCTTAAAGTAATAGCTAATACTTACTGGTACCTGGTATCTGGTTTATTATAACAGCTATTATTGTACCATTGGGCAAAGATCTTTATTTCTGCCAATAAAAGAAAGATAATAGCAGACTATTACCTTGATTTCATTTTGAGTTTTCTATATATAGGTGCTTTTTACTTTGTTCCTTAGATATGATACATTGAGGTTGAAAAAGAGTGGCGGCATTAAGAGGAACAGAGTGATCCTTAACATTTTTACTTAAAAATACTGAAAATTCTGTTAGTTAACTAAAGTACTAACTAAGTAAACTAACTAAATAAAAAACATTAATGCTTTTTATTTTCACCTTGGTGTGAACTGTGATTAAAAGGAATAATGACTTGGCTGAAGGTCCGAGATCTATTACGAGAATAACTTTGTACCCAAACACACGCGCTCGCAATTCTCACAAGTTTTTCTAGAAATATCACTTAAAAACTTAAAAGCATTTGTGACACCAACAAATACCTAGTCCAACGAGATGGAATTCGAATTGGAATCACCGGAAAATTAAATAAACACATTACCTTAATTAAATCAGCTATATAACCGGTCCCGAGTGCAGTCAGTTCACACCCACTGAGATCCAGAGTCAATATATTTGGGAGACACCTGACAGCTTTGCAGACGGCGAGACAACCCGCATCGCCGATCAGGCATCGAGGTAGATACAGATGTTGTAGAGAGTTGTTAGCTAGTAATGCCTGTAGTAATGCTGGTAGTTAACTTCACCTCATACAATAGAATTTTAACATTCAAGTTCCTTTGAAAGGCCAAAGAAAACAATCCGGTGTATTCAAAGAGTTATAAATTAGGAAGGATGTTTTTGGAAACAAATATTTTGAAACTTCGATCAACTTCCCTTCATACCTACGCAGTGGCATAACTATACCATAAAGATATGGCTTTTAAGATGCAAAAAAGATGTATAAGATCCATGTTTGGATTGAATGTCACAGGGCCTGCGGCAAATTTCTTTTGATGGGGCCCTATCGGTAAAAAACTTTTCAAATTAAATAAAGTATTCAGGTATAAAGTAAAAAAAAAATTTAGATATATAATCTTCACAAAATATTAATATGTTTTGTAAGGCTGAGCTCGCGGCCTCTTCACATGTTTGCAAATAAATTTATCTTTATCTTTATCTTTATCTTTATTCAGGGGCCCTTTTGGGTCGGGGGCCCGTTGCATTTTGCCAGCCCTGCCACTACTTTGTTACGCCACTGTACCGACGGTATATGAAGGAAAGCAAGAAGAAGAAGTTCGCATATTCTCAAATATTATTCAAAATCATTTTACACTACGCCAGTGTAGGTTTTATTTAAAGCCTCTGTCGTGAAGCTCAACCTATTTTATGTATTGCATAAGAAAGTTTAACGATCTTTATCCGTTACAAAAGCACTAGTCTCCAAGTCGAGAGTGATAATACATGGATGTGCATATGGTGTTTGCCAAGTCTATAGGTAACAGTTACCATTATTCATCAGTCGGACCGTATGTTAAACATTCTTATGACCCATAATAACCACCGTCTTCCAATGTCAACACGTATATACTCATACGAGTAACAATATTCCCGGTAGTATAAAAATAACTATCAAATATTTTACCTCGCACAGTGGGTTTAAGTACGGAATTTTCAATGGGAGGCCCTCCAACAACAGTACAGACAGCAGTGTGGTGTTTGACAACAACTGTGAGGTCGCTTCCATGAGGTTGGACAGCATAAAGTTTGTCAGAATCACCGCGCGCTTATTCACCGTTTTCGCCAACCTTTCGCAGTCTATATGTTCCAGTACTGTTGAAATATTCTACTTCAATATTTTGCTTTCTATAAAATATAGAAGGATAATAGAAGGTAAGATAGAAGGAAGGAGGGGAAGAGGGAGACCGAGACATAGTTACATCAGGCAGATCAAGAAGGAGTTGGTGTCGTGTCGTATCAAGAGGTGAAGAGATTCGCTGGAAATCGTAGTGAGTGGCAAGAGCTTCACCTACAAGAGCGCAGCTCTTAAATAGGATAGATAGATAGATAAAATATATAAAGTGCTTAAACTAGACTTGGAAATCGGTCAGGTTTAACTTTGAACCATCATAATTCTAAGATGTGGGTATCGGGCCCACTTCTTTGTCATATCAGCCGTTAACTGTCTGTCGCTGAACATAAGCCTTCCCCATTAGGAGAGTTTTCCAATTGCCTCGCCTGGCGAGCGAGTTGCAGTTATGCTTTGATGATACTTTAAGAAGAACTCTACCGCCCATTTCTCGACTATTAAATTCCTTTAGTTGCCTTTTACGACACCCATGAGAAAGAAAAGAGCCCATTCTATGCTGGGACTGCATGGCAACACTGGTACAATATCCAAATAGTTTTTAACATAGATATTCCTATAGTTCGTGACATATATTTATATCGTTTAGAAAAAAATATATGTATACCTATAATTTACTTTTGTGGCCTGCTACCCCCACACACATACATAGACACATAAAAGGAAACATTACCTTTTCTTCCGCTATTATTTTATACAGTAAAATTTTATTACAAATTAAATATTGTTGATGTTGCCATATCATCAAAGAAACCATACACCGCTAAAGTTACCGATGAAAGATTGTTTTCAATATCAAAGCAGCCTTATTTTATATAAGTTGTTCAAAGTATAGCACAAATAGGTTCATTCATTTAATAATATTTGAATAGTAGTTTAAGTTTTAAATAGAAAAGTTTTCTAATGCTATTCTCACCTGTTTTAACCTGCTGTCGACATCTAATTGAAACAGAATGCAAGCTCAAATCGCAACTTAGTGCATTCAAGATCGGCGGCCAATCAACATACTTGATCCTATCCACACAAAAGTCTAACACCTTTCCATTACCAGATGGGATGACATTGTTCAAGGGAGTTAGGTTTTGCAATTTGCAACACTTCAAATAGCATTGATGGAATATACGACTGGTTTTCGGTTCGATTCCTTTGCCAACCATCTTAACATGAAAAACAAACAAATCGAAAAACTATTTGGTAACGTTGAATCGCGAGAAAACGTCGGTAAGTACGCTTTAGTTAGCGAAAAAAAATTGTCTATAAATGTGATTTTTGATGATATAAAGCTCTAAAATACAGTGACAGATGGTTTCAAATTTGGAATCTGTTTGACATTGACGTTGTCTTTTTTTTTTTTAATATATTAAGCCACCAAAACTATAGAGGTGCTTTATCGTACTAGCGTTTATCCGCAAGTTCGATCGCAAGTCTACACAACCTACTCCATCGTTTATAGTACGTATATAACAAATTTCATGGTGACCGATTAAGATGCTACAAGGAACAAATATATGAACTTACTTTTACATTTATAATATTAGTGAGGATTTTTATTATATTATTTCTATTATTTTCGGGTGACTTTGTACAAAGTTGTTTGCTTTTGCACCTCTGTCCCATTCGTGTTTCTATCGTGAAGCAGTTTTCTTTTTTTTTTATGCGTGAAAATGGCATGCTTACCCCGCCTGCGCTATCGGTATACACTATCGGGGTACCAGTGAGCGGTGATAGGTGAGGATGAAAAGGCAGGTCAGTTAGTTGTGACGGTCAGTTAGCCCATTGTGACGAAATCAATGATAAATTGGTCACGATAGTTTCCAGGGGGAATCGCGTGGATTCCCGCGATCCCCCCCCCCCCCATCGTGAAGCAGTTGTATTTTGGTTTGAAGGGTGGGATATGACAGTGAATTTACAGGGTACACAGTACAAGATTAATACATAATTAGTGTAAAATATTGCTGTTAATAGGACCAAGCACGTCGGTACTGTAAGACTGTTGTAGGTGCACCATCGAAATAAAGCTTACAGAATCATGCATTTCAAAATATTTTCAAGCGTATCGTGGCTTGTTGGTTGACATATAAGTAAACTGCCTTATTCAAACCAAATATAATACTACATATTATTTCTGGAATGATAGTGAAAATAAAAGAAGTTATAATATCGAAAAGTTTATTTAAATATTTTGTGACATTCGTGTCGGATACAAATTAGTTTTAGTGTGATTGGATCACCGTGTTGTAAAGTCAAATAATTGTAAAATTAATATTCTAAATGTAGTGTTATAAAATCAATTTGGCAAGACAGACACATGTTTTAAATTTTGGTATGTATACAAAACATTAAAAAAAAATATTTAAAGCCATATATTTACAAATCACAAAGGACCTGAGTATATATGTGCAGGTATATATAAGTTGGAATGAAGGTTCAATTTTACCAACAAAATATTATTAATTTAAAATAGAAATTTGTATTTGGAATAAAGTGTAATGCTCATGACTTATTCACATGGGATTATATTTTTTTTTCTCGATCCAATCAATCGATACAATATAAATTAAACATAGTCTATGCATTAAATATTACGATGTAAATAACCAACAAACAATACTAATATCCCTTCACAACATGGTAAAATAATTATAATGTAAACAATAAGGTAACTCAAGGGTAACAAATATTAAAACTAGGAAATAAATAGAAATATTCTATATATCGTAAATTAAGAAGACTTCCATATTAAAAATGATATGCCATACACACAATGTTGTATTTAAGTATTTGTACATAAAAACATTAAATAAAAAGAAATACAAATACTATAAAACATACATAGTAGGCGATTTTATGGCAAGAACAATATGAATAGAGAATAGAAGATGGAAAAATGTTGGCAACACTGGAAATAAGAGTAATAACATTATTTAAAGCATGAAAAGTATTAGACCTCTGCTCTTTCGTATGTTAAATAAAAAAAAAAGTTTGCAATAATTACTACTATTGCATACTTTTTTTTTAATATCATATTGATTTATCCACTACGGGAAAGGCAAAAGAACTAGGCCATACAGCCTGATATTCAGTAAAGGCCGCAATAATAGAAGTCTTCGTAAAGTCTAAAAAAAAAAAACAAGAACTTTCTAAGTACGTCTCAAGTACTTAAAATATTTATTATTAATTTATCTTTGGATTGGAAAAAGCGCGGGATTGGTTTATTATATTATTTGATATATAATAACAAACAACATAAGTACAGTAACAAAAATATTTCTATTTATCTATAAACAATAAGATTAATCTGTTCGTAGATGAATTTCCTTATAAATAATAATTAGCTATCTATATTGTGATATCACATAGTTAAAAAATAAAGTACATTTTACCCCTTACTTATAAACGATAAATAAGTACATCCGATCGTAAATTACCCCTCATACAAGAAAACCCATATCTTTAAAATTATTTCTATTCATAAAACGTCAAACCTCTCATCTACTTTTCGCTATTGAACTGTTTTGTCTCTTTCTTTTAAGTTAAATTCCCAATTTGAAAGAAAGTGACAAAACAGTGTAATAGATAAAATAGATTCGTAAAAAGTTCTAGTCCTTATGAATAGGGGGGTAAGAATTTAGTTCAAAAGAAAAGACAGAAATTACGTACAATTATAATTAGACGTTTGACAATTTTAAGAATAAGGGGATTTACCCTCTTATTTATAAAACCTCCTACAAACCAACCTAAACTATTAGAGGATTTTATAACTTTCAAATTAAGCGCAAAAGAAAAAGACAAAGCGTTTCCATAGATAAAATAGATTTATAAATAAGGGGGTAATGTTTAGACCGTGTACCATGATTTTTATAAGTAAGGGATTTTTCATATCAAGTTTATAATAATATACCATGAGCCTTACTTCACTATCACTTTATAATCCTTGTAATTTATTTTCTTAGGTGATCAATGAAGAGGTATTTATTTTTGGCCGATTGCGCCAGAGCTATTATACTATAATATTATCAAACGTATGTGCGTACTGGGCAAATATGAGTGCTTTTGAGTTTTTAAAATTTTTGTTAAAATATGTATTAAATTATGATGTAAAATTAGACTTTAGACCTTTTAGTTAAAGGATTATGTTAGACATATTTTTGAATTAATAATATAAATATGTCTGCCATTTCTGATATTTCTTTTTTGTTTTTAAAGTCAAAAGGCGCAATCGTTTTTTTTTTATTGTTCAAAACCTATGCCTATTCATGTAATAATTCATTAAAATACCTTGTTTTGGACACCGGTTAAGAGTACTTAAATTAATTGCATTGTTTAGTAGAAAAAAATTACAAACCTAAGAAAATAAAAACCTTTAAAAAAAAAAACTTTTTGTTTATGGCATTTTTTAGTCTGGATTTTCACATCATCATTTATTGTCTGTACGATTAATCATATAATTATACTCAATAGATCAGTGGAGAGCGTTATTATCCGTTGTTTTATTTAGTTTTAAAATAATACAATAGTTAAGCAACGGTATAAAACACTCGTCTGACGAGATTTTAGGTGCCTTAAAAATAATTATTAAAAATAATCAATCTTACGCCAACTTCCTTCAATTTAAGTATTTTACTGGTCCTTCGGTTTATTTATGATTGGGATAATATTTTTTTGTAGACATCTTCAATTAGTACATAATTTTTCTTTCCGTTAATAGATCTATTCAATAAAAGTGATGCCATCTGCAAACACTTTTTCCGTTACATCTGTTAGTAGAGCAAATTTGTTCGGCTAAAGTGATATCATGTTTGATCAGTAAGACACTTTTTCCGTTAACTCTATTAGAGATACAGACTAGTAAAGTAAAAGTGATATTATTCTTAATTAGGATCACACTTTTGTTATATTCATTACTAGTACAAAGTTGTTTAACTAATATGATGTAATCTTTAACAAGTAAGACACTTTTCCGTTACATCTATCAGTATTCCAAACTTGTTCAGCAAAAGTGATCTTATTTTTAATTACTAAAATATCGTTACACCTATCAGTAGCTACAATGACGTCACATTTAACTTGTTATTTATTTATTTATTTTTCGTGATACATCTATCTAAAAGCTGTTTAGTAGAAATAAGAAATAAGCAAGATTTTGTTAGTATCACAAAGTTGTTCAAAAGAAACGCCGTCACTTTTACATGTAAAAGTTGAATTGATTGATTATTCGAAATATCTATTCTCCAACTAACGACTGACAATAATCACAACTATCAAATTGATTTAATCATCAGCCTAAAGTTTTAGCACCAAAATCCCCTTTGTTTGAACATTTGCCATATTTTACCATTTAACGTCGCTGACATCATCGAGGGGTGTGAAAAGATCCCTTCTAAGCCATCACCGACGCTCTGGCGCTGCAGACAATTGCTACGGTAACCGCTAACCTTCAGGCGGTCCGTTTGCTTGTGATGTAGTCTTATACTGTATTTTCTTCTTAACATTGGGTCACTCCGGGAATGTAATTCGGATATTATTAATCAGCGTATGTGATAGTGGTAATCTGTTGGTGATACCTCTGATCTGATTCGGGCTGTTCGCCGTCGCTCTCGACGCTGCTCGGCGAATGGCGGCCGGTCCACTCACTTTCCGGATCAGAGAAGATGTTCCTGTCGTCGAGTTCGTCATCGTCGTCCAAGTTTAAGTCATCTGTGATGTAAATTATAAATTAAGTATTTGCTAAAGGTTATAATAGTCCTTTTTATATTAAAAAAATATTTTTTTTATTATTTCAAAGGGTATAGGGGCGAAGCTTCTTACTATGAGAAACCAAACATTTAACATTAGATTTCATCATAGAGTATTTTCATCATCATTTCAGCTTTTAATTGTCTACTGGTGAACATAAGGGGAGTTGTGGCAGTAGCCGCCACGCTTGGCAACTGCAGTTAGGCTTTTTTTTTAATGGGTGACAATGGAATGGTAACCCCGCCTGCGCTATTGGTATAAACTGCCGGGGCACCAATGAGGGATGATTAGTAAGGATGAAAAGGTATGTCAGTTAGCCCATCGCGACGAATTTAGTCACAATGGTTTCCAGGGGGAACCACGCGCGGATAGGGTATATTGATAGCAATGGGGGCTAACCTCTCCATTACTAACAATTCCTTCCCCCCCAAATTGTAGTTAGGCTTTTAGAGATATTTTCAAAGGGGCACTGCTCTCTATCATTAAGTTCCCTTAGTCGTCTCTAACGATACTCACGGAAAAAAGGGGAGGCCTACTCTATGCCGGGACTACACTTGTAACAGATGATATTTGCCTTTGGTTATTTATTTTATCGGTGGTGGCTCACCATTGTCGGCCATGAGCTCCGCGGACCAGTCGTTGTCGAACTCGAGCTGCTTGTTGACGGCGCGCTCCGTTGGCGATTGCACCGCGTCCGTGTCTGCCTCCGTCACGTCGTATATTTCCGTCATTTTCATCTGGAAAAGACAAAATAAATTATAAATAAGAAGACAGCTGCTGGACCGATACGGCTGGTATTTTTTTCAAATATACATTGAGCTCCGGGTAAGGTTTTTATAATGAAAAAAAAAAATGTAAAAATTGCCTAAAAAATTGTGTCTCATAGAAACAGTTTTGCGCGTTAACGGACTGTCACAGTTCGATAGATTTTGACAGAACGCCATCTGTCAGATCGGCTAGTTATCAAATATTAAAACGTCTACATATAATAAGTGAAATCGATATTATTAATGATATTTAAAGGATAATAAAGAAAATTTGCTCTACCGACAAAACAAAATATCTTTCCTAGAAACATAGCTGAAAAAATGACAAAAAAATGCCGTATAGCAGATTAAACACTCTATTAAAAAGATGCAAAAGATTTTGCTTTAAAAAATTATACACTATGCATTGATAAATGCATTACATGAAATCGATTTGGCATTTTTTTTTAGCAACTGAAATGTATTGTATATTTTTTTACTGTTGAAGAATCCCGCGATTGATCACGATCCCACTTGATGGAAGGCGACTATATCGTCTAAGACTGAACTCGTGAGCCAACGAATAACCTATTGTATATTTTTTTACTGTTGAAGAGTTACGCGATCACGATCTCACCTGATGGAAAGCGACAATGTTGTCTAAGACTCACGAGTCCACGAATAACCTATTCATATTTGCCTTAAGTTTGGTATATCTTACATGTCATTGACTAACGAATGTCTATATAAATACAACGAATTCACGAGATATTTTTACAGGAACCGATAATACGGTAAACATTGAGGAAACTAGAAAAAATAAATAATATATAAATATATGACATGTTTATTCCTTTGAGAGATAAGTGTGTTACTAGAAATAGATTATTAGAATAGCCACTTCTATAAACATTTTCTTATCTTTCTAATGCTTAATACGTATTCTTATATGTTAATATTTAACAAGTGTAAATTTGTTTTTAAAAAATATACAGTACAAATAAACAAAGCTAAATAAACCTAACCAACGTTGACGGGGGGGAAGGGATTGTTAGTAATGCGGATTATCAGTCCCATTGCTAATAATATGCCCTAACAGGTCCTCCCCGTGGTCTCCCCTGGAAACCATCGTGCTGAATTCCAAGTATATTCATCACGATAGGCTAACTGACCTGCCTTTTCATCCTCACCAATCATCCCTTACTGGTGCCCCGCCAGCGTATACCGTTAGCGCAGGCGGGGTTTACCATACCATTATCATCCATCAAAAAAAAAAAACCAACGTTGACGTATCAATGCACAAATCTATAATACAAGTACTTATTCGTTTGGCACCAGAAATACTAGCGTGGAAAGAAAAGTTCGTCAGGATGTATATATGGACGATTGATTGTTTTTAATGGGTGATAATGGAATGGTAACCCCACCCGCGCTATCGGTATACACCGGCGGGGCACCAGTGAAGGATGATAGGTGAGGATGAAGCAGGTCAGTTAGTCCATCGTGACGAATTCAATAAGAATTGTTCACGATGGTTTCCAGGGGGAACCACGTGGAGGTCGACCTAATAGGGCATATTGTTAACAATCAAATAATAATAGTCAAAGAAGTTTGACAGCCCTATTGTTAGCAATTTTTCTATTATTATAGTATAAAGTATTTACCAGAGGGAGACTTTGTACAAAAGTCGATTACTTGGGCACCTCTGTTCCATTCGTGTTTCTGCCGTGAAGCAGTTGTGTTTGCATGGCTGTGTTTGGGTTTGAAGGGTTGGATATGGCAGTGAATTTACAGGGTACAGAAACATAACACCTTACTCTTCAGGATAGGCAATGCATGGGAGATATCATAGGCGAAACAGTATACTCTGTTATGACCGTGGTACTGCTCATATCTATAGGCGACGGTTATCACTTTCCATCAGGTGGGCCGTCAGCTTGTTTGCCATTCTAAGTTGTATAAAAAAAATCATTCTAAGCGAACACAAGGACAATATAGTCCATGAATATGATCAATCGAAAAGATTGTGAATATTCTAGTCTCAACTGTTATTCGCACTACGCCGTTACTAATCAAGGTGTTATTAAATATTGACAAACTTTAAAAGAAATAATCTATCTAGGAAAACAAATAGACAAAGTAGCTCAATCACAACAAACGTTGACGTAACTATGAGAACATAAATCTATCTATAGTTATGACAGAATAGAATTGTGCAAATGTCCGATATGGGTTGGACGCGTGTAAATAGATGCATCTGTTATCGAGTCTTGAATAATGCACATTTAATTACTGTACACTCGTATCTCACCCACCGAGCTATCGCAATAAACAAAAGCACCGCTATCATATTTACAAGGAATAAATAATATACCAGTACATACGCATATTGTTAAGATCGCATTACTCATACTTAATACAGTGCAGTGCAGTTGATGATCTAAACGCGACATTGTCACGTTCCGTGGCACTGTTAACACTTGACGCACTTGATGATCTAGAGGTGAAAGTGCCTTTTACTATGTACTCTAACCTTTGCGCAGAGACAATAAATATTTGTGAAATAATTTTAGATTTTGTTTAGCAAAAGGTTACACTTCAAACATAATAAAATTAATTAATACAGTACAGTGCAGTGCAGTTGATGATCTAAACGCGACATTGTCACGTTCCGTGGCACTGTTAACACTTGACGCACTTGATGATCTAGAGGTGAAAGTGCCTCTTACTATGTACTCTAACCTTTGCGCAGAGACAATAAATATTTGTGAAATAATTTTAGATTATATTTAGCAAAAGGTTACATTTCAAACATGACAAAATTAATTAATACAGTACAGTGATGCAGTTGATGATCTAAAAATTGTCACGTTCTAGATTGTTAATATAAAAGATGATCTAAATTGAAAACCTTTACTATGTTTCTAACCTTTGCGCAGAGACAATAAATATTTGTGAAGTAATTTTAGATTTGATTTAGCAATCAGTTACACTTTAATCATGATAAAATTAACGTGAAATTGTCACGATGTACTTTATAAAAATTATTCAATATATTGTGTAATATAAAAGACACTACACTGAAAACCTTTTATGATTAAAAAAAAATCATTACATTCTTTTGAAAAGGCATCTGGAATAATTAGAGATATTTCATAATGTTACTAAAAAAGTCTGATAGCGAAAAAGAGATAAAGCCGCCTTTTGTATCACTAACAAATAGACCTTAGATTATATAAGATCGAGCCTAAAAAACGGATCAAATTTTTGTCAGCTAATTGTCATATTAGCATACCCGTTTTTTATCAATGTTCTATATACTTACGCATAAAATGTATCTTAACATATTATTTAATAAATAAACTAAGTATTTACGCATTAAATAGATGCAAAAATTATAACACAAAATAAATATAGAAGTTATGAAGGAATTATAACTATTTATCACACATAATTATATGAAAAAGTTAACCCGTTTTTCTCGAAGCATGACTGACAATTCTATCATTTGAAATCGTTTATAGCCAGTCGATTAGATTCTGATTAGTCATACAAAACGTTACCACGTGTAAAGGACATGAAGTAGATATCCAGATAAACAAAAATAGATTAAAATTATAAGAGACACGATAAAGACATAAACACCGATAGAGGCATTGTTAATATTGAATTAAGTATGTTATTATCTTTATATAAGAGGGATTTGCCCATGGATAGTAATGCTTTTATCAGATAAGCCTAAACACATCATCGCGATCAAAGGTACAGTCGAGAAACATTTTCAATAATAAGTGCTCATGTACAGTTCCAGATTCATCCGATCAGATCCAGGGCACCTCTGTTCCATTCATGTTTCTACCTTGAAGCAGTTGTATTTGCATAGCTATGTTTCGGTTTAAAAGGTGGAATATGGCAGTGAATTTACAGGGTACAGAGGAATAACACGTGAGTCTTTAGGAATGGTAATTCATAGGGGTATTATGTTCATGGTACTGCTCATGTCTATAGGCGACGGTTACCACTTTCCATCAGGTGGGCCGTCAGATTGTTTGCGATTCTAAGTTGCATAAAAAAAAAGTATAATTAGGTAGGAAAAAATAGACAGCAGACATCCTTTAATGAATTGTTCGTTCGAAAACGAGAGCCTTGATGTTAAAATAACGAAGGATTACTGTCTAATGAAGCGTAAACGAAGGATATTTTCTCGACGGATAAATTATCTCCTTCTGCAGGTTTCCAATTTCGATAAATATGTATAAAACAATATGGGTATGAGAGATAACAATGGGTAGTGTTCCTTAATTCTCAGTAAGAGGAAAATTATCGGCTTCACAGAGTATTCTTTGCTGTACATGCATAAAGGGGATAGTTGCCACTCTCTATCAGGTGAACCACCATCATCTTCCTATCATAATCCCTATTTATTTGGGGTTGGTGTAATATGTTTTTTATCCATATTACAAAAAGATTCAGCTTATAGTTTTACGACAAGCCGCCTGCCTGACGTCAACCCTCTTTGGGAATGTATCAGGTGAACTGTGAGTTGTTATTAAAAATAATAAATATTGTAGAAAAAAAAAAACACTCAATTTGTGGCAAAACTAGTTTTTTCATTCAAAAACCAAACTAATCAACGGATTTTATTTTATTCTTAAAGTATTGTAAAGTAAAAACTACCGGTTCAACTTACGTGTAATAATTACATCGAGAAAACTCACTAGTTTCGGGATCAATTCGTGATCCTTAATCATGAGTGGCTGTGATACGACTGCGACCATGAATTGAATCTTATTTTGATGAAATTTCTATTCGATCAATCGGAAAGTATATTCTTTCAATTAAAAAAATAATTTTCCAAATCGATTAATAAATGACAGGAGATCTGAAGTAACAAATCTCCTCCTTGTAAATGTAAATTGGACTCTATTTTCCGCGCTTAGCCTCTCATTTGGGCTGTTGTGCGTACAAGAATCTCCACCTATTTTGAAGACCATTGAAAAGTAACCAATTATTTGCTGAAACGACGCGAACTACGAGAGACGTTTAAAATATCGTTCCCGATAACATTGAGAGCCACACGACGGTGCGTGTGTGGGAGTGATCACACGATGCGTGCGTAAGCACTTGTTTTGCGATTGGCGGCAGATAGTGAGGGTCAAGTCAAGTGTGGTATGCACTCGCGACATAGTCGGCTACAACTGTCTTATTGATGGTAACAATAGTGCAGGGTGCAAGTTATTTATTGTAATCTAAAACATTACAACGAGGACAAACGATATTATAATATTTATGGCAATTTGAATAGCTGTGAAAAAAAAAAAACAAAAAAAAAAAAAACAAGAGAGAGAGACATGCCAGCAGAGGACATTTGCATAGTACCCCTCTGATAAATGTAAATCCATACTCTTTTTCCGAAACCACCGATTTTAATGAAATTTTGTAAATACATCATCGTTTGCTCCAACTAGAGGGATAGAACACTTTAACCTTAACAAATTGACCCGGTAGATGGCGTTAGGGGTAAAACAACGTTTGCCCGGTAAACTAATAATATAATAAATGACAGATTATAATAATAACCTTGTAATCGCTGTCCAGATAGTAGTATGCCAAAAGGGCGTCATTTTGCGACGTCACGTTGAGGATATGGTCGAACGTCTCAGAGTCGTCCTGCGCGGGCCGGTCGCTGTACGTCACACGGAGCTGGCTGGCCCGTCTGAAATGTAAAATATGGATAATTAGATATTTTTGCAAACCTATTTACCAACAAGAAAGGATAGGAGAATCCGATACGCAACAATTTAGTGAATAAAAATTAATATCTTCATCTAAGGAAAATAAATTTATTACTTTTCTACTATGTTACTATTCTACTACCGTTAACAGGAACGTTAACGATATTCATAGTAGAAAAGTTAAAATGTATAAAATTGACGCACTGTTGCTATATAAGCTATTGAAATTAACTGGTAGCTAGCATATTTTATATATATATATATATACAAAAACATGTAATTGAAAAATGGTTGACATAACTATTGAAAATAACTAGCTTATGTCAATTTCATACAATTTAAACATTTATTACAGTGATTTTGTTATAGAAAAGTTCAAATGTATCGTTAGAATGTCATTCTATAATATTTTTATGTTTCACTTTTTATTGGGCATTTTTCAACATTTTACATTAAATAAATCAAATGACCTTAGCGATTTATAATGTACGAACTGATAATATTATTAATATCTATATTACAAATGCAAAAGTGAAACATCTCGGACGAAACCGCGGTTAAAAACTAGTCCATAATATGATAATACAGCATATAAAATCTGCAAATTACAATTGCCTAATTGATTTTGCATCGTAACCACTTGTATTTTCCGTTCTAATTGCTATGAACAGGAAACGTTGGGCAAACATAACGTGAACAGGGGAATTGAGTGTTCAACTAATTACCGCGGCCGGGGTTACTCACCCTGGGAGAAAACGTTATCGGCAATAAAATATTAGTTATAAACAATGACGTCAGTACTGCGCACTTTTGTTCTTATCTGTAAGCCGGAGTTCGTGGTGCCTGCACGGTTGGTACACTTAGATATTGTAATTAGATCCTATTAATTAATATATATATGTGAAAGTTTGTAATGAATGTTTGTTACTCCATCACACTGGGGGGTAAGAGATTGTTAGTAACGGAGTCTAATTGACCCATTGCCTATCAGGTCGATCTCCAAGCGGTTCCCCCTGGAAACCATCGTGGTTAATTTTAGTGGAATTCGTCACGATGCCCCACCAGCGTATACCGATAGCGCGGGCGGGGATACCATACCATTATCACCCAATACAAAACATTCAAAAATAAAGACCTTTTGGTCTTTTAAAATATCCTTTTATTAAATCAAGCATATTTTTTATGTCTAATGTTACGCGATCTCTTCGTGAATTTAATGCAATTCTTACAAAGATTATTTTCTTAATCGACCGGATTATTCGCCTGTCGATGTCATACAAATTTTTATGGTACGAAATTCAAACTATACACATTTGATTACCATTTATTGACATTTCAAAAGAATAATATATTATTGCTTTAGTTGTTGTTCTAAAGTAAATACAACATGTTGTTCAAACGCTAAGGAGGTCATAATATCGATGATAAGCGAAGTAAATCAAGTAGCTGTCAATGAATTGAAACCGATGTCAATAGAATTATAGTGAATTCATTGTTCACATTTAAATAAATTAATCGTTTCAATTACACAGGATTTTACTAAATTTTATTATTCTAATATTACAATTAAATAAATAAAAAAAGAACACGAATACGGAGAGCCATGATAAATGCAGAATTTCGAAACTAAAAATGATTAGGTTAAAGTTTTTTTAGAAAAAAAAAAACATGTTTAAGTAAAATATAAATACATGCAATAGTTAATCAATCCCAATTTATATAATTAATCTATTTTATTTTATTGTTGAATAAGATAAAAAAGTAATATACATATATTATATGATAGACTTTGTACAAAAGTCGATTGCTTGGGTACCTCTGTCCCATTCGTGTTTCAACCGTGAAGCAGTTGTGTTTGCATGGCTGTGTTTCGGTTTGAAGGGTGGGATATGGCGTGAATTTACTGGGTACAGAGGAATAACACCTGAGTCCTCAGGAATGGCAACGCATGGGGGGTATCATGGGCGAAACAGTATACTCTGTTATGTCCATGGTACTGCTCATGTCTATAGGCGACGGTTACCACTTTCCATCAGGTGGGCCGTCAGCTTGTTTGCCATATATAAAAAAAAAAAAAAAATATATATATATATATATATATATATACACATATATATTATATATATATATATATATATATATATATATATATATATATATATATATATATATATATATATATATATATATATATATATATATATATATATATATATATATATATATATATATATATATATATATATAAGTCACATACATCTAATGTTAGTGGAATTAAACAAAATAGTTCTAATCAAATAACAAAAAGGTGACATTACAAATCTGACAAAACATTGCAGCGTTTTTATACTCGGCACATTCGTAAAAGAATCTTGGCATGTTTATTTCCAAATTAGTTATTAGAAAAAAGAAATTTAATCTAACTAATTTGTTTGCTTTATGCGTTGTTACTTCGATAAAAAGAAAAATGTGACAAGTAAAAAAAAATAAACGACAAAGATTTTTTTAAGAGCATAGTGGAAGGAAAAGTAGAGGGCAAAAGAAGGAGAGGAAGACCGAGGAATAACTACATGGTACAGATAAAAGAAACACTAGGTGTGATGTCGTATAGGGATGTCAAGGATATGGCCTGGGATAGAGCTGGCTGGAAGAAGACGCATGAATTAGTTGCACCGACAAGAGGAAACTCTTAAATGAAAAGAGAGAGAAAAAAAATTATAGAACAGCACTGAACATAATAATTATTAAAAAAATAACGATATAGAACATCAAGGAACTGATTTATGGCCAAGATCAAACAGTATGCGATAATTTCCCCAACTTGTTTTTGTGAATAACGTAAGCTTTTATAATTAACATAAGATGGTAGTAACGGACGAATGAAATTATAACTCTTGACCTTATAGGTTAATTAGAAGACTGGCCGACTACTATTTAATTGACAATAACAAAAATTGTGTTCCAGAAAAAAAAAACAGACTTCATTTGTGACAAAACCAGTTATTTCGATTTAAAAACTAAACTACTAAATAGATTTTGATAAAATTTCTATGCTACCTATCTGTAAGCTTATCCTGTCAAATAAAAAAAAAAAGTATTTTCCAAATCGTTCTACAACTGATTTTTTTTTATTTAACAATTTTTTTTATGGGTGAGAATGGAGTGGGAGCCCCTCCTGCGCTAACGGTATACGCTGGCACCAGTGTAGAGTGATCGATGATAATGAAAACAGGCCAGTTAGCCCATCATGATGAATTCATCAGGAATTAACCATGATAGTTTCCGGGGAGAACCCCGTGGAGGTCGACCTGGTTGGGTATATTATTAGCAATGGGATGCTCAGTCTCTATTACTAACAAACCCTTTCCCCTCGGTTTGGAAGATGGGATATGACAGTGAATTTACAGGGTACAGAGGAATAACACCTGAGCCCTCAGGAATGGCAACGCATGGGAGGTATCATGGGCAAAACAGTATACTCTGTTATGTCCATGGTACTGCTCATGTCTATAGGCAACGGTTACCACTTTTCATCAGGTGGGCCGTCTTTTTTTTTGCCATTTTAAGTTAAGTAAAAAAATATATCAAGCATATCGAGTACATGAAACTGTTTCAGTACTATTTACCTAGTTATCAAGATGTATGTCACAATTTTTTGTCGCAAGACGAAACGGATGTCGGTATAATAACATACAATTATACCATCATTTACCTATAATATGTGTTTAAAAATAATTACTTAAGATAACTAGAAAAAACTATAATATCCTACGTACATTTCTTATCGATACAACCCCGGATCTAGTTAGACAACGTCAGGCTTTATCATCGCCTGATAGCATAAGCGACGTAGGTGATAAACAAGCATACGGCTCACCTGATGGCAAGTTATTACCGTAGCGAAACAACGTCTGCATCATCAGAGAGCATTTCAACAGTTGTCAGTTTTGTGAGAAGTGACCTTTTTCACCTCTGACGACGGTTTATTGCTGTTAATTTATTTATACTGATTTTGTCTCCAATACTAATAACGGTATTTAAAATCACTTACTGATCTAGTTGTTATAGTGCAAACCGCGTTTGCGCAAATTTACAGGGCTATTTATTTTACAGATTGCTGTAACTTGCGAATAATGTATGAAATTAAACAAATACGAGAAGAAAATCGCGAGGAAGTTCGCATATTAAATATTATATTTTTAAGCGATTTTTTACGCACTGCGCATGTATTATTTTACGCACACATTTATAGAGATAGGTCCCTTTACTAATTTATTATGTGGGGGCAAAAACAGTTTAATGAAAATTAACAATGTGAAATTGTGTATTTTCACAGCTTTTTTTCGCATACGCAAATGCAGCACTACTGGGGGGGAAAGGGATTGTTAGCAATGGAGTTTGACAGCCCCATTGCTAGCAATATGCCCTATTAGGTCGACCTCCACGTGGTTTCCCCTGGAAACCATCGTGAACAATTCTTGTTGAATTCGTCACGATGGGCTAACTGATCTGCTTCATCCTCACCTATCATCCTTCACTGGTGCCCCGCCGGTGTATACCGATAGCGCGGGTGGGGTTACCATTCCATTGTCATCCATTAAAAAAAAATGCAGCACTACCTTCTTATAATACAAGAATAAAGCTAATTGCATTCCATAAAACTACAGACGTTAATTCCCATTTGAACCAATAATAGCCGTGGATATATCTCACAACGCCTCGGTTAAAACTAAGCATGACTCGTTCTACGAATATAATGACAGTTGACACGTGAATAAATAGCCTTATTAAATAAATTCGCTTATCAAACAATTATGCCTATTTCCCGCTAAAGTAAACATGTAAAGGGGGCATTATGTTGCATCCTTTGTCTGTTTATCTATAATTTAACAGCTGCTTGTTTCCACTTCAATTTCGATGAGTAAAATTTGATAAGAATACATTTCAATAAACACTATCAAAGACTCAGTAATTTCACTGC